AAGAAATCTTCAACGATCGGGCACTACAAACATATCGAGAGTCTCACTTCTCTGAGCCTAGTAATGATGTTGAGCGTCAACTTGTGGCGGTTTTCATGGAGACGCTCGGACTCGACAAGGACATTGACATTGATATGCCGATTCTAGATACTGGAATCAATTCAGTTGATTTGATTCGATTGAAAAGAGCTGTTGAGGCGGATTTCGGGATTGAAGATGTTCCCATGATCATCATTATGACCAACACAACCATTCGATCCCTGGCAACGGCAGTCCAAAATCTTGAGGCCTCAGATCTCACTAGTGCATATCAACCAGTTGTCACTTTGCAACCACACGGATCCAAGACTCCTTTATGGCTGTTCCATCCGGGAGTCGGCGAGATACTAGTCTTCCTCGCGTTAGCTCAGCATTTCCCGGACCGGCCCATCTATGCAATGCGACCACGCGGGTTCGACTTAGGCGAGGAAACCTTTAAGGATCTCGTTGACCTCCATACGACATACTACGCTGCCTTGAAAAAGAAACAACCTAATGGGCCCTACGCCTTAGCGGGATACTCATATGGTGGCATGATTGCCTTTGAACTCGCAAAGAAGATCGAAGCAGCTGGTGATGAAGTAAAGTTCATAGGTAGCTTTGACCTACCACCATACATCAAGCATGTCATGAGGCGACTCGACTGGACAGGGTGTCTTCTACACGTTGCATTTTTCTGTGACCTCTTTTCCGAAGACCGCGCTGATGAATTGGAACCTATGATACGCCCCTTGCCTAGGTCCGAGCAGCTGGCACGAGTGATGGCCGAAGCAAACCCAGTCCGTAGCTCTGAGTTGGGAATAACACTTGCATCGCTGGATACCTGGACTGAAGTGACCTTCTCCCTTGCAAATATCGGCCGTGACTACGATCCATCCGGTACAGTTTCTTCTATGGACGTTTTCTTCTGCGATCCGTTGCGAGGCGTGGCAGCATCGAGGGAAGAGTATCGCTACACACAACTGAACCGTTGGGAGGAGTTTGTCAGCAATGATCTTAAATTTCACGAGGTGGATGGACAGCATTATACAATGATCTCCCCAGAACGTGTACCAAAGTTTCAACAAAAGTTGAAAAACGCGCTTTCTGCGCGGGGTCTCTAATCTCTAACCACCTGGTGGCTACTGGAATTATAAGTCCCTACTTATTTCTCTCCTTCCACTGCGAAAATTCGAAGAGCTATGCAGCCGATCTGTTTGATGTAAACTATCTATGTCAATCACTCATTCATTCACAGAAATGGGAAGTATCTTATAGAGTCCTTTGTTTTATCTTTAGCTACATCATTGCGGTGGGTGTTTTCTTCATTCTAGTATTACAGTACTAGTTATTAGTTATAGAATATGACAAAATAATGTTCCACTCATTCCGGCACAGTAAACTCACTAGACCTGGAACATGGGTGCAGATATACCCATGGCATTCCCATGGGCACAATTTTTGGTTTATAACTATCTTGGCATATATATAGGCGCAGACTCTATCCCAGGGTAAGCGGAATACATAGCATTCGCTATTCTAGGGTCTGCCTCAGTATAGCCCTACTTCACCAGTTTCCTATACATTCACTTTTCCTCTGTAATACAGCCGTTTGCGCATTACCAGATCAGGACACTCTAGATTTTGGCTATTCGTTATTCAATAGCCAGCTGATAACTTACTTTTGTAACGATATGCCTATCCTCGCACACTTCCGACATGTCACGTGCACCACGTGACCCACTACTGCCTATTCCTCCCATACTATGTAGTGAAAGATGGGAATGCTCGATGGCAGTCTGCGTTGGCAGACGGGTCGATCGCAAGAGGACAAAACCACCATACTCGCAGAGTGCAGGAGAGTAGTAGACAAAGCGGCGCCCTACTGAGAAAACAGCATTCAGAGCATTCGAGCCCTTAGCATAGCCGCAGCGTGATTCCGAATAACGAAAATAACATTTGTGACCCGAAAGGCGGTGTGTAAGTTAACTATCATCGAGGGCTTATATACTGCAAGTAAGGCCTAAGGCCTAAGGCCTACAGCATCATCTGACATCACCAGAGCGATTCCCCCACTACAGCAGATATTTTATCTTCTATATAGGAACACTTATAAAGTTGCACTATAAGAGCTGTAGTAAAAGATGTAATATCAGCATAGCAATAATAATATCTGGAGCTAATTTAGATTATGTTGATTGATAAAACTTTCAATTATCTGGACATTGTATTAAGTAAAATAGACAGAAGCTCAACGATATATACAACTTTTCTTGTATGGGCCAAAGCAGTGATAACAAAAGGCCAAAATAAGGCTAGGAATACTTAAGAATATAGCAAGCAATAAATCATAAAGAATGAGATATTTACTGCTTTACTGCTGTATAGCTCTTGAGATATAAACCAGCTCCAATCCTATTATATAATGCCCTAATGCTGGTAAGCTAATGTTACTTTGGTGGTGGAGGGGAAGTACCTAGCTTCTTAATACTTTTTGTATCATAGGCTGTGAATGTCCGTATGGTATTCTAACAGTATCCAATAATATAACTTGATTTTGTATAGCCTTTATCGTATGACGTTACTCTCAAAGTAGTAAACATTGTAAAATAGACTAATCGTGGCGAGTAATCGTTAAATCTAGGAGTATTAATTCTAACTTTTTGTATATAGGTTGGCTGATCGCTAAAAAGGCCAGGTTGGGGTAAGGATTGTTATCTTAAAGGCTGCTTATAAGGTGTTCAATAAAATAAGAGGTAATCTAGTGGTTCTAGGCCAGAATAGACCATAATAGATATTCTTATAAGATCCTGTTTAGGTAGGGAACTTACTAGTAATTATTTTATAGCCTTAACTACTTCTCTTGTAGTGTAGGAATTAGAGTAAAAAACGTGATTGGAGCCTGGATCCTAGGAACCGCACTAGTGGTAAGTCTTAGAGGAGCTGTCTGTTTAGTGTTCGATAAACCTTGTCTGAAAATCTGAAATTAGGTCTGGGCTCTATCTCAACGGTGATTGAATTAGAGCGCCTAGTTAGTCGCAGAAAGAAAATAATCTTGGTTTTAAGCCTAGTCCTGACGGATACAGATTCTACTTGTGATTATTTAGCTTAAACCCTACCCTGTTACTTTAATGAAAGGATGTTGATTGGCCCCCTGACGAACTTGCTGCGATAATATAGGTTTTGTACTGGCTAATGGAGGACGTCCTATGTTAATATTCTATGCTTGCCTTAGATCCTATACAGGGATATATTTGGATTCATCCAGTGTGATAGTTTATGTCTGAGGTATAACCGAATTGGGGAGTTATTCGATTGTTTAAAAGAGCACCTACTTTATATGCTTTTATCTCTGTTATCTAGTGCACAGAAAGCTCCAGTATGTGAAAATTTGGCGGAGCGTACTGACAGTTGTCTAGGAACCCCACCCTTGGTCATAGCAAGAATCTATTATAAGGCTAGAACACGCAGACTATAGCAGGCTTTGCAGAATATTATAAGGCTAGAACACGCAGACTATAGCAGGCTTTGCAGAATAATATAAGAATTGTCTTATACTCAAGAGCTAATTTATAACTTTCCAAACTTCCGTAAGTATAAGGAGTTACTCCTAGGAGCCTGGAGCCCCCGAATGCTGATCTATAGTCTTGAAATTGCAATGCTGCTGGGCTGAATACGAGGCACGACGGCCTAGCCTATCTTAACACAGAATAGATCAGCCTATTTACCTCGCTCAGGCAGAGGTACTTTCACCTTTCCGGTTTATCACTGAATATTGCGTTACCACCGTACGGGTGTAATTACTCGGTCTTCTCAGAGTTCTAATATGTCGATAGTCCAAAGATTATTTAGATACGCAGTAATTTTCCGCAACCAGTAGTGCTCTATAAGCAGTAGTTCTCTATAAGTAGTAGTTCCCCAGACAGAAGAAAACTCCAGATGTACCTACTTTTACTCGTGCCTTGTTTCAGAGAAAACCTTTGACAATAAATTTGTTCGTTACTAGCGAAAGTTAGTGTATACTTCTACGGCTATGGTATATATTTCGCATAAAACTAGATTTTTCGCGCTCAACATGAAGTTACCGACCTGGAACAGGTAACTTATAATAACTTGTATTTTATCAGATGAATCGTCAAGTTATCCCTCTACTTGGAAAAGCTATACAGCAACGGGCAGATAATGGGCAGCCTGCGAGCGCCCACCAAGAGTACGTAGGGAGGGCTGTGCTAACGTCAACACGGGACCTGACACCAGAGTTCCCTGAACGGAGCTTGTATAAAAACTATGTGGAGCGCGGATGGGTGTAACAGTGCCGAAACAGTAGGACTAATAATATCAATATTAATCATAATCATAATAAGCGATATTATAGTCAAGAGCATCGCTCGACTACGGCCTTGGAATCGGTGACATCTCTCGGCACCATAGCCGGCCCTAGGTCTGCCTCAGTCTCACCATGAACCTTGGTGGTTACAAGGCCAGTCGAATCCTCCTGGGATTGAGACAAACTCTATCAGATTGATTGATATTGGTTCAATTGAAAATGAGGCCACTACAAGGTTACACTGATCGCAGCCACAGTAACATCTACTTAGGCCTAGGTGAGTGTAACACTCATGTCTGAGGGAGGCTACGGAAGGCTGGGGAACCATGCATTCATTTCTTATCAATAACCAATAATATGTCCGGTTCGCCTCCACAATACCGCTAAGACAACAGTAACCCCGCACACTAACCCTATAAGCCCCTAGGAGAGTAACTATAACAGCCACTGGCCAGCAGAGAAGGTAGCGGTAGCAATATCATCAGATGGCTAAGCGCTTACCTAATATTAACCCTGCCTAGTTAAAGTCATGCCGATGCGCTCCCTAGTCGCTGATAAATAGGTCGTCTTCTCCTAGTAACCTTCGTCCAAGACTTGTGTTTGTCTCTAATATACAAGTTACTCCACCTTGACCCAAGTCTCCGTCCGGCCCATCATGGTTGATGCTACGACTGGCACTAATCCGACTTCAGACAAAGGCTCCGTGCCTGCTCATAATTTCGAAGAGCCAGTTGGTGATCTCCAGCTTCCCCCAGGATGGATGTATAAGTCGTGGGGGGTAGGGCGCTGGCGTACGCCCTGGTATGCGTCTCCGAGGTTCCAGCTGGGTATGGTCGCATTTGTATGTTTCATGTGTCCTGGCATGTTCAATGCTCTCAGTGGCCTGGGTGGTGGTGGGAAAGCCGATCCGCATTTAGCAGATCAAATGGTATTACTCACCTTCTGAGTAGGGAGTAGAGATTCGGCAGAAATGGACTGATTGATCTTGTCAGAACCTCACCCTGTACAGTGTCTTCGCTGTTGTCGGTTTCTTCGCTGGCTCGATCGTCAATTGGATCGGGATCCGGCTGTCACTCTCCTTCGGCGGAATCGGATATTGTATTTATGCGATCAGTCTTCTCGTCTCTGTGCACAAATATGTTCCGGGTTTCAACATCTTCGCTGGTGCCTTACTGGGCGCCTGTGCTGGTATCCTTTGGTCGGCTCAGGGAGCTATCATGATGTCCTACCCCCACGAGCACCAGAAAGGTCGGTATTTCGCATGGTTCTGGGGAATCTTTAACATTGGTGCCTGTATGGGCAGCCTTGTACGTATGGGGACTGCTGCCAGTCATTGTCTCATCTAATTGACAGTTCTTAGATCGCTCTCGGCACAAATATCAACGTCAAAGTCGCCGCCACTATCTCCGACGGAACGTACATCGCGTTCATCGTTCTTATGTTCTTTGGTGCTTGCCTAGCTCTAATGCTGTGCGATGCGAAGAAAGTCATTCGCCGTGACGGGTCCCGGATTATTGTTATGAGAAATCCAACATGGAAAACCGAGTTGTACGGGCTCTACGACACGCTCAAGCACGAACCTTTTGTCGTCCTTCTTTTCCCTATGTTCTGGTCTTCTAACTGGTTTTACACATACCAAGGAAACGCAATTAACGTCGCCTACTTCAACACCCGCACGAGGGCCTTGAATTCCTTCCTATACTGGTTCGCTCAAATCGTAGCTGCGAGTATAATCGGCCCACTCCTGGATATGACTTACCTGCGTCGTACAGTGCGTGCTCGCGGCGCGTGGATCATCCTCTTCATCCTGACTATGGTTATCTGGGGTGGTGGCTGGGCCTGGCAGAAGAATTATACTCGCGAGTCTGTAAACCCCGAGACAACCGACTTCCAGCATTGGGATTGGACGCATCCTGGATACGTCGGCCCAATGTTCTTATACTTCTTCTACGGATTCTACGACGCAGTCTGGCAGGGTGTTATCTACTGGTCAGTCTCCTCTCATCTCTTGCCCCTTCCCCTATTATCCCCCTATCCATCCATACCCCGTCGTGTCAAGCCAACTGAATCCAAACCTCCACTTCCAGGTACATGGGAGCTCTTTCCAACTCGGGCCGGAAAAGCGCCAACTTCGCCGGATTTTACAAAGGTATACAATCCGCCGGTGCAGCCGTGGTGTGGAGTGTAGACTTCCACAATGCATCTTACGCAGCCGAATTCGCCAGCAACTGGGGCCTACTTGGAGGATCGCTGCTCATTGCTGCTCCGGTGATCTTCCTACGCATTAAAGACCATGTGGATATCGCGGATGATCTGCAGAATACTGACGAGACGGTCAAGGATGTTCTTCCAGTCGGACATCCGGAGGAGTAGCTGAGAAAGTTTCTACCTAGATAGCCGTGCGAGGGCTAAATGGGAGGCGCAGTCTTATTTTTGTTTATTGTTAGCCCGCTCGGCTCAAATGAAACTTATTGAGCTCAGATCAAAACATGTATAATTGGGGACGCGTTCTGTAGTGTGTCGAACCTTATTGGAGGCCCAAAACAAGGTTAGAGCGGTAAACCAGTCACTGTCTCGAGGGCGAAGGCTATGCTAGACTTCGCCGAGGCATTATAACCGTTTTACAGTCTACACTGGATCGATGGTTGGCTTCTAGAGAGATAAATAAACATAGCTGTACTGATCTCCCCCCGTCAAACTCGGCAGACCTCGGAGAAATGGCTTATACAGTGTAGACATATACTGCTACTTTGCACATGCTTTTACCATTCTAATACTGCGGTATTTAGAGAATATCATAGTGTTTAGGGTCAAAAGGAGCTTTTTGAAAGCAAATGTGTCTGTTTTTCTTTATTGGCTTTAGAATTATAAGTACATAAATTCAAAACAACTATAAACGTTTATATATATTCCTTCAGATCGCTTAGAGTTATAGTGACCGAAGCTCCAGTAGTCCAAAGCCTTCAGTATAGAGTAAAAGTAACTGTGACAGCAAGACAAGCCTAGAAAAAACATTACATAAGTATAAGAGAGACAAGTTTGTTCTAGAACTCTATAAAAGATACACAATGATTTTTTCTTTATTATCGCCGTCACCCTTCTATAATATACCCTTGTGTATCTTCAATATACTCTTTATAGCGTCAAAAATTAGGATAATCCATGTTTTCCCAGTGTTTTTGTTTTCAGTCTCACTCCTAAAAATACTTTGCATAGCAGCTATTTTTATCTTAGCTCAAGAATTCATAATATACAAATAGAAAGTAAAGCTCGACCTACCAATGCATATAAGTTATTTATTATTATAAATATTTTCCCAGTGATTCTTTGGTGCTTAGTAGACTTTATATATAATACTGAGAATTGGTATAATCTTATAATTCTATTCCACCAGTCCTATGCCTAACGATAAAGTTGGCTATATATATACACGTATACAATCTTCTAGGATTCGAAAGTAGGTCATAAATATGAATTAATTTACTGTTGAACACTCACTAATTCCTAGCAGGAGGTTGCACCAAGATCTATATTGCAAAATATTGTAACGAACCTAAGGTTGCCTGAGTTATGTGCCTAATTGTAACGAACTGGTGTTGTTACCATTGTGAGGAGCTCAGGTACTCACAGAGATCAGGATACGGCGTAGCGTAGCAAGCAAAGAAAGTAGTAGCGTTCGAAGAAAGTAATAGCTTGAGGAGAATAAGAAGGAAGCTAGGATGGAAGGCTAGATACACAGGTGTATGGCGTGGATGCCTAGAGTGGCGCTGTAGGCATGAGGCATCCACGAATGGTAACAACACCAGTTCGTTACACTAGGTTTTATTACTATAGACTGAGGCCCCTAAATGCCTAGGGGCACTGACCTATCCCAAGGTACTAGTGATAGAATATATATATTATTATCCACTACCGAGATCCAAACTAAAAATTAATGGAACTTGAAGTATCCGTTAAACTTAGTATGTATAGATGGAAGGTTTATAGGGTTACTGCTGGGTACCCCGCAAGCAGTACACTAGTAGCTTCAAGTTCCAAGTTTTATGCGCACCTGGGGCAAAGAATAGAAATATGGCGTTTGCTCTAGTCCACGGGTAAATGTGCTCCCGGCGGTAGCAGGCCATTTGAGGTTTATCAATATCCATATTGTAGTAGGATTACGGGGCCTACACTACCCGCGGAGTGGTGCTTTGAGAATCCCGCGGTCTGGGAATTCCCCACAACTTTCTCGGGGTACTCGGGACAAATTCCGCAGTTGCACCCAGTTGCATCATAGCAAACCTTTGATTCACCGCCGAGGCCCGCGCGTCGGTGTATGTGCATTCCTAGCAACGATCGACCCTGCCAGGTGGAGGGCGGGATGGGCATTCCGCACTCCGCGCTCTTCTTCGGCCAATGTTAATTGGTTTGAATGCAATCCTGCTGCAGTCGAATTGAACCGCGTCAAATAGGGTAACTCTGGCTATTGTCGGGTTCCCCGCGATTGATAATTTAAATACTTTGGAGGTTCCCCTTCTTCTTGTTTCCCACACACTTCGCCGTCATGACCGTTCAAACGCTTGCCATTACCGTGGTCACGGTCGTTTACCTTATCATCAGGTATCTGAATCGCACCGACGTCCCCAAGATCAAGGGCCTACCGGAGATCCCCGGTGTGCCCCTCTTCGGTAACCTGCTTCAACTTGGAGACCAACATGCGACCGTCACTGGAAAATGGGCAAAGAAGTTCGGCCCGGTCTTCCAAGTGCGCATGGGGAACAAGGTATGGAAGTGAACTTGAACAACAATCGCCGAGGATAACACACTAACTATAACCCAGCGAATTGTTTTTGCTAACAGCTTCGAATCTGTGCGCCAACTCTGGATCAAAGACTCATCAGCTCTCATCTCGCGCCCGACCTTCCACACTTTCCACAGCGTTGTGTCTAGCTCCCAGGGCTTCACCATCGGGACTTCCCCGTGGGATGAATCTTGCAAGCGTCGTCGGAAGGCCGCAGCGACAGCGTTGAATCGCCCTGCCGTGCAGTCATACATGCCGATCATTGATCTTGAAGCCAACTCAAGCATCAAGGAACTGTACCGCGATAGCAAGAATGGCACTGTCGACATCAATCCCACCGCCTACTTCCAGCGATTTGCGCTCAATACCAGTCTGACCCTGAACTATGGCTTCCGCATTGAAGGAAACGTGGATGATCAGCTTCTGAAAGAGATCGTTGATGTTGAGCGCGGGGTGTCCAATTTCCGTAGCACCTCCAACAACTGGCAAGACTATATTCCGCTATTGCGCATCTTCCCCAAGATGAACAACGAAGCACAAGAATTCCGGGCCCGCCGTGATACGTACCTCACTTACCTTCTCAACATGCTGAAAGATCAAATTGAAAAAAGGCACGGACAAGCCGTGTATCACAGGAAACATTCTCAAAGACCCCGAGGCAAAGCTAAATGATGGTGAGTATTTGCAATGCATTCAAGCTTTTGTACTCTCAACATAAAAAAGTGATTAATCAATATTTTAGCGGAGGTGAAATCGATCTGTTTGACTATGGTCTCCGCAGGCTTAGACACAGTCCCCGGAAATCTGATTATGGGCATTGCATACCTCGCATCCGAAGATGGTCAACGAATTCAGAAGAAGGCCTACGAAGAAATTATGAAAATTTATCCAGACGGAGATGCCTGGGAGAAATGCTTGGTTGAGGAGAAGGTCCCTTATGTCACGGCCCTGGTCAAGGAAATTTTGCGATTCTGGACAGTCATTCCAATCTGTCTACCCCGAGAAAGCACCAAGGACATCGTGTGGAATGGAGCGACTATACCGGCCGGTACAACGTTTTTCATGGTAAGCTTCTCACTCTCTGTCGCCTTATTATCTTATGATACTCTGCTGACATTCGTAAAGAATGCTTGGGCGGCGGATTACGATGAAGATCACTTTAAGGATGCAACAAAGTTTATTCCTGAGCGCTATCTCGATCTTGGCGAAGCCCCTGGTACTCCTCACTATGGTTATGGCGCTGGATCTCGCATGTGTGCTGGTTCACATCTCGCAAATCGGGAGCTGTTTACAGCGTTTGTGCGTCTGATCACCGCTTTTCACATGCATCCATCAAAGCAGACGATTGATCGACCTGTACTCAATGCAATCGACTGCAATGCCATTGCGACAGCTCTAACCACAGAGCCGAAGCCGTTTAAGGTGGGCTTCACAGCACGCGATCCGAAGAAATTGGAGCAGTGGATTGCCGAGAGCGACGAACGAACAAAGGATCTGTGATCTTTCCAGCTTCAGCCTTAGTTCACATTCCTATTCTATTTGTTATCTTTTTTTCTTCTTTTCTTTTTTTCTCAGGGAAGGGTGATGCATTGAACGGCGATTGTGTGTGCATGTGTGTATACTAGTTAGTGAGAGTTGGTCAAAGTGGTACAAGGGCCACAGTAGGAAGTCAAAATGCGTTGTAAAAACGGGGGAGGAAACAAGGAATTAGATAGAGATAAATCGCATATCATTATCTGAATAATCCTGTGAATATATGTGGCCAGCAATGGCCAAAGTTCCCAAAATCCATCAATCTATCAATCCATAATAAACCAATTGATGTAAACCCGGCCAAGTCTGCCAAGTCCGGGGAAAAGCGCCACCGCGCGGAATCCCCCGCACTTTTCGTCTTCGCCCTTTTTCAACCTCCTTCGTTGCTGCTATTGCCATTGCTATTGCTCATTCCCATTGTCACACTAGTGCCAATACTTGTGCATCACCACCCAACTACCCCCTGTTCCAAGGTCGTACATAATGGACCTTCTGCAGACTTCTGCAGACCCTGAGTGGGACAAGGTCACCGCAATTGATGATGCGCAGGACGAGAATGAGCCCGAGCGCCCACGGAAGAAACGTCGCAAATACATTGCGAGAGCTTGGTATGCTGCCCATGTGACCATGTGGCCCTGCAAATCGAGCACACTCTCTAACCGGTAAAACAGCAATGAATGCAAGCGCCGAAAGATTAAGTGCAACGGGCAAGCCCCATGCCAGCGTTGTGGTCGACAGCGCCTCGAATGTGTTTACGTGGAGCATGCTCAACGCGACGGTCTCGGTGAGCCCGAGTATGTTTGTCCACTACTGGGAAGATGGCAAAGGATATCGGGAAACGCTAGCTAATCATGGCGACCGCAGAAATTTTGAGCGACTCTTTGATCAAATGAGATCGATGCAGGACCAGATTGCCAATCTGTCTGCGGCTGTCCGGTCCATCGCCCACAGCGACAACTCGTCCATTGGCGCGGGGCGTCCGAGCATTGTTGGGCCGGGACGAATGGCATCCGACGGGCTATTGTCCACACAACGAGGACTTCGGCGGGTGTCGACCGCTCGAGAAACTCCTTTCCAGGGCCCGACAACATCTGCCTTTAGCTTTGATCTCGCTAAATCAAGCTTACAGCGTCGGGGTATTGTGGAGCATCAAGAGGAGGCAGCTGATGAGGGAGATCTCGCACAAGAGCCATCTCCACTGGCATCCCCATCTTCTCCAAACCGTGACATGGAGCTCCATCAAGCAGTAGACCCACTGTGGGCATTACCCAAGGCTGAAGCACTCCGACTCTGCCGAGTCTACGAAGAGGAGATGGGAATCATGTACCCAGTCTTAGAGCTTTCGGAGCTCCTGGACCAGGTCGATCTTCTCTACGGTCTCATGGACCGGACACTGGATTCAAATATTCAATCACATGGAGCTCATGTCCTCGACCAGGAAGATATCTACATTCTTCGCCTCGTTTTTGCATGTGCACTAACCGCGGAGGCCAGCGGGCGCAGTGAACAGGCCATCTCGCTTTTCAACAGTGTGAGGGAGGTGCAGGATAACTGTGTCTGGGGTCCACCCGGAGATTAAAAGCATCATTTTTCTTACTCTTGTGGTTTGTGGAAGCCTGACACTTTCTTGGTCCATCATACTGACATTTCTGCAGTCAATATTCTATTTTCAAATGGACGAGGAGACACTAGCGTGGCGGACTATTGGAATTGTGGAACGCATGTCTCTGGAAAAGGGCCTGCACCGCCGAGAGACACTGAATCAACCTGCAATTATAGCCGCTGGAAAGGACCGTATACTCCGACTCTTTTGGTCAATCTACATCCTCGACATGCGTTGGAGTTTTGGAACTGGCATGCCCTTCTCTCTAGAAGACAGCGATATTGATCCCTGGCTTCCGGAGCCCGAAGAAAAGACCCCATATCTTCGCGTGATGATTCGATATAGTCGTATGGCTGCCAAAGTATGGAAGTTCATATCTGCTTTCAACAACACAAATGAAATCAAAAAAGACGAGATGAACTACCTGGACTGGCAAGTATTGAATTGGGCCCGCACGATCCCGGACTCATTACGGCTTGACCACCCCAGCACCCCGGAGTCTGGTGCTGCTCTGGAAGGTCCACGAAGCTTACGACGACTTCGTGCCTTGCTTTATTTGCGTGCGAATCAGCTGCGAATGCTCATATATCGACCGGTTCTGCATACAGCTGGTCATATCGCCCGATATCCTGGCGAGGCCGAGACAGTTGTTGACATTGCAAAAGACACCATCAGATTCATCACCCGTCTCAATGAAACTTCTGATATCTATCAGCTTCAGCAAGTGGCTTTCAATTGGTTTTTGGTCTCTGCGTTGGCCGTGCTTTTCCTCGCCGTTGCGCAAGCTCCGACTCAGTTCAGCAGCTCGTGTAAAGAGGAATTCTATTGGGCATTGGAGCTCGTTAAGGGATTCTCGACCAAGTCGTACATCTCCCGGCGACTCTGGAGGTCCATTCGAAGCCTTCGTAAGCTCGGCCCTGAGTTGGGTCTCGGGGTACAGAAGCTTCGACAATCGAATCGAACAGATGCCGAAGATGGCACTGATGGAACATTGAATCAGCATGGAGCATCTCTCCCGGAAACAGCCTCTAGCAACTACAGCCAAACTCCTCTGGACGGTGCACAGATGACCCAGGAGCTGATGGAGTGGTTCGAAGCGGTGGGAAACTTGGAAGATCAAATCATGGGAGTCGGGACCGGTCCGATGGTGGATGACGGTTCCTGGCAGCAGATGCCGAACGGTGGCTTCATATTCGATTACGGGGCAGGGCTGTCGAGTGTAATGAAGGATTGCTTTTAGTGAGATGGTTCAGTGAAGCCTGGTTTCGCAATTTAACGAGTGTATTCTCAATGGTTGATGAATATCCATCAATATTTCCCGAGAGACCTCGGTGCCAATTTTCTTCTCATAAGCAAGCAGACGATATGGCAAGCTCTCAGGTTTGCAATTTGACATATTGTGTATATCACCAGTCGTAATGGCGACATGGGAATTTGAGGTCTCTCAATCCATGCTCCGTCTAATTTCACGTCTAAATAATACCGGGTCGCAGTCTCTGTAAATCATTGACAGTCCAGTCGGTGACCAGCATGTGCCCTGGCTCATGCGCAAACACTAAACCATCTACTTTTGCACCAGCAGACTCGACTGCTATTTGCGGTGTCACTCCACAAGCCTTTGGAGGATAATTAGTATTAGGACTTCGATGGGTGATTACTTTTATTAGCAGAACTTACCCAAAAGACTGGGACTTCTCCCTCTTCAAATACCTGTGGCTCACCAAAGTCCGGTCGGTCAATATCGGTGATACCAAGCTCCTTTGCCCCGTCCCACCCCCAGGCCACCGGCTCACCATGAGTTGAAAGAAATGGCCGAGTGACCTCCCGCACCTGTGAAATCTGCTCCGGACGATACGGCCGCATAGAGACGATACAGCGACCACCTGTAAAAACTCCGGCTGGAAGAAGTGGGATAGTTGACCGGTACATGGCAACAATGGATTTGGACCTTTGGTGTCTTGGCTGTAAACCAGCTGCCGTCAACGCATCCTCGAAGGAAAATGAGCAGCCGATCAAAAAGCCGACGTGGTCGGAAGTCCAAAGGTCACAAATATCTTGACGACTTTCCATATATTGACCGTTTTCATAAATTCGATACTTGGGAAAATCAGTGCGAATGTCGAATTCGGGAGATTGGATACATCCGTCTGGCTGAATGCTGTGAGGATCCCCAGGAAGCGAAGTTCTGCCTAACAAGGGACAAGAGACTGGGTTACGCAGACACAGGTCGTAGAAATCGGCAGCATATTTTGCTGGCAGGACGAGAAGATTAGCCTGCAGATATCCGGGCGCGACTCCTGCCGTGTTGGTGAGGCGGTTCTCGCGACATAATAGTCGAGCCTCTTGCGATGTGGCGATATTTCCCAGCATGATTGAGATGTGTATAGTTCTGCAAAACTAACACACTCTTAAGTTAATTGCCTCGGTTATCAAGATTGACTCCATCTCCATTCCATGGCTTTGAGTTCGTATCTCCTCCGTCGGGTTCCACTTGCCGATGGCCTGGGGAAAGTTGGGGGTTCTCCGCATTTTGATACTTCAATCGATCATTATTGACCAATTAGAAGATTTACAGGGGCGGCGAACTTCTCCTGCCCCAAGTAGCAGGGATGCGCAGGCAAAAGCGGAGTCAAAACACGGCAGAAGTGGCAAATCAGGCCATTGTTGGTGGTTACGTTCTCTTATCTTCGCTTGTCGTCGGGCCGATCGAAATGCCCTTCGGCGGAGGAAATCCGGACTTATCACAGCCCCAACCCAAGGAGTGCATTATCTTGATCATATCTCTGGAGAGATATGATAAGATTATTCAACTAGCTGTTTTCAAGTTATTCATTCTACTTGACATTTCACTTTATTGTGTGACTATCTAGTCGCTCCCCCGCCGTCTTATTGCCCGACCTGGTCCCGAAGTCTTCGTTACAAGGAGTATACGACTCCAGTTCTTTCCTTTACATTTGATACTTTCACCTGCAGAGAGGAGCATATCCCATATGCCTACTACTGATACACAAGATGAGGTGGCCCTCGAAGGGAGGCTCTCCGTTCAAAAAGAGATCGACCGTGAAATGGCGGACGAGACCTGGGCCGGCGAGGCCCTGGACGTGGTGCTTGATCCGCAAAAAGAGAAAAAGCTCTTAGTCAAGTTGGATATGGCTTTTGTGCCCATCATTATGCTTACATATCTATCCTGCTTTTTGGATCGTTCGAATATCGGTACAGCCCGCACTGAACATTTTTCTTGCCCATGAATCGACAGCGCAAAACTGATCGAATAACAGGAAATGTCAAGGTGGCCCACATGCCTGAGGATATCAACGCCTCGGATAGCCAATTCTCTATCGCAGTCTCGATCTTCTACGTTACATATGTGCTTTTCGAAGCTCCCTGGGCGGTCTTGATGAAAAAGTTGACCCCGCGGAATATTCTAACAGGTCTCTGCATTGTATGGTCTTTAACAACCATTTTCACGGGTTTCATTGAATCGGTGGGCTCGCTCTATGCGACGCGGCTTATTCTGGGTGCCTGTGAGGCGGGATTATTTCCATGCCTAAACCTATACCTGACAATGGTGTACCGGCGTGAGGAGCAAGCCAAACGGGTATCTTATCTTATGAGCTGTGCAGCTATCTCGGGGGCAGTTGGCGGCCTTTTGGCTTACGGGCTGTTGCATATGGATGGAATTGGAGGGAAGGCAGGATGGAGGTAAGCTGAACTGAAGTCTGGGGAAAGAAGAAAAGGATCTTGAAGCTGACGGGAACTAAAGATGGGTCTACATCATCGAAGGCCTCTTCAGTGCAGCATGCGCGATTCTGATCTGGTTCGGCCTGCCAAATAACCCAGCAGAGGCTTATTTCCTCAACGAAGAGGAGCGATGGATGATGCGTGTGCGGAATGAGCAGCGCCGCAAGTACATGGGCAGTGATAAATTCAGCTGGGAGGAGATGCGAATCGCTCTGCGCGATCCCAAACTCCTTTTTTCTGGAGTCATTCAATTCTGTCAAGATATCCTATTGTACGGATTCAGCACTTTCTTGCCCACAATTTTGCAGGGCATGGGCTACGATTCGCTCATGAGCAACGTGTTGACTGTCCCGGTGTATATCTGGTCCGCGATCATCTTTATTGCCATTGCATTTTGTTCCGACCGTTACTCCAAATTTGCTTCTTATATCTTCACAACAAATGTCTTTGGCATTGTCGGATATATCCTGCTACTCACGGTCAGGAATACGGCGGTACAATACTTCGCAACCTTCTTAATCGGCATCACAACCTACACGGCAGTCGGTCTGAATGTTGCGTGGTTGAACGTCAACATTGCACCACAGTATCGAAGAGCCCTAGAGATTGGACTTCAGCAGACAATGGGAAACTGTGCCGGAATCGTGGCAGGTCAGGTATATCGACAGGCCCCATACGTACTTGGCAATGGTTTCTCGTTGGGCTCGCTGGCCGTGGGACAAATTGCTGTGACCGGTTTCGGATTCTACTTGCGGCGTGAAAATAGGATCAAGGAGCAAATTCTCAATGGCGAGAAGGAAGATACTCGTCGCGTTCAAACTGGTGACGGCTCTGTGGATTTCAAGTACATTTACTGAGTGCTGGTCCGTCAGGATATTAGGAATGCGGAGTTACGAGAGCCTCACTAGGCCTCACTATCCAGTTCTACAATTCTGCAATTCTACAAATAGATGTTCATTATTTATTCGTCATTAGGTTCAAGACACACGTGGCTGTAGAGAGTGACTTTGTGAAGCCATGGAACCAGCTGGGCAATACTTTCAAATCGAGGCAAATGACGCACACGACCGGTATGGATTCTGGTAGTATTTAGAAGACCGCATAGCCACTCTTTACTTGGCTAGAATCGCATTATCTACATTATTACTGCTACCAGGTTTATCAATACCTTTCAACCATATCCAGACACAGTCAACACAGTCAACACAGCCCGAGAGAACTACAAAATGGGTCTTTGCATGTCATTCCCACGTCGCCGACATCCCATGGGCATGGGAATGGGTATGGGTGGGTTCGGCCCGCCTCCTCGCAGACATCACTACGGAGGTGGAATGGGAATGGGTGGTATGAATGGAATGGGAGGTTGCGGGCCCCCTCCACGTCGACACTACGGCGGGGGGGGGGACAAGGAGGCTGGGGAGGGCCTCCAGGTGGTGGTTATGGCGGTTATGGTGGTTATGGTGGTTATGGTGGTGGCAGGAGACCCGGGGGAGGATTTGGTGGAGGCAGAGGACGAAGATGCTAAAGTGAACGACGATTATAGAGAATCATGGTCGCAATTTTCGAAAATGAGCTCTTTCATATATCTTTTCCAACCTTTCCACGGTCGGGTCCAGCTGTGTGGGGTAGCTCATCCTTATGAGGACCCTAACCAGGGCTTGGAATGCGGGATGTGTCGGGGCGAGTAACACGGTACGTCATACATCCATGGATGTGATACGGCTGGTTTGACAGAATTGCTGGCTCGGAATGAAAGATCGAGGAGCCTGAGATCTGAAGGGAGATGCAGCAACCTTTGGAAATAACTGAAAGGCAATACCCGAATCATCAGAATGATGAGTTATATATAGTTGCCAGTGCCAGTGCCAGTGGGCCCAGCAGATCGGAGTTTCGCCGAGGCATAACTAGAGGACGAGTATGCAGATCGATCGAATAATATTCTGTTCATTTCACCGTCAGTCAAGGGAGGTGAATTCACTGTAGGTTGAGTGGGTGAAGTTGAGTATAAATGTGTAGAAGTGTAGAAGTGTAGAAGTGTGGTTGAAGTCAGGAAGTCACTGGACTTCTCTCTTCTCCCTCAACCACCTCCGCTTCCACTTCTCAACCACACCACTCCTCCATATCTCAACCTCCATGCATTCACCCCGCAGCCATGGCTGACCAGGCCACTCCCACTCAGGAGAGGTCCACCTTCACTTATCGCCGCCCTCGACGCCGGCCAGCCCATTTGCGAACCAAGACGGGCTGTTTGACGTGTCAGTCGCCTACTGGTTGTTCTTTATTTTCCATTAGCAGAGCCACTACTAACCTTGCAATGCAGGTCGCAAGAGAAAAAAGAAATGTGATGAGACTCTCGCCCAGTGCCTCAATTGTGCAAAGCAGAGACTGCCCTGCGTCTGGCCATTCTCAACGGGTACAACTGAACAATCGCAACATCAGGATCAACCTCAGGATCAACCTCAACCGGTTTCTCCGTCTAAGCAAATTGCTACCTCCCTACGGAGATGGAGCAGCTCTCCGCTTCCCTCACCCGTGCCCCATTTGCCCTGGACTCATTCACCTGCAATCACCCCGGACAGCGGCCCCTTGTTTGATTTCCTCAGATCAACCTTTCTTCCTCAGCTCATCCGCCCCGCCACCGATGGTACGGTGACCCATGGCCTAAATCGCGAAACCATGATGCTCGCTCTAGGCCACCCCTTCTGCATGCATGCCCTCCTCGCGTGTTGTGGTGCCGAGATGCCCATGGGTGTCCAGAACTTCCGTCATCTGGCTCGCTTCCACTACACCAGCGCGGTGGCTGGTCTACGCGATGTACTCAATGATGCCCATCTGGCACCCCGATGGGTCGTCGCCATGCTAACTATCATGATGCTGTGTATCTACGAGGTAACACGGACTGCCCAGATATATCTTCTCTGTCTATTTATGTTTAGTTCGATCTTTCTAATTTTTCTATCGCCCAGCGTGCAAAACCGAAGGGCTCGTCAGGGGTCGAAATTCATCTAGTAGGAGCAGCAAAGCTAATCGCATTCTATTCTGGCGGTTCCGATTCCGATTCCGATCCCAACCATGGTTATGACGATCCAATTTCAAGAACAGAAGGCGCAATGCATCGCCTGGTGCGAGAATCCTTCATCTTTCATGTCGCGACGAGCTTACCTTTTCAGGAGAGCGATGCCAATCCCGTCGAGATCGAGACTGCTTTGTCCTTGGCGGAGCAGGCCATCAGCCAACATTTTCAACCCAACACCCTGTCCCATTCCGATTCCCCCGTTCTTGGATTCCCGCCACAGCTATTCCGATGCATTTATACGGTCTATCGTCTCTACCGCTCCTCGGCCAGTCAGGGAGTCAGCATTGAAACACGCCGGGCGCTCGATCGAGATTTACGGCAGTGGGATCAGCGTATCAAGGCGCGCGCCAAAGGGCCAGCCAAGGAGGACACATCACCGAGGAGCAGCTGGGACAGAAAAGGTCTCCAAATTACCGCATCACCTCTTCCGCCGGGCGACAAGATGAATGACTCCTGCTTGGGTCCGATGCTGTATATCCTTGGGTCTCGGCTGCTACTCCGACGTATGCGAGGGCCAGGACAGGCTGAATTAACCCCGTCGATCGATCAATTACTCCCGGAAGGTATGGAAATGGTGTGCCAGCTACAGCCTGACGAAGACTACTATGCCGACTACTATTGCTGGCCACTTCTTGCAATCGGAATGCATTTGAAATCCGCGCCCGACCGGGAGTTGTTGCTTCGCCAAGTGTGGGCGTTCTGGACAGCGACCAACAATGGAACAATGCGACGACTCGCCGACATGCTGGACTTTTTGTGGCGATGATCCTCGGTAAAGCGATCGCAAATCAGATTCCATTCGAATCGAACCCGATCATCGTTCTATCATCACCTCATCACCTCATCGGCGTCAACTCCGCTTCTGCGATTTTCGGCAGGTGGATTTGTCAGCCCGCTTTTTCTATAACAGTCCGAGCAGATCGCACATCTCACCGAGGTTCTTCTCCTGCATCAATTGAACATTTCCACATTCTGCACAGAGAAAAGGAGAAAAGAAAATGGGCTCAACTTTCCGTTCCCCTCATATTGTCAAGGCCGAGGGCATCCCTTACTTCACCCCCGCCAACAATGGCGGTGCTGCCTTGAACCCAGACGATCCCAATACGCCAACGCTGTTTCGCCCATTACAGATTCGTGATGTGAGCTTGAAGAATCGCATTATGGTCGCGCCCATGTGCACTTACTCCACGGAGTCAAACCCGAGCTCCCCTGCGGTCGGGGCGCTGACCGACTTCCACATTGCCCATCTCGGCCATTTCGCTGCCAAGGGCGTAGGCCTGGTCATTATCGAAGCATCCGCTGTCCAGCCGAATGGCCGAATCTCCCCCAACGACTCTGGTCTATGGCAAGAAGGGACAGAATCTGAACAGTTCAAGGGTCTTCGTCGGGTGACTGACTTCATACATAGTCAAGGCGCCAAGGTCGGCATTCAACTTGCTCACGCCGGTCGGAAAGCGAGTACGGTTGCTCCCTGGTTGTCCTCTGAGGGGAAGAGAAGTAGCATCAAAGCCGACGAAAGTGTCGGGGGCTGGCCATCAAATGTGGTCGGGCCGTCCGGGGGTGAAGAGCATATCTGGGCGCCGGGCGATGTGAAGTATTGGCCACCTCGAGAGCTCAGCACCGCAGAAGTCGAAGAGGTCGTGCGAGCTTTTGGGAGAAGTGCCAAGCTAGCCGTTCAAGCTGGTGTGGACCTGATCGAAATTCATGCCGCGCACGGCTACTTGATTCATGAGTTCCTGAGCCCCGTTACCAATCGCCGTACCGACAAATACGGCGGCAGCTTCGAGAACCGAATCCGCCTCGTTCAAGAAGTCGCGGCCGCCATTCGAGCTGCTGTCCCAGCCGGCACCCCATTGTTCCTCCGCATCAGCGCAACAGAGTGGCTAGAGGAACAATCGGTCGCCGCGCAGACTGGCAGCTGGGACATGCCATCCTCGATCCGACTGGCAAAGCTACTCCCGGAGTTGGAGGTGGATCTTTTGGACGTGAGCTCAGGCGGGAATCACAAAGATCAGAGGCTTCAACCCCATACAAACTACCAAATTGACCTGGCGGGTGAGCTGCGCAAGGCGATCCGTGGAGCCGGTCAGACGACATTGGTGGGAGCCGTCGGTTTTATCACGGAGGCCGACGCCGCCCGGCACATTGTGCAGGGCGCGGATGAAGCCCTGGCCACCGAGTCTGTTCTTTCGGGCCAGGAGCCTAAAGCGGACGCAGTCTTGATGGCCCGTCAATTCCTCCGCGAGCCCGAATGGGTGTACAACGCGGCCAAGCAGCTCAAGGTTCCCATTTCGGTGGCATGGCAGTTCGCTCGCGGCGTGCTTTGAGATTGAGTTTAGGAATACGATGTATATATGGAGGGGGTTCATAAAGACTCTACGCTATCGGGATAAATATAAACCGGACAATATATACGGTACTTCAATGAATATACTCATTAGTGAAGGCTTCTGGAAGATGCAGGGGCCCGGGCTATCCTACTATCTTCTCACCCGTCGTAACTGAATCTATCCAACCACAACAAAGGAGTCGCGCAGGTGAACGCCATACAGATCTAGGGACTGCCGATCTCTTTTACAGATACGAGTTCATTGGGTCGAGGCATATCACCAGAATTGCAGCTGGTCCACTGAAACACCCACACGCCCTCAACGTGCAGTGCCAAGCGAACAAGCTCCGTGGCCAAGCCCCGAGGTTACAGCGCAATCAAAACTCCAAACACGAAACACTTGCAATGTGAGGAGAAGATAGGGTAATCAAGAGGGCGGCCACTGGTTTAAAAGGAGTTGAAAATCATCCAGAAGATATGACGAGGAGCAGAGAGCCGGGAAAGAAAAAGAAGAAGAAAAAGGCTGAGCATTCTTTATCGGGGCTTGCGACAGCATTCCCCTTCACTCCCAATTCTTCCTTGTTTCATTTCGAACTAGCGTTCCAAGATTGAACATCCAAGATGGTGATGGCATCTATAATAGTGAAGGCTCTTGTCGCCCTCGCTTTGATCCAGTCGCCCCTGGTCGTTGGCATACCGACGGCCCCAGGGATCCCATCAGCGTCGGCAGCCAAAACCGAGCTGGGAGACCTGACTGTCGCTGCTCAGGGATCCCAAGATGGCTATTCTCGAGCCAAGTTTCCTCATTGGATTTCCCAGGGGAGGTAAGTTGCGAGACCCTGTTGTTGCGCATCTGTATCATTCTCACTCCGGCTATCCAGTGGCTGCGACACGCGCGATGTTGTGCTGAAGAGAGATGGCACGGGCGTGGTTCAAGATGATAGCTGCTCTGCCAGTAGTGGGAAATGGGTCTCCCCGTATGATGGAGCGACTTGGACTGCGGCTAGTGATCTGGACATTGACCACGTCGTGCCCTTGTCCAATGCCTGGAAGGTAGGCATCTAAACCCCTGGTTCTCTGGGTCCTATTGACTGGGCATGGCTTGCTAACCAACTTTCTGATAGTCCGGTGCCTCTGAATGGACGACGGATGATCGACAAGCGTTTGCCAATGATCTCACTCATCCGCAGCTCCTGGCCGTCACGGACAACGTGAACTCGGCCAAGGGCGACAAGGGACCTGAAGAATGGAAGCCTCCTCTTGGTAAGGAATTTGAATTGGAATCAACGAGAAATCACAGTGGAGGAAGTCATTTTGTCTAACATTTTGAATAGCATCGTATTACTGCACCTACGCGGAGATGTGGGTAAAGGTGAAATCGACCTACAACTTGACGGTCACCACGGATGAAAAGTCAGCGCTGGTCGACATGCTCGCTACGTGCTAGTGCTAACCTTTGGAAATGGGAGAATTTATATACTACTAGTATACTAGTATACTATGATTGGCAATTTCAATTTCAATTTCATTTTCATTTTCATCTTCATTTTTTGGCCAGGCTAGGTTTACTTCTTAAAGGGCTAGTTAGTACCCCGTAGTAAACTTGAACATGAACTTGAAGTTAATGATTTCTATAGGCCTGGGTCGAGAGAATCCACTGCACGGGAGATCGGCAGATATGAAGAGCTTGTCACATTGACAACAGGAACAGTCAGTATACTACTTCAACCCACTGTTTCGCCGAGCACATGGTGCGGCTGTTGAATCCGATTGGCTTATACTTCCTGAAGGTAAGTACCCACGGTATACATACAGCCTAGTATGGATGTATGTATGTATACCAACCAAGGCTAGACCAAGGCTAGACCACTTTAAGGTAACCTTCTGTGCCTGAGGAAGGTGCTACGGACTAACGGTATATACATCAACATTCACTACCACATACACCTCCACAGCTGTGCACTGTAAGGAAGGCACGACTGAAGGCACTTTTGATACCCCCGGAACTCCCCAGCGTGTTCCTGTCCTTCTCTCTGATTGGTTACAGCGACGGCTACACGATACTCTACCAGACTCACAGTCTATGCTACTGTATACCACACCACTACGTTGCATCAGTCTGTCTCTCTTCCCTTCTTCCTTCTCATCTCTCCATCTCCATCTCTTCCTTCTCATCTCCATCTCCCTCATCACTCTCATCACCATGGAGAACTCTCCCAGTGACTCCGTCATGAAGATGGACGATTCCAAGAGTCACCAACATCACGAAGATTGGGATCTCGAGCAGGCCCCCCCAGCGCCAATTCTCCGGTGTCTTCAACGTCTTCATCGCCGGTCTCGCCCTCGCCAGTGATGGCTACAATGCCCATTCCAGTATGATTCCCATCCAGGGCTACCGTCACCTCCACTAACCCTATGATCATCATTCCAGTTGGCTACATGATGCCTCTCTTCACCCTTCTGTGTGTCCATCTCTCTATCTCCATTCACCACCCCCACTCACCCTCTCCAGCTACAAAGACGGCATGTCCTCCACCATCAAATCCCGTCTCACCAACTCCTACTTGATCGGCGAGATCTTCGGCATGCTCTTCTTCGGTGTCTTGATTGATCGCCTCGGTCGTCGAACCGGCATTCTAGCCACCACCCTCTTCTTGGTTCTTGGTCTGGTCTTGGCCACCGCTTCTCACGGTTCCTCCCAGCTCGGGTATGATCCCAATCCTTCAAGTTAGCAGCAAGCACCAGACACCTCACTAATCCAACCCAGAATGTTCTGGATGATGATCGTGGCTCGAGGCATTGCGGGCTTTGGAGCCGGCGGCGAGTATCCAGTTTGTGGAACCAGTGCCACGGAGGCTGCAGATGAGACCCATGTCCTGCGCCACCGTCGGGGATTTCTCGTCGCTATCACTACTGACACGGCCTTGGACCTGGTCCGTATACCCCCATCCTTGCAATCACGTAGTGATCCCGCGACTAACACTAATCAGGGTGCCATTGTGGCCGGAATCGTCGCGGTCGTCGTTTTGGCCGCCTATAACCACCATAACTCCGAGGGCATCTGGCGCATTTGTTTCGGTTTGGGTTTCATCGTATGTTATGCCACCCGATTCTCCTCCCAGAGACCTTGTTTCACCCGAATCCTAACTATTCCAGCTTCCCATCGCGGTTTGCTTCTTCCGAATCCGTATGCTCAACTCCACCCAATATCGGAAACATGCCATCAAGTCCAACTACCCCTACATGCTGGTCATCCGCCGCTACTGGAAGCCCATGCTCGGAACAGGTGAGAGAGAATCCCCGATGCCTTGTTGCTAGACAATTGTGTTCACCCATTTTCTCTTAGCCCTCGCCTGGTTCTGCTACGACTTCGTCACCTACCCATTCTCCCTCTTTTCCTCGACCATCGTGCAGCAGTTCAACCCCAGCAACACCGCCATCCAGAATGTTGGATATGGAGTGAGTCCAGGAAGCGCCTGTTCGTACCATTATTTCTTTCTCTAACCCCGATGTCGGCAGACTGTCATCAACTGCTTCCAGCTCCCTGGTTGCTTTCTCGGCGGATACCTGATGGATCGCATTGGTCGCAAACAGACCATGACCCTGGGCTTTTTCCTCTGGGCTCTCTGGGGATTCATCATCGGGGGCGCTTTGCATCCCATTCAGAGTATCTTCCCACTCTTCGTAGTGATGTACGGTGTTTTCCAGGCCCTGGGTGAGATGGGACCCGGAGTTGCGACATTCCTATGTGGCTCGGAATCATTCCCTACCCCCTTTCGTGGCCATTTCCTGGGATTTGCGGCCGCGGTTGGAAAAGCCGGTGCATCCATCGGCACGGAAGTGTTCACTCCCATTCAGCACCGCTTCCACACGACACAGAAAGGTCAGCAGGCTGTATTTCTCATCGGATCTGCGTTCTGTATCGTCGGTGCCTTGATCACCTGGTTTCTCATCCCGGACATGTCTCGAGAACTTGAGACCGAGGATGCCCGTTTCAAGACATATCTGGAGGAGAATGGATACGATATCACTTCGTACGGAGAGGAAGAGTTAGTCGTCCAGCGGAAGTAGCGTTGGAGCTCACCCTTTCGAGGAATATCCCAAACCGGGGCCTCGCACCGCGTTAAGTGGATGGCAGAGAAGGAAAAGGAAAAGAGGGGGGGGGGATGATGATGGTTATCTGAATATCAAAAGTCTTAACAGCACATCGAAGGTTCGGAGGAAACATCTTTAATAATCTAGTCTTACGCTGTCTCGCAGATTCTCGAATTGACAACCTTCTTCTGCTCTGGCCACCCCAAGTAGAAACGGAGACTATCCGACTTTGACGCACGTCATTCCCAAGCTAAACTATCTCAGGATTAGTCAATTTTGATTTAGATCTGAATCTGAAACCTGCCCTTTTCGACATCTCGGCCGAGATCCTTATTCTTATCCGGCCTGCCTGCCCGGGCATATAGGAACCTCGGCCACAGCACGATCTATTGTACAAATCAAATAGAGCTAAGTCGCCATTTCTATATCAAACGACGCCCAGATTTGAATCTAACTGAGCTTAAATTAAGGTCCGCAACAGTGGCAATTTCTTATCGTCGCCCGCTTTCACGATGGGCCATACAAAGGGAGTATTGCGTGCTCCTCCGCATCGTCGATCAAATAACTTCAACTTAAGAAGTTGGAAATTGACTGCTTCATATTACTTTCAATATCTGAATAAATTCTTTTCGATTTGACCCCGGCGAGATCAAAATTCTGATCGGAGAATAAACAATGTTCTGCTGCAAGTACGAGTATTAGACTGGTGTGGACCCAATAGGCCAGACCAAAAAGCCAAGACATCGTGATGGCGACTAACCCTGACGTGCTTTTTACTTCCAACTGCTCGGCTCAAGCAAAATAAAATAAAAATCTCTTAATAATGTAGTCGGGGCCTCTTGTCACCTTTGATTTTAATTAAAAACATACACTATAGATCATGGGTCGCCTATCCCATCATTACAGGTCTTGCCTGTTTCAGATTATCATCGTAGGCTTGGTTGCCTTCTGTGAACCCGGAATCTGGACAGCCCTAAATAACCTCGGAGCTGGTGGAAATGCCAGTGTGAGTCGTCTTTTTAGGGTCTGCAACTGATATGGATCCCACTAACGACACCCTGTATAGCCATTTTTAAACAACGCCGCCAATGCCTTGACATACGGACTCATGTCAGTGGGCTGCTTTCTTGCTGGTGGTGTTACCAACAAGATTACCGCCAAATGGACATTGTTTATTGGTGCTGCGTTTTACACCCCTTATGCAGCCGGTTTGTATTGCAACAATCGTTATGGGAATCAGTGGTTTCTTCTGCTTGGAGCTGCTCTCTGCGGTATCGGGGCATCTCTGCTCTGGGCGAGTGAGGCCGCTATTGCGGTCGGATATCCGGAAGAGGAGAAGAGAGGAAGGTAAGAATGCATGCCGCCTTAGTTCTATCTCTTCGTTAGCTAATTATCGTGTTTAGATATGTCGGAATTTGGATGGGGATTCGGCAAATGGGTCCTTTGGTTGGCGGTGCCATCTCCCTTGCCATCAATGTCAATACTGCGCATACTGGCAAGGTCAGCTACAATACTTACCTTGGGCTTGTCGCCATTTCATCTCTTGGGGCTCCATTTGCTCTACTTCTATCCCAGCCACAAGATGTGGTCCGGAGTAATGGCACCAAAATTCCTTACATGAAGAAGACCAGCTTAGCCATCGAAGCCCGTGCTATTTGGAAGCAACTCAAGAACAAATATCTACTGCTACTCATTCCGGTATTTTTGGCCGGTCAGTTTGGCACAACTTACCAAGGGAACTACTTGACAAGTATGGAATATCCAATCCCCATTGAAGGAGAGAACTTCTCTAACAAAATATCAGCATACTTCACCGTTCGTTCCAGAGCGCTAGCTTCGTTCCTCACAGCTGTTGTTGGTGCGTTAGCCAATATAACCACGGGTCTTGTTCTTGATCTCAATTATTTCTCAAGAGGAGCCCGATCCAAAGCTGTTTACCTCATTGTCTTGGTCTTCGTCACAGCAGCTTGGGTATGGAACGCTATCACCGAAACGAAGCTTTCCCGTATGGCTGAACCACCCGCCTTCGACTTGGGCGATGGTCCATTCTTCAATTCCGCTTTCACCGTCTACATGTTTTTCAAATTCTTCTACGAGGTTCTACAGACATACATCTATTGGCTTATGGCCGAGGTAAAAGGCGCACAGGGCGATGGAGATATTGCGCGAACAACGGGGATTCTCCGATCGTGGGAATCGATCGGCAGCACTATTGCATACGCAGTTGGCGCAACACACTGGTCAAACTTGAACCAAATGATCCTCGGCTTTTCTCTATGGGGTCTCACCATTCCATTCACTCTCCTCGCAGTGTTTGGAAACTGGAATGTAGGTGGGGAAGTTGATGTGGGGAGCGTGGAGGGCCCAGAGGATGTGGAGGGACGAGCAGACACTAGCAGCGTTGAGACGGAGAGGGTTTTCGTTAGTCATGATAGTAAATGATAGAATAGAGCTAGACGGGGTGAAATATAACTATGATGTTCATACTAGGAGTCATTGACCATCAGTTACAAGTATGAGCAGGCGAATTAGGTAACCGCTTCTTGTAGGAGTGTAGAAGCCTCCTTACGTCGTCGCCCTTTCAGTAAAATAGACTCAACACATATATGTATATATTTGGGATCATCCACCAGATTCATCTGGGAATACTGCCAGTGCGGTGCTGTGTATTATTTACTACGCATCGTACGACTTTGCATGACCCCGCGTCATTTCCCCGCCCCCATCGGCTTTTTGCTAAACTAGTCGTAGATCTATACCCCATAAATCATAGCATCGGCATGAGGGGGAATTCAAAGCCAAGAAGACTGCTTTTGAACGTTTTGAATGCTACGGTTACTTTCACGGTGTAGCAGTACTGCTTTATTCAACCATCGTACAGCTGTGCTCTTGAGCCATAAAGCATTCCATTTAGGCTATTGTATTTGAATATAGCTATTATATCTAAATAAAAGCATCATCTTGCCCTCTTATAGAAAGCGATCAGCTTTTTGCACTTGATAATAAATTTGTGCCAAACTATTATACGGTGACCAATAATGAAGCTATCCGGAAAGGTCGCCCCGTCGATTCTATCTCTATGGATTTGCAATGCTATCTCTCTTTGCCATGCAAAGATAAGTCCTTATGCAACGTCCTCGGAGGCTTGGCCCCACGACCTCCAAGCCCGCAGCAATAGCTCGTTGATACGAACTACCTTCCTGGAGAATCTAGTTTCGAATTTGACGGTTCCTGAGCTTGGTATGTGATTGGATTCGATTTGAGCTGTAACCTGTAGTGACCACTAACCTATGCATTAGTTCTTCAATTGCATCTCATGTTTGCAGACAACATCATTGGCCCGCACTCAGACAACGGCCTATATGGTACTCTTAATACTAGTCTCCTATATTCAGGAAGCTCTTTGCTTATTTGCTCAATTCCACAGATAAAGCACTAGAGGCAGCACCGGGAGCACCGATCGGAATCATCCATGACTGGTATCCAACCAACAAGTCTCAATACAATAATCTCCAAAAGCTCAATTCCGAGAAATCCCGAGTCGATATTCCATTCATGCAAACCGGAGAATGTCTACATGGAGTAGGGTCGTTCAAACAGTCCATGTTTCCTCAGGCCATCGGAATGGCAGCAACTTTTGACACGGACCTTGTGTATAGAGTTGGCCGAGCTATTGCGACTGAAGCGCGATCGATTGGGATTCATGCTTGCTTTGCCCCCGTGCTCGATTTAGCTAAAGATCCTCGCTGGGGTCGCGTGCAAGGTAAGCAAGCCATTCTCTTCTCACTGTATTTTTTTCGCTTGATTGAATTGAATTTTAATTTGCTTTATTTATCAGAGGATTGGGGAGAAGATGTGGTTCTGACATCTCACATGGGTGTCGCCTTTTCAAGCGGGTTGTCCAAAAACGGTAGTTGGTCAGACCCCGATGCCGTGATACCGGTGATGAAGGTAAATAACATGGTCCGAATTGCCTGGTTGAAATCTGCTAATTTTCTATTTCACATATAGCATTTTGCAGCTCATGGGAGTCCGCAAGGGGGTCATAACGCTGCTCCATTCATGGGATACGGCACGCGTCAGGTTTTGCAAGAAATGCTTGTTCCATTCAAGGCAGCGGTGCAGCTTGGAGGCGTTAAAGGCGTGATGATGTGAGTTTTCTTCCTCTCTACGTCATCAAACCAGGCTTAATACAGACGAAGGGCTTACAATGAGTTCGATGACGTTCCTTCCTCCGTGAATCCTCTTCTATACGAGGCATTGGCAGATTGGGGATATGACGGTTCATTGATTGGCCTGTAAAAGTTTCTTGAATCCGGCTAATACCATTTATAGGCTATATCACTGCGGATGATACAGGTAAGCTGACATGCGAAAAATCTAGTTCATGTCAAAGGACGGAAATTTTATAACTCACATTATTCAGGGCTTTCTGAATTGTTGAATACGCACCTTGTTACTAGCTCCGTTGCAGATACGATTGCCCAATGGCATAACGCCGGTGGAATGGTTCAATTCTACGATTTTTCTCTTGAAGAATACATCAATGTTTGTCTCCAAACTATCATTCCATGGCTTGTTCTAATTTCTATCAATAGGCAACGACTTCTTTGGTCGCGAATGGAACTCTATCCATCGAAACACTGCGATCTTTGGCCAGTCGGGTTCTCGGTGTCAAGTATGACCTAGGGCTCTTTGAAGATCCCTACATCCCACAAAATATTGAGTCGGAGAACATTACTATATCTCACGCTCCTCTGACCCTTGAAGCTGCCCGTAAAAGCGTTGTGCTACTTGAAAACAAGAATTCCACACTACCTATAAGCCCCGACAAGCAAAAAATCAAAAATATTGCCTTGGTTGGACCTTTCGCAGATACATTCAACTATGGTGATTATTCCGGCCAATGGGGAGGATATCCAGTGCGAAATGCCAGTACAATCCGGCAGAGTCTCTCCGAACACCTTGCAGCCCACTTTCCGGAGACCGACCTAGTAACTAGCTGGGGGGGCAAATTCGTGGACTTTCAATGGACAGTACAATATTCCACCATATCTCCTATCTTCGAATGATACATCTGGGGGTCTGTTGGCGACGTATTATGCCGATACCGATTTTTTCGATGCAAAATTTCAAAAACTTGAGACCCCAAGCCTCGACTGGGGTCTTTACCCGCCAAATGGGCTACCATCGAATAATTTCAGCGTCATATGGGAGGGAATGGTCAATGTTCCTGTTGAATATGACACACAAGGTTGGCTCGGTGTGGCTCTCTATGCTAATACATCAGCAAGACTCTACATTGACGGAAAACTTCATGTCGACGTGAAGCCAACGTCAGCTGGAAACATTCTTTCTAACATACCCGGACTATCATATACTTCCGCCAACGGAACAATGGGCCCCCCCCAGGGTCTTCGCCTTTCTTGTTCAAAAAGTCTGCAATTCATAAGATCAGACTTGAGTACCAGGCATTGAACTATAATCAGAAATTTGAGAATCAAAATTCACTGAATGCCCAGGTGCTTTTATTCTGGAATCTTGTTGACAACATCGATCCAGTAAAGCAGGTAAGTCCTGTTGAAGAGATATACTATCTTCCAAGGGGCTTCAAATACTAAGTCCAAAAGGCCGTTCAAGTTGCCTCCGACTCAGACCTCGTCATATTGGCAGTTGGAGCTAACTGGAATAGCGATGGGGAATCTGGAGACCGGGCAACCTTGGAGCTTTCACCAAATCAAAGTCTGTGTCAATTCTTCGTATTTTCGAATCAAAAATTGAGAATGAGCTAACGTTCCCATTATTTTATTAGCCGAACTCGCAGATGCGATGTTTGCTTTGGGGAAACCAGTGGTTCTTGTCCTGCAAGGCGGTCGCCCGTTCGCAATTCCGGAGTATTACAACAAGTCAGCCGCCGTCTTGAATACTGTTAGTTCTCGAATGCTTTCGAATTACACGCGTGGATGAGTCGCTGATTATATCCAGTTTTTTCCTGGTCAAGCAGGTGGCCAAGCGATTTCAGACGCATTATTTGGCTTGGTTTCGCCTGGTGGTCGGGTCCCCATCAGTGTTCCATATAGTGTTGGCACATTGCCAGCGTTCTACAAGTATGTTTCGTCGCCCAGTTGACTCTGATCCGTGCTCACCCATGAAGCTACAAACCCTCTGTTCCTCGGGATTACGTGGACATTCCTTATAATTCAATCGTAAGTCATGTGTCACCAAAAATGGAAATCCGAGCCACAGAAAAGCTCCATGGCACTCATTTCGTACGTATCTTTAGTACCCGTTTGGTTATGGACTGTCATACACCAATTTTTCCACGTCCAAATTTCATGTTTCAGCAATCGGCAGAGATCCAGATATGTTTGAGTTCAGAGCTAGCTCGATTATAACATTTTCTGTCGACATCAAGAACACCGGCCCAGTAGCAGGTGATTATGTTCCCCAGGTCTACCTGCTTGGTCGCGTCGCCTCAATTGTGCGACCGGTCAAACAACTCGTCGCGTTTCATCGTGTCCATCTGCTTCCAGGTGAATCAACCACGGTTGACATGACTCTTGATGTTTCCCGGTATCTGGTGGTCCTTGATCGAGAATACAATTGGGTTGTGGAGCCAGGCGAATATACCTTCGCCTTGCTCGATAATGGAGGCAGCTCTGCAGATACATCGACAAATGTGACTCTCAGCTGCGTCCACTAATCTATATGAGACCATCATATCGCATTAATTTGTACGGTTCTAGCTGATTATGTGTAAATAATCTCCTCACGGAAATTAAGAAACTCACTCCTCTACTGAACAGAAGGCTGGGCTCTATTACATGTGGCTTTCACGGCTTGGTAGCCAGTTATGCATCACACTATTCAAAACAATAAATCCTCGAAGTGGAAGACTGAAGATCGGAAACCCTCACACTGCACCAATCTACTTGCCGAAAGAATTGAGAATAACAGTTGTTAAATTTCTAGATATTTCAGTGGAACATGATTGTTCTAGCAGCTAGTTAGCCCGATACAGACTAGTGCATTAGGCACAATGGGCTTTGAATCTTCGAAGATTTTTGAAAGATTGCGGGGCCGCTGGAGTTGGAGGTAGTTAGAGCTCAAGGGGACGCTGATTTTCAAGGTTCCAGAAGGACCATGTATAATTAGCAAATGTTTTAGAACCCCAGCCCTGGAGGGATTTAATTTCTCATCATTCTATTTGGTTTTTTATGATATGGAATTACTAACTATCAAAAGATAATATTAAGGTTTCTAGCTCGGAAATAGCTCTAATTTATAGCTCGTAAACCCTTGATGTAGTAACTATATTTGGTGATTCTTAGTAGTAGCGTACTACAAGTATTACTACCACCTAGTAGTTAGTTATTGAACAGGATCAAGAATTCCAAGGGTTGAATTTGAATATTGATAACATTGTACTCGAGGGTAAATTTTGTATCTGAAGAGAATAGAATAGAGTGTGTCCAAGTGAAAGGTGACGAAAATCGAGATGGCTTCAACATGATCACCGGAAAACGCGAAATGGCCTGCAGAAAACCCCAAAAGCTATGAAGCAACGTCCGGCTATTTTAAAGTGTGAATTAGCCGAGACCTCCCCCCCCCCTCCCCGAAGTCTGTGCATTAACCCCCACGGCACAATGTTGGAGCAAAAATGGAGAGAAGCCCCAAGTGGAGCTCGAGGTGCGAATTCGGACCGCCAATCTTGATTTCGCACGTTTTGGCACGGCATTGATGGGCTCGCGCACTACGAGTATTCAGTACAGAGTAATAAGAGCATATCTTGTTACCGAAAAATTCAACCTTTGACTTGCGATACCCCCCTCGCCTGCTCGAATGCTTCAGTTCATAGAATAAACCTTCCTGCTACGTGACCCGTCCGAGATAAACAGCAGCGGAGCACATTACACATAGAAACCGGCTAAACGTTCTCACATTGTGCCGCAAAAAATTAGTAATCGCATTCATCCAAGATGGGGGTGTAATTGTCAAAGTGGAGCTTGATACAGCCAAGCATTGCGCCTGATTGCTTGGTATCGGCACGCCGACCCCGCCGAACCTTTTGGTCCGGTGGCGACCCCGGTGAACCTCGGGGTTCAATAATTATGGAGAAGAGGTTTCCGATCGGCTAGGGCCCGGTTCTGCCTTTAAATCCCACGCGACTCCTGCTTTGCCGCGGAGAAACAAGGAGAGAGACACGCAGCAAAAGGAGAGAAATTATAATTTCTGGTTGTGAGTGCTGTCTTGTCCAACGCTCAACTTCCTACCTCGCCGGAGTCATGGCGTCACACGAGATCGAGCCTCAGATCGACCAAATTCAGGACACAGAGAAAAATTCAGAGTCCTTCCGCGAAACCTTCTCGTTGGTGTTGTCTGAAGAACAGGCCCTGGCAAAGGCGAGAAGCAGCCCGGACGATGCCCTCCCCATCATCGTGAGTTATGCCTTGGACGATCCCGACAACCCTCGTCACTGGCCGAAATTGAAGAAATGGTATATCACTTGTCTGGTCAGCATGCTTAATGTGTTCACGTATGTCCGATTCTTTTCTCCTTCTCCCCATTGAAGTGTCGGATCACTTGCTGACCACTGGATAACTAGAACCTGGTGTGCTGGAGGAATCTCATCGGGTGCCACGGGCATCCAAGAGGAATTTGGAGTTTCGTCCGAGATCACTACGCTTGGCCTATCGTTATACGTGCTCGGATATGCCATAGGTCCGGTTTTGCTTGCGCCACTCTCAGAATACTTCGGCCGACAGCCTGTCTACACCGTGTCATGGTTTCTTCTGTTTATTTTCCAGCTGCCACTCGCTTTGGCGCCGAATATCGGTACCATCCTAGTCTGCCGATTCATCGCTGGATGCGCTGGAGGTGCTCCGTTGACCAACACCGGTGGAAGTATTAGTGATCTCTGGGAACGCAATGAGAGTGGTGGCCCTATGGCTGTCTATGGCCTGAGCAGCACCTTTGGACCTCCAATGGCACTAGTCATTACTGGATATATCGGGTTGAATTGTGGGTGGAGAATGATCTTCTGGGTTCTCATGGCCATGACGGGTGGTGTTTGGATTTTGCTGGTCCTCACAGTTCCTGAAACACGACACACCACCATCCTTCAGAAGAAAGCCAAACGAGTGTGCAAGCAGATGCGCAAGGAGAATCTGCGCTCGGCTGAATCTACTACAGACCTCCATGCGAGCGACCGTAAGGGTCTACATGAGCTCTTTGCGATCACACTTACCCGCCCTTTCCGCTTCCTTTTCTCCGAGCCCATTACTGCATTCTCGGCCATATACAATGGTTTTCTGTACGGTCTGGTCTACCTTTTCAACGAGGCCATTCCTTTGGTTTTCGGTGCCCCCAAGGGTCATCCATTCAACACTGGCCAGCAAGGGCTGGCATTCTTGGGCATGGCCATTGGGCCTATCATTGCATTCTGCCTGTACCCCTTGCAGGAAAGGTACTATCTCCGACGTGTTGCCGAGAACCAGGGTAAGGGTGTTCCGGAAGCTCGAATGTGGATGGCTCGTGTTGGTGCCATTCTGATCCCCATCAGTCTTTTCTGGTTTGGATGGACGAGCTATCGCACCGTGCATTGGATCGTGCCCATCATCGCATCCTCGTTTTTCGGTGCGGGTATCTATATTGTCATCTTAAGTATCCTCAACTATGTCGTGGATAGCTATCAGACATACTCGGCTTCGGCCCTCGCAGGTGTGATTTTCGTTCGCAATGTGGTCGGTGCCGGATTCCCTCTGTTTGCCACTCAGATGTATGAGAAACTGGACTACGAATGGGCCTCCAGTTTGTTGGGATTCATTTCCATCTTGCTGGTTCCCATCCCATTTATATTTTTCTACAAGGGTGAAGCTATTCGACTGCGAAGCCCATGGGCCCGGGAGCACTTTGATCAGAATGAGGATAGCCCTCACTGATTGACATGATGCGAAAATCTTTGATTTCCAAGGTTCTTACTACATCCTGTACACATATCATCCAACTTAACAGTGCTAGATTTGAACTCAATAATTTGAACATGGAGTAAATATCACATTGAGTAAATATCAATTGAACGAAATAATCTTCAGATATTCTTGAGATATGTTGCATTCAATCTAGATTGTAGGTGTTCACCGGCTGTCATTCGAGGCTGGTCGGAATCTAGACTGTTAGCCCCGCCTCCGTAACCAACGATGAAGCTTTTATTGGGGTCCTTGTTTTGGCCTTCTCGGTGATTTTCCACAAGCTTGCTAGGAACTGGAACTAGCTCTGTGCTGCCAACGGGTTGACAGAAAAAGGCTATGCTGTAACGATCCCGCGGTCCCGATTCTGAACTCTCCGGCATCTCGCGAGGGAATACAACGCGGTGAACAGTTGATTTGAGCAACCCGTCAGTCCAGTAACTCAACATATCGCCGATGTTGACTAAAATTGGTGGAAATGGATATTCAACCAAGTCGCCGGGGTACACAGGGACCGGGGCCCATGTTTGGTCTGGCGTTAAGATCTCTAGGCCTGGTTGTCCAGGACACTGAAATAGTAGTGTAATGCTGCCGTAGTCAGAATGCGCACCGGCACGAATGTCCTTCTCCGGTATGAATGATGAAACATCAGACGGGTAGTAGAGAAGCCGAAGCGAGTTTCCCGTTGAACCTTTCGATGGATCATGGCGGCTAGTGAAAAAGTTCTCTGGTATCTTTTTGAGAGTTAAAAAAGTAAGCAAACTGGTCGTATCATTTCAGAATCTCGAAATTTACCTCGAGCCCTTGACTCAAGAGCTTTAGTATTTGAGCACATGTTTCATTGCATAATCGTGTAAAATCAGAAATCTCTTTCTCCCGTGAAAGGAGGCTTGGAGGTAAGGCTTGCTGAACTTTTCCGTCGTCCAATTCACCAATATTCAGAGCTCTGGGAGGATATTTAGACATAAAAATAATCAATACGTCAAAAGGAGTCTTACTCTTTGAAGTCTCCTCGCTAAGCAAGTTTTTAGTTGATCAATATGGTAAGCATAGCTTCTGGAACAGAATACCCACCTCGTGATTCTCCGGGTCTAGTGTTTCGACATGCATGCCAACCCATCCCTTGTTCTAATATGTCAATGACAATTATCAGCACGAATTCCCAGTATAGATCATAAGCGATTCGGCATTTACGGGCTAATTTTAGCGAGGGTGGCAAAATTCACAGCGTGGCCCTATCGCTTCGGGATACTAACATTTGATCCACGACGGTATGGCTCTTTTTCCGCCGAGGGTAGCTTGAAAAATTCGCTCGACTACGCATATTCATCATCAGCACCAAAACCTTTGATTTAAAGGACAACATGAGGGGACTTGGGGACGCAAAACCCATGACTTCAGTGGTTTACTTGTTGGGTATTGAAAAGGGCACTCCGGTCCAACGAACCATTTTAAACATTCTTTCGACGTCGCATTCTGTAAATTTTGACGTCCTGCTATCAATATAGAGGAATCCATATTCGATGGCAGCATTTAACAGCGCTTTGCCCGCAGCGGCAGTGTCTGGGTCCGAAAGATCAACCATAGGTAGTCTAATCGGGCTTGCCATGTTGGTGGCCATTGTTTTTATTTCCTCTGGGTTGCTGTTCATTCCCACCCGCAAGTTGTTCCACAAAGCTTCCTGATGCACTTAATCCTATATAGCCTTCTCGGCTCCTGTTGTTTGCGCAGAAAACGGACGACGGCGTCGACCGAGACGCTCGGCTCGATATTATCCAAGAGAGGACGGGAAGTGGTGAAAAAAAGAGAGGAATTTGGTCGACTAGTGAAGGTACCACATAATGAATGTGATTGATCATGTGCAAGTCTTGTATCACCTCAACTGCCAATGGAACTAGCTTCATTCGTAAGATGAGCGATTTACCCCACAGTGGCCTTAGATCATGATTTACAGAGACCCCTGTAACCATCGCATCTCATCTAGGTGGCACCTGTTGGACCTTCTAAGTCCGTAGCCTTAATTTCTACCCTTATCAATGGGTCTCGGTGGGCTCCGTACCAATGAAAACGCAGATCTGCCCCAGTCACCGGCCCCCCGCTCGGCCTCGGGCCAGAAATAGCGGAGACGCCGGCTGGACCAGGCCAAATCGGCATGGCTGGAAACTTAGAGACATGCAGACGACAAGCGAATATCGCAGTGTCCTGAAACAACCGAGGCGGTGCGGTGCGATTGATATGTGTGCCAGGCGTGGTCGATACCAATAGACGATCAAATTATTGAGTAATAAGCTTGTTTAGTCGAGATGAAGTTCATGCATGGTCGATTAATTGAGCCTTCTGTCAAATTAGTACCTCAACGCCACTACCTGGTGAAAGTGCTTGACGGGCGCATTCAGTTCCCACTTCAAACTGTGGATCGGCGACCCCCGTGGGGCAATCCACCTTCTACAGTGGAGAGATTACTGATAAAAGGTGTCATTCCTTAGTCTCGACTTGTGATGTTTTCGTCCGTTGCTGATGCTTGAAACCATGGACAGTACACTGAATCGCGATGTGGAAAAGCGTGCTGGCACAGCAGAGCCGCCGCTCTTCGATCATGAGTCAGGGGCCGTCCCTGCATCGAGCTTTGAGCACGGCAACTCTCTATACGCGAAGCTTCAAAGGTTGGGAGGCAAGATAAAGGTTGAACAGAGAGGCATTGAGAGGGTCCCGGAAGATGAGCGGACGGATAACTCCTACTGGAATATTGGATCAATGGTATTTCCATCCTAACTACCTTGTGAGGTATCTCTAATCCGTGCAAATCAACCTAGTGGCTCGCTGCAAACATGGTCGTCCCTTCATTCACCATTGGAGTGTTAGGTCAACCGTTGTTCAATCTAGGCTTCATTGATTCAGCTTTGATAATTATCTTCTTTAACTTTATTTCGGTGCTCACGGTCTGTTTCTTCTCTACTTTCGGTGCCGCCTTTGGGGTTACGACAAATGGTTTTGTCTCGGTTTTGGTTTGGATGGTGGGGTGTCAAGCTCAGTATGTCATTTGGTTCCAGGGTTTCAGTGACATGGAGAGGAGCTAATGTAGCGATCTAGTTGCCTTGTTCAATGTCCTAGCATGCCTCGGATGGGCCGCGGCAAATATTATTGTAGGAGCACAGCTTATCAATGCCGTGAATCCAGATGTTCCAGGATATGCTGGAATTCTGATCATCGCCTTTTGCACCCTTGCGGTTGTCTTTTTCGGCTACCAGGTTGTTCATGCATACGAATACTGGAGCTGGATCCCGACATTTATCGTTTTTCTTGTCGTGCTAGGCGTCTTCGCCCACTCTGGAGACTTTGTCAATATTCCAATGAGAAGTGGCAGTATAGAGCTGGGCGCGGTACTCTCCTATGGATCTACAGTATTCGGGTTTGGAACCGGCTATACCAGCTTCGCGGCCGATTATACAGTCTATCAGCCAAGTGATCGACCTCGACGAAAGGTCTTCCTCGCTACTTGGCTAGGTATTTTCCCAACACTGCTTTTCACGGAGCTGTTGGGTGCCGCCCTTGTGACCGCCATCACCTTGAATGGAGGTGATAATCCTTATAACGCAGGCTACCAAGACAATGGGGTAGGCGGCTTGTTAGGCGCCCTGCTCTTTCCTCGGGTGGGGGGATTTGGCAAATTTTGTGTCATAATTTTGGCCCTATCCATCGTCGCCAACAATTGTCCAAACATTTATTCGGTTTCTCTGACACTTATGGTCATGGGCCGCTGTACTCGCCACGTCCCTCGCTTTGTCTGGACCATAGTAGCAACGGCAATCTATATTGCGATTGCCATCCCCGGATACAGCCAATTCGAAGCTGTTCTGGAGAACTTCATGCATTTCATTGGATACTGGCTCGCAATCTATGAAGGCATTGCACTAACAGAACATTTTGTATTCCGGCGCGGATTTTCTGGTTACCAACCCGAGGACTATGACAATCGTGATAAGCTGCCACCAGGAATTGCCGCCCTTCTTGCATTCTGCTGTGGAGTCGTGGGAATGGTGACAGGGATGAGTCAATCATGGTATGTTGGGCCGATCGCAAAATCAGCTGGGTTGGCGCCAGCTGGGGGAGATGTCGGATTTGAGCTGGGGTTTGCTTTTGCTGCATCCTCGTATGCGATTTTAAGGTTTATCGAGAAGGGATTTTTCAAGCGATAGTTGACTGTATAGTAGGAATAGTTGAGCAAAATCCCATCGTTATCTCAAATTGATTCGAGTATCTCCGTGTCTGGAAGAACAGGAAGAACATGTATTTATATTTAACGCTAGCAAAGATCATTTGACCTGTTACTGAACTTCAATTGCAGCCCTGAGTAGTATTCTTGAGAACGACCAGGAAAAAATGATACTACAACTAGAAGCTCACCCCATCTTTACAAATGGCCTTCTTTTTTTCATTCCATTATTCTAATTCCATTATTCTGTTGGATTGACTTTATACTTCAAAAGTCTTTTTATCTATATCATACATCGGTGAGCAAGCCAGCTTGCTCTTTCCCCGTAGCCATGGGCCATAAACCTTGAATATGACTGGAATCGGTATCATAATAACAGCAATACACCCTAGCAGTGTGCCGGCCCATTGAACGCCAAGATTCTCCATCATTTGACGAGAGAATAATGGAAACGTACAGCCGATAGCAGAGCGCATAATGGTATTCGCCGCAATTGTAGATGCGGCCCTAAAGGTTTATCAGCAAGCTTTTTCAGATATTTATTAACTCCGGAGGACATACAGAGCGGGATAGCAATCAACAATATAGTTGAAGCATTGTAAAAATATTAGAAAGATTCCTGCACCTGTGAAAACTCCAGACGCCACAGGCGCTATCCAATGAATAGAGGAGGTATATCCGGTCCAACCGAACCTATTATAATTAGCTATCAGGTTCAGCTTCAGAAATATCAGATAGAAACTTGACTTACCAAAACATGCCGATGGCAAATACCACTGCTCCAAGGATAGCAGGCGGGAGGCGCCATTCAGGGACGGGCTTGTCGCCGTTTGAAGAGAGCTTGGATGCATAAGAGCGTTGGAGAAAGAGCATAAGAACACCTCCAAGGAGCTCACCGATAATGAGTCCTACAAATGCCAGTCCACCTACCCCCATGCTCATGTGATAAACTCCTTCGAATACCACTGGATAAGCCCCGAGTAGAGCATATATCAAGCCGTAGATAAAAGAGATATATAAGGATATCAGAAAAAGAATGGGCTCCGTGACCAACATGACAATTGGTCGCGTAAAGTTTGTGCAGATGAGTGCGATAAAATCTACCTCGACCTCATCTTGCTTGGCGTGAATGCCCCAATTCCGAGTTTGTCGGCGCAGGGTGGCTGCTTTCTGGACCAAGATGACCGGGGGGTAAGTCTCGTCAAGGCATAGAAGAGCTAATATAAACCCTAGAAATACCATTATAGCCGAGATGTACATGATCCAGCGCCATCCCAAGGTGCTCATTTCAATAAATCCACCGATGAATGGCGCCGCAAAGGGTCCAATAAAAACAGCCATGCAGAAGACCGACATTACCATTCCTCGCTGGGCATTATTGAACAAGTCTGCAAAGACAGCCGGAACAACCGAAATGGGACTTGCAGCAAATAGTCCCGCAAAGAACCGACATATCATGATAGTCTGCAGATCCTTCGCAGTAGCACATGCCACTGTGAAGATCCCACACCCAAGGATCCCTACCGAGAGCGGTCCACGTCTCCCAATAAGCTCCGATCCTGGCGCCCAGATGGTTGGACCAGCTGCAAATCCGAGAACATAAAGTGCAACGCCAAGTGATCCCACTTCCTTGCTTGTTTGAAATTCTTGAACAACTCCGGGGATGGCGGCTGAGAAGACGGCACTGGTAAAAGAGCAAGCGAATGTACTGTAACAGAGGATGGCAACAAGAGAAATTCTATTGATATATTAGAACGACGTAACGAAAGTAAAACTTCAATCTTCAAGCGTACCTTTTGAGCGAAGGCCAGTTATAAGGGTGTAACGGATCGTCTGTACCATCAAATTCCACCACGTATGCTTCAGAGTCTGGAAGAAGAGGTGGATGCTCCTTTCCGGCTCCCATGGCGAGCCATTTTTCTCGTGGGGTAAGACCCCTTACAGAACCAACGGTTGTCTTTTGCTGCAATCGATATGTGTTGATACGGGTAAGTTCGAGCTCGTCCAGGTGTCCAATCGTGTCGTTCGAACTCTCGCTTTCGGAATCATTGTCGTAATTTATATTCGTTTCAAGTTGATTATCATGATATTTTGTCTCCAGGTCCGACATTTTGAAGTCAAATGACCATAATCAAAATTTGAGAGATCGCGAAGAGATGAGGGTTTGAATGTTAACTCGAAACAATACGGGAGTACAGCCAGATGATATGTTTCTCTGAAAGGCACATGTGGAGCGAATTTTCTTCATTCTTGCACTGGCGAGGTCTGGTAAACCCGCAATTGCCATCACAAATGGATCCTGATTCTATCAAATCAAGCCCAATCTAGACAGGAAAGACCGTGAGAAGATCCATACTTTTCCGCTGTGGCTGATATAGGACTACGGGGTCCACTTTCTGGCTCCACATTCACCAGAATTTGCCAATCCAAGTCTCACCAGCCACTGGAAGCTCCTCGGTTATGGTCGGAGGTGTGGCTAGAATACTGTGACCGTGGGCAGCCGATCGTAGCCGTTATCTCTCAGGTTTCAGGCAAAATGCGTGATAAGATCCAATATAATGTGTTGAAAAGGAAAAATCTGATCGCTAGGGGTGCCATGAAATCCACATATCGTCATTCACCACCCCAATTGGCCCGGCTCATCCCGCTCGGTCACAAGAAACCGAAGACATGCTTTTGGCGTCGGCACAGGAGTTTGTCATATCAAGTCGGGCCGTGAAATATGTGATCAATCCCGACATTGAGTGAGGTGGCCCATTTATTAAGTGTTACTAGTAGGATAGACGATATTTTGAAGCAGATCGTACGGCCAAATAGCAAGACGTCGCGCGCCATTTTTCCATGTATTCTGTGCGTAGCGTGTAGGAGGGCATGCATCAAAAAAAAAGAAAGAAAGAAAAACAAAAACAAAAGGGGAAGCCATTCAGACTGGTACGGAAGCCAAAAAAATGATTTCCGAAACGCCAGTCCTCAGGCTGGAGGTGTTTTATCTTTACTAGTAACTACTTGATATCTATCGAGACATAATCCCCACTACGCTAGCTAAAAGCACTGGCATTTTCTCTCTAAACCTTATCGTACATGTAATCTAGAAGCGATAAACATCTAATTCCACGATGAATGAAAGTTTTTGCGCCATGAGAAGGTTCTCCATGAGTAGTACTAACTTATAGCTGCCCATGTGGACAGTCCTTGAAGCACGGTCCTTTCAGTTACATTGAGCTTTGTTCCTCTAACCTTTTACACAATTCTTTCAATCTCCAGCCAGCCCATTCAAAATCAGTTTTTTCAAGATAAACCTGTCCACTGAGACGGACCCACCAAGATCCCTGAAATGGAAACACAGGCATAAATGTGCTGTAGTCTTTGATCATGGTTTTCTGCATCCAATCCGTCACGGTAGCACCGGGAAAATCGCCATCTTTGACGAGGCTACCTTTGCCAGAAGTCGGCCAATTCAGAGGAAGTAGTATGTTTACCATGAAGCATTCTGTCAACGTGTGTGCATCATTATCGAGAATCCGAGTTCCCAGGATGTTTGCCACTCTTAGTCCGCCTTCTCGGGCTAGTCGAGTGCAGTAATCTCTGATCTTGCTTTCTCCACCGCAGATTGTCTGTCGCCAACGAATTGCTTCAGCGACAGTCAAAAAAGCGAGATTATCGGTGGTTCCGACGAACTCAAAATTCGAGACAAACTCTGACCCATCACTAGCACAACTGTTGGTCGACGGGGAATGAGGAATAAAGCCATGACTTGTTGGTAAGGTGCTTCGCATCATAGCTTGGTGGCGCTCTGGGACATAAAAAACAGCACATGCACGAGGGGTGAAAAGCCATTTATGGCAGTTGCTGATAAAGAAGTCCGGGTCCAAAGAGGAGAGATTAAGCTCAATCTGGCCAATACCATGGGCTCCGTCGATCAAGCTCAACACTCCTTCTGTGCGGCAAAGAGCAGTGAGCTCCTCGAATGGAAGCCTGAGTCCGGGGTTGGAGGAGATTGTATCGAATATCGCAATCCGAGGACGACGGCCTTGTTGACGGGACGCTTCAATTGCTCGTTGAAACCCGGAAACAATCTCGGCATCATCAACAGGATAATTGAAGCAAATCTCCCTTGTATGCGCTTTCCCTTGATTGGCCTCACATAGATAATTGGTGGTTTTACCACATGCGCCGTAGATTACATCCAACTGGAGAATTTCATCTCGTCCATCGGCATTCCAAACTATATTGCGCAAAACGGTATTGACTCCGGTCGTAGCATTGGCAACGAATACAATAGTGGATAGAGGAGCATTGAGAAGCTCACTTACAGCAACCCGTGATCCATTCAATAATTCAGGGAAGCGGTACTTGATAAATGGACATGGTGTAGCCTCGCATTCATCGCGCAGTCGATCTGCCAGGTCACGAATTGCCTTGGGAGATGCACCAAATGACCCTAGAAATCAATGAGTTGTGGGGCTTCAAAGCGATAGCCGGTGAGCAAACGAGGGATCTTACCATGATTCATATTTCTGTAGCCTGTCTTGAAAGAGAAATGTCTTCGCATTTCGTGCCCAAAGGGCGTCGGGGTCTCTTCGTGCCTGTCCGACATAATCTCGAACCCTTAAGACATTGATCGGTTCGTTGATGTTGTCAAGTTGCAGTCGGGAAGTCGAGATACTCAACAAAAGAGCTCAAATTTTGGAAGGGTACTTCCTATCGACTCATCGGACCCCACTAAGCCGAGCTGCGAAAGAAATACTACCGTAAGATGCTACATTTGGAAAAGTTTGGGAGGCTCGGACCCTGCAGTGGAGCTCGGACATCCTTGCGACGACCGCCATAAGCGCCGATCACTTGGAACTGTCGGGAATCAGTCGAATGGCAGACATGATAAATGCGCAGAGGCCGCTCTGCACGAGCCCTTTGTGAAAGCACTACTTCGGGGTCGGCAAGTCAAGCGACTCGTTCGTTGGATCCTCCCCACGTTGTACCCCACATTATCAAGGAGTCTTATTATGGGTCCGTGCAGAAGTACTTAAGATAAGCAAAAGCGAAGCTCAACGATGCCCCGAGTCATCTACATGTATTTTACTGTGACAGCCTCTTTTCAGGTGCTTGTATCCTGAAATGACAACTCAAGGCAGTCCAAATTATGCAGAGGATGTGGAGGTGGGCAGTACGAAGGAATCAAATCCACAGCAAGCCAGGGAGGTCGATGTCGATAAAGGCGTGACCGAATCTGCAAATGTAGGAACTCTTCAGCGGCGATTGAAATCACGACATGTCCAGTTCCTCGCTCTCTCGGGTGCCATTGGCACTGGTTTGTTTGTGGGAACTGGCCAGGTTCTCTCGCTAGCCGGGCCACTTTCAGCAACACTCGCCTATCTCATCACAGGATTCAATCTATATGCGGTCATAAACAGCATGGGTGAAATGGCGACATGGCTACCTCTTCCCGGTGCAGTCCCAGTTTACGCTTCGAGATTTGTTGATGAAGCGCTCGGGTTCACTCTAGGCTGGAATTATTGGTATCAGTTTGCCATCGGGGTTCCAATTGAGATCAGCGCAGCTGCTCTCGTGATCGACTATTGGCCAAATGGAGTTGCTCCAGCTGTCTGGATTACAATTCTCTATGTGGCTATATTCGCAACCAACAGCCTTCCAGTGCGCGTATATGGTGAACTGGAGTTCATTCTCGGATCTATCAAACTGACGACCATTATCGGATTGATGCTTTTGATGTTGATCATCACACTCGGCGGAGCCCCATCCCACGATCGCATTGGATTTCGCTATTGGGATAACCCGGGGCCGATGAATGAATATCTCGAGGATGGATCGCTCGGCCGCTTTTTGGCATTCTGGAAGGTCTTCATCCAAGCCACGTTTAGCTATGGCGGCAGTGAGATGGTGGTAGTCGCAGCCGGAGAGACTGAGAACCCTCGAAGAAACATTCCCAAGGCAGTGCGCAGGGTTTTCTGGAGAATTGCTATTTTCTACGTGGGCAGTGTCTTCCTCGTCGGCATGTGTGTTTCGTCGCGAGATCCTCGATTGCTGAACGCCATCGAATCCGGGGCAGATACTGCGGGTGCCAGTCCATTTGTGATTGCAATTGAGAATGGGGGGATCCCAGCCCTGCCTTCGATCATCAATGCAGTTGTTCTGACATCTGCTTTGTCTGCTGGTAACTCATTTTTCTATGCATCCACCCGAATTCTATACGCCACAGCATTGGACGGCAAGGCACCCCGAATCATGCGATACGAGAAATTTGGTGTTCCATATGTTTGCGTTGCAGTGACCGCAGCTCTGAGTCTGCTGGTTTATCTCAATGTCTCCGCCAGCTCGGCCGACGTCTTTTTCTGGATCAGTAACCTGAGTTCTGTTAGCACTTTGATTGTGTGGACTTCGATTGCGATCACGTATATCCGATTCCACCGAGGCCTGAAACATCATGGGATTTCGCGATCCTCGTTGCCCTTTAAGTCGCCATTTCAGCCTTTTATGGCATATTTTGCTATCATATTCTCCTCTACTGTGGCCTTCTTCAATGGATTTGACGCCTTTTTCCCAGGGCACTTCAGCGCCAAATCCTTTGTGCCTCCATATGTCGATATCCCTATCTTTTTTGGTCTGTTTCTGGGTTACAAGATTATCAAAAAGACCAAATTTGTCAAGATAGAGGATATGGATCTATGGTCTGGCAAAGAGGAGGCGGACCAGCTGGAATCGACATGGGAAGAGCCCAAGCCTCGAAATTTCCTAGGTGAGTACTACTTATTGAAGAGAATCAATACCGCTCGTCCCAAAACAAAAAAAAAAGGATCATACTGACAAAATGGCAGAGAGAATATGGTTCTGGATTGCATAATGGGGGTTGCGAAAATTTGGACATTTCTTTTGGACTCTTTTGTAGTCTGGGGCTCTGGGGACATTCCGCTGTGTCCCAGAGAACAATTTCCATGTCGACGAAGGGAAATATGCACAATATCATGTATTTTATGATGGAATTTTGAAACATTTATACTATTCTTTGACTATTCTGTAACTATTCTATAACTATTCTATAACTATTCTATAACTATTCTATAACTATTCTTTAACTATTCTTTAACTATTCTTTAACTATTCTTTAACTATTCTTTAACTATTCTTTAACTATTCTTTAACTATTACCCCTACTGCTTACGATTCACTCCTCCGTACCTGCTGGAAACAACGGCTCTCTTACTCTTCGCTCTACCTCCCTCCCATCCATCCCATCCTGAATTTGAACTTGTCTTCAATCTCCACTGATCCTTTCGGGAGATCACATTGGCCACCGGCATGTTTCCCCAAGTCCCTTTTGCCCCACCGCAGCTTTAACTGCCGTGCGACTCCGTCCTCCGCACTTCCTATCGGAGTCTTCTCCGCATCATCAACCTTGCGAATTCCCCACCAATTCTTCTACCCTATACTTAGGTAGTTGCATCCAGCAACATGTCTCCCCCCTTTCTACCGCTGTCGTCCCCACCAGATTCGCCAGATTCGCCAGGATTGCGACCGCGACGACCCAGTCTGGACCCGGAACGCGAGATTCTCTCGACGCGCGGTCAACGCTTCCTCAATTTCCTACCCAGTCGCAACTCTAGCAGTGCCTTACAGGAATTGCATGGGGATCCAACCTTCCTGCGTCGCGGGTCTCAGCTCATTGGACGCAGTAATCCACGTTATGAATGGTGGGTGGGATGGCGCGCATTCCCCTGAACCTCCCAAGATAAATCGCATGGGCTGAACCTCTCTCTCTCTCTCCCCCCCCTCTCAGGCAACGCTATTATCGCGCCCCAGACACTCTAAAGAATCTCTCTGCTCCAATGTATGCATTCCCTTGCACTCCCCACACTATATACCTGGCTGACTGACCGACTGGTGGACAGCCGGAAATACTATGAACGGAACAATGCCATCATCTCCCACTACCTTTATATCGACCGTCTCCTCGACTCGTCTCTCCCACACAATCTGATCAACGATTATGATAATTGTGGTCACTCCCACCCTCCAAATCATATTGACTCGACCATCCCAGAATCGGAATTGGAATTGGTATCGGATACTCGGCCAACTCGCGAGGCCGCGGCCACCCCCCGCGTCAAGCGCACCCCACACAATCTCTATCGAATCCCCGACGAGACTGCCCCTTTGCTCAGTTCAAGTGCGAGACTGGATGAGGAGTCATGCGCCTATCATACTATGCCAGAGATGGAGTCTCACGAGGGACTATCTCCCGAGAAAGAGGAGCGTTTGATCAACCTGGCCATCCGTATCAACTTCGTCGCCAATGTCTTGCTCCTAGCTTCCAAAGTGGCCATCATGTATCTCACAAGCTCCATGTCCATGCTTGCCGGTCTTGTGGATGGAGTTCTGGACTTTTTTAGTACCGTCATCGTTTGGGTCACTACCGTCATGATCCGTCGGCAAGATCGGAACCGTTTCCCAATCACTCGACGACGCCTCGAACCTCTCAGCGTGCTGATCTTCTCCGTCATCATGGTAACCTCCTTCTTCCAGGTAGGCTTGACCTCCATCAACCGGTTAATCGGGGAGGACCACACTCTGGTAGAACTGTCCCTCCCGTCCATCATCCTCATGGCGGCAACCGTGATCGTCAAACTTCTGTGCTGGCTTTGGTGTCGCCTCATCCCTAGTCCTGGTGTTCAGGTCCTAGCCCAGGATGCTATGACGGATGTAATATTTAACACTTTCAGCATCATCTTCCCGTTAAGTATGTACCCCCACTCACCTCTCTTGTCTCCTCGGGACTAACCTATCACAGTTGGCTCCTTCGCTCGCCTCTGGTACCTCGACTCCCTGGGTGGCCTGTTCCTCTCTGTGTATATCATGTGGAACTGGGGATCAACGGCGAATGAGTATATTCGCCGACTAACTGGGGCCGCTGCCTCGCCCGATGATCACAGTATCCTACTTTACATGACGATGCGCTTTTCACGGGTTATCCAAAAGGTTCAAGATCTCAAGGCCTACTATGCCGGCGACAAACTCAATGTGGAAGTCGACTTGGTCGTGGATGAAAAGACGAGTCTGCGCGATGCTCACGATGTTGGAGAAAGTCTGCAGTACATGATTGAGAGTGTACCTACCGTCGACCGGGCCTTTGTCCACTTGGATTATTATACTTGGAATCTCCCCAGTCATATGAACCAGTTGGATCGATAGGAGGTGGTTCAATTTCCTCTCGAGATCCCAAGACTGGGATAAATAGCAAGTATCACAGCCAAGATATATAAAAGAATACCCATTTTGAATTGCAACATCACTTTCCTCCTTGGGTTGATAGTCAAACCATCCACAGCAAGATTCAACTCATCATCCACGCCTATCCCCCATATCGAAGCAAGATACAATCGATACTGATGTGAATCGCAATGATCTATATTGTACTCCTCTCCCTCCCTTTCCTCCCCTTCCTCCCCTTCCCCACCAAACAAGAAAGTATTCGCATACCACGCTTTTAGATCAGAATCCAGTTCAAACCCCCGATCTTCCAGACAACATCCACAACTCAAAGTGCAATGTCCAGCACCAAGCTGGCCCGCCGAGCCCTTCTCTCGCTAACGACTAACACAACATCCACAATCCCTGCCACAACATCCACCCCGTCCCGCACAATCATCAACCAAAACCTGATGCATAAACCATCTTGAATCAGACCTCCATTGCTGAAATCCTCTTTTCAGGGCACCAGAGCTACCCAAGAAGCAACTACTCCAATACCACCGATTCCTTGCCTGGGCCCAATTAACCTTTCTCAATTCTGCGATTTCTCCCAGAGCAGCCTTGCCACACTTCCGGCATAGAGCAATCTCTTTCTGACAATTTTCCCGCAGTTGATGCTCAGTCTGTAGAAATTCCACAAAGTTGTCGAAATCGGCTTTTACTTGCTTGCTTGCCTGTTACTCCTCTTTGTAGAGATTGTATCGATATCTTGGAAGGGATTTGAGACATCCTTTCTTCTCTAGTCTAGCCTCCTCTGGTGTTTTATCGCCTGGTAGATGTAGCTTCGAGGTCACAGACCTGGGGATCCCAGAGCTGGAGACTGACTCGTCATCCGGTGAACCAGACATTTAGTATATAACTGAGAAGCGATGGGATTCGGGTTGGTTCGATACTTGCTAACAAACTCTCTGTAGTACTAGTAGTAGGTTCTCAGGTGAGAAACGTCTGCAGGCTATGTTTTACGTCTACTAGTGAACATAGGGCTCATGATGACGTTGTATCAATGAAAGTAAGTCTTACTTTATTTACTATCTACATCATATTCAAAGCACAGGAAATTAAATTTAGAACGTCATACATCAAGTCATTCATTTAATAGTACATATAGGGACAAAACAAAAGTCCGAATCGGCAAAGCTGCCAAAGTCATAGACAAGAGGTAAAAGAGAAGAAGGTAGGAAGAGAAGAGCGTTCCACCTAGTATACATGAAACAAAACGCACGTTCCCAATAGAGAGACTAGTCAATTCATTTCATCAACCAATGCGCGCCCCTAGCGGGGCGGTTGCGACGATGGGTGCAGAGGCCCTGGCAGTCCACCCTGTGCCGAGCCCTGGCTATAGACCCGGTGGTGATTCGGTGTAGAGACAGATTCGCCCAGCGAACCTGACCCCGGTGGCCGTTGGTGGAGGGGTGTCATAGCCCCTGCCGACGAGGATGGGGGTGGAGGTGCATAGCCCATGCCACTACCGCTCACTGAGTGGTGTAGAGCAGACGACGGAGAGTAAGGACGTCCCATTGTAGCCAGGGACGACATCGACCTACCCCCTTGGGCTTGCGGTGGTGGAGTGTTATGTCCATATTGCGGAGGTCCACCGGGCATGTTAACTGGGGTGGAGCGATGAGAGCCATTGACCAGGGTCTGGACATGTTGTTGGTAGCTCTGGCTATGTGGCTGTGTCGCGGAAGAGTTAGATGCACCCGGGCCGTACGAGGACTGCGAGCCTGATTGGCGAGGGGGCATTCCAAATAGACCCGGAGAAGATTGAGACGGTGTCGGGACTTCCCGCGAACCGAAAGCGGCACTGCTCGCTCGTGGCGGAGGTGAGCCGGTTCGGTAAGTTGAAGGTTGAGGTGGCATCTCACGAGAGCCAGACGCCCCTGGCTGGCCAACGGGTGCTTGCCCAAATACATTCGGATAAGCAGGTCTCTGGGAGGCAGCAGGTGGCGGTGTCGGTGCAGGAGATGGGGCAGGAAGACTGTTCAAGGAGCCGGGCGCCTGGGCGGAGGCCGAGCCGAAGTGCGCAAAGGGACCTTGAGCAGCCGGGCGACCACTTGGCTGCGGTGCTGGCTGAGTCTGCGCAGGCGGACCACCTTGCTGTGCCCTAGGGTCAAATCGCGCCATCCAGTCGTTATTTGCCGGCGTCGCTGGTCCACCAGTAGGAGGTCCGTAGCTGGAGTATTCAGCATAGCCGCGCGATGGAGGGGGATATTGGCCATGCTGCCCAAAGCCAGCCGGCTTGGTAACTTCTTCAGGACGAGCAGAACCTGTTTGTGGGTAGGCGGATCTTGATGGAGGGATGGAGCTCGAGATAGGGGCAGAGGGTGCTTCGCTGGCAAATCGTTTTCGAGGCTGAGGTTCTTCGGGCTCGTCGTTGAGAATGCTCATGATATTGGACCGCTTCGCTGGCACATGACGAGGAGCCTCGGGAGCGGGCGTCAGACTCGCTCGCGAGATGTCTTTGACGGGAGACAAAACAGGTCGGGGGGAGTGGGACATGCCCATCGATTGACTTGAAAGGGGATAGAATTGTCTCTGGCCGAACAGGTCGCGATGCGTCGAAGGGGTCTCGAGATCCGGTCGGGGTAGCTGGGTAGGCGATCCAGGCTGGGTCAGGCTGGGGTGGCGAGAATGACTGGGGGGGGAGGAGTAGGGTTCTGCGTGGACATATAGGCGGACTGGGCCATAGGGTCCATCCGAGCCAAGTCTGCAGGTAAGGGTGCACCGGAGCCATGGTGAGAAATATCTTGGGCCCGTGCAGATGAATGCGGCAATAGTGTCGAATCTCTCCGGTCCTCGGTGAAATATCCAAGTCGTGGGCCCGGCATACGAGATGGCGGTCCTGCCTGAGCTCGCATAGCGCGAGCAGCGTCGTCGTCAAGGGTGGCGGCCACCGGTGGCACAGCAGTGGCAGCGGATGCCTGTGCGAGTGTTGGATAGCGACCTGCGCTGCGCTCATTCTCCGATAGTGGGCGACCATGGAGTGATACTGGCTGTGGAGACATCGCGAGAGGTTTACCCTTGGGGAACCGCGAGTCATCTGCCTCGCCCATGAGCTCGCCGTGGGGTGCCAGTGGACGAGGAACGATGGCAGATGGGGTCGCCTCGTAGCGCCGCTTTGGTGCTACGCTGGGCACGGGAAGGGGACCGGTATCCTCTCCTCGAGCCTTTTTGTCTTCTGCGGCCACTATTAACTCTTCAAAATCTTTTTGACCCGAATCCAAACGGCGCTGGTAATAGTTTTTCACCTATGTCACGATTTATGTTAGATGAAGGAGAAAGAGAAGAATAACGGACGAAACAGATAAGAGGCTTACCATCACTGTTGTCTTGGTTTTCATGAAATTTGAGATTCCTTCGAAATCGCGACCAAAATGTGCCAGCAGTCGCGGAAAGTCACGCTGCTCGGGCACCGACCAGTAACTCGTCGGTTGCAGAGATCCGTAGCCAGTCTCCGATGGCTTGGGCGCCATGATCGGCTCGGCTTCAGTGGATTCGAAGACGTACATGCCTTCTTTGGCTCTTCCGCGGCCTGGTCTCGGGCGAGAGTTCGGAGGTATATTGTCTTTGTCGACGACCTCTCGCTCTTGAGGGAGCCCAGGGGCAATCTCCATCATCACCTCTGGACCCAATTCTGCACTTGGGAGAGCTGCAAGAGGAACGATCCCTGGCGGCGCGCCTTGGGCTTTGGGGTCTTGCTGGCCGGTCTTTACGCGTCTTTGCGTGCGGGCTCCTCCACGTCCACCACGTCGGCTAGTGGTGGTCTTCTCAATGGGCTCACCATCTTTACCAGCTTGGCCTCGGCGAGCAGGGGCAACACCTTCGGGGTCATTCGAATCACCAAAAGTAGGTGCGGCAGCGCGCCGTGGTCGTCCCGTCTCTGTAATCTGGGGGGTCTCATCTTCACCATCGAGATCTGGCTTGACGACCCCAAGATCAGCAATAAGAGCGTTAGATTTGGGTCGAGTAGATCGAGTCTTTCCTCGACCCCGACGACTCCACCGTTTGTTGAGCTTCGCCTTGTACTTGATCTCTTCTTTGGTGAGATAATAGTGCACGATGCACTGACGATAATCCCTACCTGGAAGGGACTCGGCAATCTTGCCCCATCTTTTGGGATGCGCCATAAAGGCATCGGTGAAGGTGACATGCTCCTCCTTGGTGAAATCATTGGGCGGCGGCAGGAAGCCGAAGACATCCATAGCATGATGAACGTCGATTGTGTTATTGACATCTTTATAGATACTGGCCTGTTCTTCAAATGGTTCAAACATGTCCGGGATAATGGCTTCTCGAGCCAAATCCGGACGCGCCGTCGCCTCCTTAGTGCGTCGACGCTCCAGTTCTTCTTGTGCGGATATTTCCGAGGCCTTGAGCGCGTTGAGAAAGTCTAGCTCGCTGTTGCCCTTGTACCGGCGTCCCTCGCGACCATCAGGGATGGCTGCAGGAGTGGGAGGAAGAGTCGGTGCTGGCGGTGTTGCCGGAGCCGGCGTCATCGGCTTCTTGTCCTTTCTGCGATCCATCTCCCATATATACAGTCTCCAAGGTTTATAATAAGACATATATTCCTCTCGCAAAGCTGCATTCTTCTTTGCGATTTGCTTCTTCCGTTGGGAAAGCTCATTGCGGAAAGCATCTTTGAAGAGGTCGAGGTGGGTAGCATTTTCATGGGTGACTTCCATATCAGAGATGGGAGTTGGCGGTCCCGAGTTCAAAAAGGGAAGGCTATCAAGGGTGATCTCGTCGTGAGAAACGACAGGAGGAACGAACGTTTGAGGCACCGGCGACGGTTCTTTGGCGGGGGCAAATGAGACAACTCGCTCGTTGTTTTGCGTGGGGATCGTTGCAGTGGGTTCTTGTTCGTCGCCCTCCACTGAAGGAAGCGGTTCAGAGGGTTGTTCCGATACTTCTTCTTGTGCAATCCTTCCGAGGATCTGGATGCGGCGTAAGAGAGCCAGAATAGTGGGATCTTCCAACGGCGAAGGTGGCATTTCCGCTCGAAGAGCTTGCATGTCCTTTTCGAATATTCGCTTCCGTTCCTCTAAATATTCTTGGGTGAAGAGGGCGTTTTCTTCCTCCTCCTCGTCGGTCGATTGCCCAAAGTTGTCGGGGATGACAGCGGGATTTTCCTTCTCCGGTTGTTCGGGCTCACTCCCAAGTCCTTCGACTGTCGGCACGGGCGGTGGGCTGCTACGAATTGGCAGTCTCATTGAGGGTGAAGTTGGAGATATCGCTTTCACCGTTTCCGTGGCGGTCGTGACGGGGGGTTTGCCGCTATCCTGTTGGGTTGCTGCAGGTTCCGGCGTTTCGGTTCGTCTTTCTGGACGGGGTTTTTCCTTTTCGGCAGGAAGAATACTCTCACGCTCCTCACTCTCCTTCTTCGGGTGTACGTTCGGAACAGATGGACCGCGACTAAAGCTGCGACGAACCCATGGTTTGTTGCTCTTGTTCGGTCCCCGTGGCGAAGGAGCTTGTCGTTGGTGGTATGCTCGAGGGGCAGTTGGGATGTTTGATGTTGACATTCGAGGCGAGATAGATGGCTCTTTCGAAGAAGCCCGAGGACCTGGCGGAGGTAGTCGTGCAAAAGTTGGGGAAGACGTTATTGAACTTGACTTAACGGGGACATGTGGTTCAGTTGGTCCCGATATCGAATCTCGCTTGGCCATTGCAGCCGGAGCAGTTGGGGGAGATCGATCAGATAGATGCGTAGATGCCCGTGCAGCACGAGCTGGCTCTTCCTGGGGTCGAATTGGGTCTGCTTGCTGAGATGACTCTCTCCGTTCCGCCTTCGGACCAGTTGGAGGTTGCACCGGGAGAGTAGGTGGTCCGTCTAGGCGGTCTTTCTCTGCTTGCGCCGATGCATCACTTCCTGTACGTCCTTCAGATAGTCCTTTGGCCGTTGGTAAAGTTGGGATGGGAGCTGACACAGATCCGAACGCAGGAACTTGGGGAGCTGACGGGGGAGGTGAATGTTGAGGAACAGATGCCGGCTCTTTTGGCGGTTCCGGGCGGGAAGGGGGTTCTGAGCGTTCGCTATCACGTCGAGAGTCAGGGCCAGGCGGGCCTGACAAGATCGATCCTTTGCGGCTCTGGTCCAATGGTGGCTGATCCGACAGGCGATCAGGGGCAGCAGGAGATGCCGCGGGGGGGTATTGGATGCCCAATCGATGACGCCGGGCCAACAGAGCCACGATTGTCTGCTCGGTGAGGGGGGGGTGGTCTCCTCTTTTCCAGGGCTCCAATGGCCGATCCCGGTCATCACGTTCAGGGCGGCGATTGTCCCACTCTTCTCGCCGATCAAATCGATCTCGTCGGTCGATATCACGTTCGCGGTCTCTATCCCGGTCTCGGTCGCGTATATCTCGCTCACGATCTCGATCAAGTAAACGGTCGGCAACGACGGGTGGGCGGTCTCGGTCCCCATCTCGATCTCGCTCACGATCAGGCACCCGATCAGGTATCCGGTCAGGCAAGCGGTCAGGTAAACGTTCAGGTAACCGGTCAGGTAAACGGTCGGGTAAACGATCAGGTAGGCGATCCGGTAGTCGGTCAGGTAAACGGTCAGGTAAACGGTCGGGTATCCTGTCCCGTGCACGATCTCGCCATGCGTCGCGAGATCGACTCCGTCGTCGAAACAAATCACGGTCATCGTGGAAAAGAGGGCGTCCTCGGCCTCGGCCACCTTCCCAATCACCACGTCCACGTCCACGCATCGAGCCTCCACCACGATGGTTGACAATAGTGGGTGGGCCATCAGGACCGCCGGATGAAGCTGAAAGGAGACTGTCGCGGGAATTGCGTCGCATGCGCACCAAATCGAAATCGCGGCCTGGGGGTTCTCTCATGTCGCGAAAGTCGCGCGTGGGGGATCGTGAGCGACCTCGACCGAAGCCACCGCGGTTATCTCTGGGGTCAAAATCTCGGTCTCGGCGATTCCAGTCGCGATCCATGTCCCGTCGAAATGGGGGACCATCGCGGTTGTCTCGAAAGTCGCGGTCTCGATCTCGATCTCGAAGGTCGCGATCCCGGTCTCGAAAGTCGCCTCGGCCATATCCACGACCACGGCCACCGCCACCACCACCACCATAAGGGCCACCTCGAGGAGAATCGACTAGAGCACGGGGGCCTCGCGGGGGTTCTCTGCCGAACGAAGGACTGGCATCGTCGAGGCCGCGGGCGCCTTGGGGACGGCGATCCCCAAAGCGCTGGGGGGAGCGGTCACGGGAGTTGAACCCGGAAGATGAAGGGAATCGCGATGCCATTACCAGGTCATGCTACTCGATGACCTGGGACCAGCAGTTAGTGAAGCAACGGGGGAGAGTGGAGAATTGCGCATTGGAGGAATCGATATGGAACGAACGGGGACAGCTGCACGTGATGGTTCGCACGGGCCACAGCCCGGGGCGGACGTGTCAATGCAAGAAAGAGGTTGAAGAAGGTGGGCGAATGTTGGAGAAAGAGACGTCAATCTGTGTACGAGTATAGGCTTATGTATAAGGCAGGAGGGGGAGGAAGTTGAAGGGAATTTGAAGCTGGAAAGGGGAGGAATGGAATTGGAGAAACTGCGGATTGGAAGATGTTTGAAGGTTCAAGTGGAATTGGCTAAGCGCCGGGCCCGTGCGCTTAGCCAATTTGCGTGGGTCTGGACTACAAGAGGAGTGGTAGAGTATAACTACTACTACTAGTGTATTAGAGTAGAGTAGTATATAAGATGACATTCATTTGATATTTACTAGGCAAGGGTGATTAGATATATGCTAATATCCACATATTGTAAGTCCAGGCAAGGAAGGTACAAAAAGGAATTTATATTTTATACACCCCCAAAAAAAAAATGCAATCCCCCGAGCCGGAATCGAGCCGGCGACCTTTCGGTTATATGTTTCCATTACAGCCGAACGCCATATCCAACTAGACCATCGGGGGTTTATTTGCGATGGATGTTTCAATATTTGCCTACATAATCCAGCGCTCGCTCCTCCCGGTAGTTTCAGCATCTAACAACTGTCTTCGGGCACAGTCACAGAAGAAGACTTGAGTAGCAGACCTTATTGGCGGCTATGTCGTATTTATCTGACCAGCAACTGCTGGAAACCAAGCGCACGACCTCACTCAAGCCATACAGGGGAAACTAATACTTCTATAATTGAGGCCATCAATGGGCACAAGATTGTAAACCCAAACCAATTTCAGGTTCTGCTATCGACGGAGTCATCTGTCAATACTATACGCTGGCCGCGGCTGATACTTCCAGCTGTCCACGGGTGCTAAAAATATCAACTTAAGTCCGTGAAGAATGGACTGGCTTGCCGATATGCTAAGCGAGCCTGCGTTCTTCGGCTGCAGATAACAGCTCGAGAGGTAGGTCCCCAAGAAGTTATATAATATGTCCTGTTAATACTAACAGTCAATCTAAGGCACTGGCATGGGAAATATGGCTTAAATGATTACAATGGTTACCTAGGTATGCAATTAAATACTAGTACTATTGTGGTCAAGTTAGGTCGATTGAATTTCAAATTGATTGCTTATTGCACAGGTGGTGTATGTTCCGGGCCGTTGGATATTTATACATTCAAGTTCAAGTTGACCTTCCGAGGTTGCCTAGGTGTGAGCATTTAAACCCACCAAGCTGTGAGATCTATAACTTAGTTACAGACCAGAGGGCTGAATTAATGGATTATTATTAACTATTCAAAGCTCTGTATATAATAAAAGGGTAGATGGTGCGAGTACTAGTAGCCCTGGAGTGATCCAAGCCTACGGGGTCACCAACTGCCTTGGTAAGAGCTCGGTGGTTGAGGATGCTAAGCTGAGCCCGCTTCTTCGCAAATAAACCCCCGATGGTCTAGTTGGATATGGCGTTCGGCTGTAATGGAAACATATAACCGAAAGGTCGCCGGCTCGATTCCGGCTCGGGGGATTGCATTTTTTATACCTAGTCAATTCAAATGATTTTTTTTTAATCCTATCTCCAATTTTCCACCAGTCACCAGTGGGAACCCTAATTAAAACCACCCCCCTGCAGTACCCTACAACCCTACAGTGTTATGGGGTATCCACCTGATATTTCAGGCGGCAAGCGGGATCCCGTGCCTTCACCGTGACTACCACCACCACCAACTGCTCTAGTCTTCTTGCCCTTGTCATTGTCGCTGCCACTGTCACTGCCATTGCCACTGCCAATTGCTCTCTCATTTATACCCCCCCCCCCCCGGCTTTGTTCACTTCAACTCTTCTTCCCTGTCCTTTCTCTACTTCACCAAATCCAGCAGGCGGTCAACCACCACCCCAGGACCCCCCAAAAAGCCACCCAATCTCGCCCATAACAAACGAGCGCACGCCCTCGAATTCCGTCGCAGGACAGTCATTGGCCTTCCTTTCTCGGATTCATTCCAGCTTCTTCTCCCTTCATCGGCTGACACGGCGTGGATCGGGGTTCCCCAGCCGTTGTCGCCCCAGGGGGCTTTGAACTTTGCTGACTAGCTGCGGAATCCGGGCATCAGGAGAACCAGGAGCTCCAGTGCTCGCCCGGCTGCGTCGCTCTTGACGCTTCTTCCCACTTCTAACGTTCCTCACTCGTCACGACACCTCGCCTCGATCCCCTCTCCTCTGTGCATATGGCCTGGCAATCTCCGGCCATGTCTGGTATGGGCATGCCGGGGCAGATGGGTGATGGTTCCAATGGCGGACACCCGCAGGGGACTGAGTACACGCTACAGGGTGAGCATCTCTCGCTATTCTTCACCTTGGCTCACTGGCAACCATCTAACAATAATTTCTAGGCGTGATGCGTTTCCTCCAGACCGAATGGCACCGACACGAACGCGACCGCAACGCCTGGGAGATTGAACGCGCCGAGATGAAGTCTCGCATCGGCCGGCTAGAGGGAGAGCTACGAACAAGCAAGCGACTGCATGAATCTCTGGGCAAACATGTTCGGTTAATGGAAGGCGCTTTGAAAAAGGAACGTGAGAAGGTGAAGAAGCTTGCCAACAACGAGAAGCTCGAAGATATCCAAGACCCGAAGGATATCGCGAGGGAGAGTATCAGCTTCTTAAAAGGTATGGATGACCTTTTGATTGCGATCGTGAGATGGACCACTCCCGCTGACTTCGATCTCACTAGCACAACGATCTTCACCGTCTACGGACACGAATGCCAATCTGGATGACCCCGAGAACGCCGTTTCCAATGAATTCCGCCAAGAAGACGAGCGAGACAAATCGCGCGTATACTTGTCAAGATGTGCGCAAGAGGTTGCGTACCATGTGATTCCTACATTCCACCCAGCTCCCGACCTCAGCGACCCGGATCTTCTGTACGGGAACCAGCAGCTCTCACAACAGAACCTCGAGGAGGCATACATCCAACAGCAGCTACAGAAGACAAACCAGCGGCTAGTGCGCGAGGCAGGGCTTCCGAATCATCAGCCCTCACCCGGCCAGTACGCAGAGAACGCTCGGATGCCAGCCCAGTTTGGACCTGGATCTGGATCGGTTCCTCGCGAGGCCCTGGAACGCCGGCAGATTGACATGCACACCCCTGTCACTGCAATTGACAATCGAAACCAAGTCTACGAACAGGGCCTGGTGGATGAGCGACCCATGAACCAGCAGCCACCCATTGAGACACAAGGCCCACAAGTAGTAGTCAAGGAGGACCTACAGTCCCAAAACTCGACAGACGAGGGAGGCGAAGATATGGATGGTTGGAATTTTGACGAGCCCAATGAAAAGGAAACCATCAACGAGTCCATACCGCCTCACCGTCCAGACACCGACGCATTCCCCAACGCCAACTTTGTTCATCCCAAGTCGCCCTCTCGTGGAGGTTCTCTCTCCCACCGCAGGAAGAGCTCCGGCTCACGACGCAAGAGTGATGGTGCGATTGAATCGCGGGATTTCGCTGCTGGTGTCAACCAGCAAGACTCTCTTTCAAGGTTCGATTTGCTCTTCGTGGCCACCTCGATGTCATCCGCTCCGTCATATTCACTGGCGGTGGCAGTCCGTCGGAGCCGGAAATCTGCACTTGCAGCGATGATGGAACGATCAAACGTTGGATCATCCCCGCAACATATGGCACGTTCGGAGCCCAGGGTCCCAGCTCAAGCAACGACCTGGATATTGTCAGCTACTTCACCCACCGGGGTCATGTCGGAGCAGTCACTTCACTAGCCGCCTGCTCGCCATCTCAAAGCATTTCCAATGGTGGGCGAGCTTCCGGTGACGGCTGGGTGTTTTCAGGTGGACAGGACGCTAGCGTACGGGTCTGGGAGCGTGGAAGAGTCGACCCTAAGGCCACCTTGGATGGGCATACGGATGCTGTATGGGCTCTCTGTGTGCTTCCGGGCACGACAGGCTCAGTTTATGGCGACTCAAGCAGTCACTATGGTGGTCAAGACAGACTCATGCTGGCCTCTGGTGCTGCCGATGGCCGCATTCTCATCTGGGCAGTCACTCCCCCGCCTCTCGTCTCTTCTCCTCAAGCCGGATCACGACGTCAAGGTGGCAGCCGTCGTGCGAACTCGATCTCATCCGGATCCAACTTCCCATCCTCCCCCCCAGCCTAGTGTCGCCACCAGCACTCCATTCAACTATACCCTCATCCATCACATTATGCGAACCGACGCTCCATCTCCGACATGTATTAGCCCTCTTTCCCTTGCTGGTGTGAACTTTGTGGTTTCCTACACCGATGCATCAATTCTTGTTTATGACACTCGAACTGGCGAAGAGATCGTGGGTATGGCAAGCCTTGAAACATACGACGGTACGCCCTCAACCGGAGTGAACTCTGTGGTTGCTACAACCGTTGGATTCGACGGGTCGGCCAACCTGGACCCCAATCGTACCATGGCTGAAGAAGACGAAGTTGTGCATGGGGCTACTGGATCTAGCAGTGTGGAGGGTGTGGTTATCAGTGGCTATGAGGACCGATACATACGATTTTTCGATGCCAACAGTGGTATGTGATCTCTAGCTTTCCAAGCACTTCCTAATTTCTCAACTTACTAACTGATCAATCGCAGGCCAATGCACGTACACGATGCTGGCCCACCCGGCTGCTATTGCCGCTTTGTCTCTGTCTCCCGATGGTCGTGAGCTTGTTTCTGCAGGCCATGATGCCAGCCTCCGTTTCTGGAACCTAGAGAAGCGAAGCTGTACCCAGGAACTGACTAGCCATCGTTTAATGCGCGGCGAAGGTGTCTGCGCCGTGGTCTGGAGCCGTGACGGACGCTGGGTCGTCAGTGGCGGCGGAGATGGTGTGGTCAAGGTCTTCTCCCGATGACCGGACGACGAGACGAAAGCCCTTGTATGATTTTTCTTTCTTCTTTCCCATCTTTTCCTCACCTTCTTCTTCTGTCTATTCTCTCACATCCACCTCCCTGTCCAAACCCGCGTTTGTGTATTTCCTCAGTCTTCTAGGCATGATATGATCCCATGAACCGGATGAGCGATTGGCCGGACCAGTTTCTTTCGAGCATTTGCAATGGTGTCCCATCCAGCTGTCTGGCCTATGGTACTCTCTATTACGTGGTTCATTTCTACTTCTTCTACCTACATGTGTACTTTTGATCCCGACACCGATAATATGCCGTCTTCGCAATGATTCCCTGCCGGCGTACATTTCTGATCTGATCCCTGTTTTCCCTCTCGCATCCTGCGATATGCTGTTGAGCCTCTTTGCTGCGTTGCATACCCGGTGTCCTTGCGATATGGTCTTGTTCGTTCCGATGTGAATAAGCTCTGCTTGCTTTGATCTATTGATATTTGGGATCATGTCTCCCAGCTTGGTATCCGGAGCCGAGTGGCCCTCTGGATTTCTGCTAGATTCGTCAGGGTTAATCTTACGAGCGATACCCTTGGGAGGATCTGAATGTGGTGGTGGTGGTGATAATGGTGATGGTGTGTGTATGTGCTCATGTAAACCATTTGAAATCCATATTCATATTTACGATGTTCTAAGATTTCTAATGGTATACCTAGTATTCGTAAGGTAGCTAAATGTCCAAAATAGCCAAATGGGTATTAAGTCTGGATGTCGAAAATACTAGTAGCTCATTAAACATGTACGAAATGGACGCAACCCTTTGCATCAATCTCTTACTGAGATGCCTTGCAAGCTTCCCTAAACAGAACTCTTAAGCGCAGCGCCTCTTGCTCATCCTTCAATCGCTGCTGCAAATAACCCTGAAGATCATCCCAGAAAGCGTCCGTCTCCAACAATTCCGCACCACTCGGTCCGACCGCTGCCTTGGGCGGCGAAACATCCCTGGTCTCTTCACCAGGCTGAGACTCCGCAACATCAATCGTTTTCGCACCACCAATAATCATCACACCAAACTCAACCTCCTTACCGCCCGCCAACATCTCCGGCACATCAACCAGAATCTCCGCAACGGTTTTTCCCGTCCCACTAACCGGCTTGCGGTGATATAGGACCTTAATCTTATCCAGGGCAACGGGGTTCCCTTGCGCATCAGCGACACGGGCGCGCACGGCGTCCCGGAGATCTTGCACTGTGGTGGTGGAAATTGGAGCATTGGGAATAGTGAACTCTAGCGCGGGGTTGCGGGCAGATTTGACGCGGACATTGATGGACTTGGAGGAACCTGGAGCTTGACTCTTCTTTACTTTCTTGGGCATCTCAGGGTGCGGGGCTTGGAGGCGGGGAAGAGTGTACTATGAGGGCGGAGAGAATGTGTCAGAAAGGGCTAGCTTGTAGATAGCTGAGATGATAATTCAACTAAAATCTCCAAATACTCACCGGCACACGCAGGCCAACCTGCTCTGGGTCAAAGACATGGTCTGCACGGAGCTTGATAGGGCGAGAGTCGAGCGTCGCGAGGAATGATTTGGCAAATGTGGTTTCGGACATTATGCTGGTGTGAAGGGGGGGTAAATTCCCAATGTTTGTAGCTTTAATGACTCAAAGCTTCTCCGTTTGTAGTTTGCAATTGCACTTAACAGCTGAAAGTGGAGGTGGAAGTTGAAGTTGAGGTTGTCCGTTGGCTGCTGATGGAGAAAGAGTGTCCGCCTGATTTCCCAGGCAGAAAACACACCGACCTCACCGCCCGAGCTGACAAATACTGCCAATATACACCGCTGGCCGAGAAAAAAAAAAGCCAAAGAAAAAAAAGTCGGCGGAGACCAAATCAACCCCAAGTGATACCCCAAATATAACACATTCGCCATGGGTGTTGGACGTCGCATGATCAAGCAGGGCCCTCCGCCCCCGCTCGATGAATCCAAGATTACCATGCTGAAGAAGCGCAAGGCCGGTGAGCCCGACATTGCGCCTAAGGCTAAGGCCGCTCCTGCGAAGAAGCGCCGCAGATCCAATGCCGATGAACAGACCACTTCAAAAAAGGCCGCCCCCAAGAAGTCCAAGGCCAATGGTGCTCCCAATGGTGCTCCCAATGGATCTGCTAAGGTAGACAAGAAGAAGGTCGTTGAGAAAAAGGTCGCCGAAAAGAAAAAGCCCGTTCCCATGTCAGACTCCGAAGATGAGGACGAAGAGATGGAAGAGATGGAGGATGATGAATTTGGAGACCTGGATGGGATCAGTGATGGATCCCTGGACAGCGATGAGGGTGTTGGACGGTTGTCGGATTTGGAGGATGACGATTCAGTGATTGACTCCGACGGGGACGATCACCCCCGCGAGGCCATGTTCTCTGACGACGAAGACCTCTCCGACGCCGAAGAGCAGCTGACCGCCGCCAATATCGAGGGTCTGTCTAGAAAGCTCGATGCAGAGCAGCAGGCTGAAGCGGAGGAGGCTGAGCAGGAATTGCAGGAGGCCGCTATGCAAACCAACATCGCTGGTGATCGTCCTGATGTCTTTGGTCAGGATGGCCAGCCTGGTCTTGCACCGGATCTGCAGTTGCTCCGTCAACGCATCACTGATACCATTCGAATTCTCGGTGATTTGAAGACCCTGGGCCAGGCCGATAAGTCGCGTGCCGACTACGTCGACCTTGTTCTCAACGATATCTGCATATACTACGGCTACACCCGCTACTTGGCTGAGAAGCTGTGGAACCTGTTCACCCCCATGGAAGCATTCGCCTTTTTCGAAGCCAACGAGACCCCTCGTCCTGTCGTCATCCGTACCAACACTCTGCGAACCAATCGTCGATCCCTCGCCCAGGCCCTCATCAACCGTGGCGTCGTCCTCGAGCCCGTGGGTAAATGGTCCAAGGTCGGACTGCAAGTTTTCGAATCCGCCGTCCCTCTGGGTGCCACCCCCGAGTATCTGGCTGGTCACTACATTCTCCAAGCCGCCTCTTCCTTCCTCCCCGTCATGGCGCTGGCACCCCAGCCCAACGAGCGTGTTCTGGACATGGCCGCCGCCCCCGGTGGTAAGACTACCTACATGTCCGCGCTGATGCGCAACACCGGTACCGTCATCGCCAACGATGCCAGCAAGCCCCGTGCCAAGGGTTTGATCGGTAACATTCACCGTCTGGGCTGCAAGAACACCATCGTCACCAATATGGATGCCCGCACTGCTTTCCCCAAGGCCATCGGCGGATTCGACCGAGTTTTGCTCGATGCCCCCTGCACCGGTACCGGCGTTATCTCCAAGGATGCCGGCGTCAAGACCTCGAAGGATGAGCGCGATTTCCTCGCCATCCCCCACATGCAGCGCCAATTGCTCCTCGCCGCCATCGACTCTGTTGATCACTCTTCCAAGACCGGTGGATACATCGTGTATTCCACTTGCAGTGTCACCGTGGAGGAGAACGAGGCCGTTGTGCAGTACGTGCTGCGCAAGCGCCCCAACATCAAGATTGTCGACACCGGACTCGGCGACTTCGGCAGTCCCGGTTTCACCAGCTACATGGGCAAGAAGTTCGACGCAAAGATGACCATGACCCGCCGCTACTTCCCCCACCGCGAGAACGTTGATGGTTTCTACGTCTGCAAGCTGAAGAAGACCGGCCCGACCCCCGTTACCGAGTCCACCACCGAGACCTCCACCAAGTCCGGCCGGGCTCGTTCCAGTTCGAAGACCGAATCAACCGACGACGAGTCATATGACAAGACCCCTATCCTTGATGAAGATGGATCTACTCAAGACAACGAGGGTGGATCTTTCGGTCCTTTCGCTGAGGACGAGGACCAAGAGCGTATTAACCGTGCTGAGCGCAATCGTCTCCGACGCAAGGGCCTTAACCCCAAGGGTGTTCTGAACAAGCCTAAGAAGAGCAAGGATGCCTCCGCATCGAAGGATACCGAGAAGCCCGAGGAGGAGAAGTCCGAGGCCAAGAAGCCCGAAGTGAAGAAGTCCGAGGCCAAGAAGTCTGAGGCGAAGAAGCCCGAGGAGAAGAAGCCTGAAGCCGCAAAGAAGTCTTCCAACGAGGGCAAAGGCGAGAAGAAGACCGTGACAAAAGGAGAAGAGAAGAAGGAAAAGAAGGAGAAGAAGGAGAAGAAGTCGGCCAAGAAGTCGGCCAAATGATTGATCCATCCCTGACACCTTGAGCGTCTCTTGTGTATCTATTAGCTCTAATCTGATCTGACAAGTCGATAAAGATAAAAGCATCTTCTTTGGTGGGCGGCGCATTGGACATATACCTTGTTATGTTATGTTATGTTTTTATCAATATTCTATTCAATTCAATATGAAACGATTCATTCAGCGTCAAATCACATAATTCAAATCTATAGATAAAATGATAAAATGTTCTATGTCCACCGATGGTCCGGTGGCATGCATCAAAACGAAAGATAAAAGCCCAATGGGCAACGAGAGGTCATCATCAAAAGTCTAAAATGCCAACGCATCGTCGCCAGGTCCATATCCCAGCCACTTTCGCTTGAAAATTCAAAATGAGATCTGTATTGGATCCAATCCAATCCAATCCGGTTGCAAAACAAAAACAACTCAAGACTCCAACCCCAACCCGCATATATACTCAATAAAACGTTGTCGTATATAGAACAATCTTATGTCCTGTAAATCTTAATGACACTCTTAATAGTCTTGCGGCAAATCGGGCAGAGGTCCACCTGTTTGGCGCAGGTCACGCAAGAGCAGACATGTCCACAGTCGCAGAAGACAGCATTTTGTTCCTCTGAGTAGCAGATCTGGCAAAGATCCGCCTCCTCATCAGCAACCTCCCAGTAACTGATACCCTTGCCGTGCCGCTTGCCATCCTTGTAACCGCCAACGTACTTATTGCCGGTATTCTTTTCGATGTAAGTACCCTGTCCATGGCGCACATCTTCGACCCAGTCACCGTCGTAGGTGTCACCGGTCGGATACTCCATCTTGCCTTGGCCGTGGCGCCGTCCGAAGACGAAATCTCCCTCGTAAACAGTACCGGTGCCAGAGAAGTGTTTGCCCCTGCCATGGTAATGCCCATTCAGGAAGTCGCCGCTATAGTAGTCGCTGGTGAAAGTAGCCTCAACGGTCTTGGTGCCAGTGAACCCTTGAATGGGGTGGCTCCGAGACTCGGCCCAGAGATACTGGACTAGGCGATCGGGACTGGAGAACAGACCAGATATGCCAAGCTCCATTCGCTTGTCATTTCTCAGTTTGTCTCCGACAATGATGCATGATCCATGTGGAACAACCACGTCCATAAAGTTCTCAGCGGGCGAGATAGTGGTCACGGTGGTACCGTCGACTCGTTTCCACATCATGAAGTCGCGACGAATGGGCCATTGCAAGTGTTTTCGAATAGATGCCTTGACGTTGGTTTCCAGCTTAGAGAAGAAAGAGCCTACCGTCTGAAGTACCTGCTTGTCGGCATCAAACATCTGAATGAAGAAGTAGGTGTGCCCAACAGGCAGCTTTACTTCGGGCTCTTCCGCGCTAGCAGGGGCAGAAACAGGTGCCGATGATTCTGATTGAGAAGCAGACGCGATAGTCTCGAATGCAGGCAAACTGGTTTCCGTTGAGCCAGCGGCAGTGTTCTCCATGGTCTGGCTTTCCCGTGGGGTAGTCAGTAACGGGACAGGATCCGTATTCTCTTGTGAGACGGCGTCATTCTCTGGTGCCAGGGTTGCCAGAGGCGGCTCGCTAGCAATAGAGTTGTCGTCAATGCGGCTGGTAGTAATGTCCTGCACAATACCTGCGGATGAACTGGCAATCGCATCTCCATCATTTACTGAAGAGCGCTCAGCGGTTTCTGAAGTGGCCCGCTCAATTATAGAGTCTTCCAGTTTGTCTTCCTTGGTTGCTACAGATGGCGGGTCGGGAATAGCAAAGAATTTGGCGTCTTCCGCAGAAATGGTTTCCATCCAAAAGCGCATGACACCACCCGACGAATCCAATGGAACATCAAGCTCGGTGATGAGATCGAAGGCGAGTGTAGGGCCGCATTGGGCACGGGTATGCCCAATGTGCCAGAGACGGACACGCTCGGCGCCAATTAACTCATCAGCAGCTGACTTTCCCGAAGCAATCTTCTTTCGAAGTTCGGCGATACTGGACGAACGAGGCAATGTCATATACATGACGCTATTCGTCGCCTTGGAGTGCGACATAAGGTCATATGTATCGAACAGGCTGTTCAGTTGATCATACCCAGACGACGAATAGACCTCGACTTGCACGTCCGTCTTGCTCAACGTCTCGGCAGCGACGGATGGTGGTTGATATACCCCGCTCTCGTAGTAGTTCTTCAAGTCTTCCGAAACCTCCCAGGGACCCTGAGGCCCGGGCAGAATCTCCGACACCATGTCATTCCGCACATACATGACAACCACCGGAACATCGTGACCTTTCTTGTGATCAACCGTTTGAGATGGATCAATACCGAGATGTGGACCCATTGCCGTTTTCTGAGTCAGGCATTCAACTCGGTTATCGCTACCATCGTCAAATGCCAGCCATTTGGTACCCGGACCGGCCGGCCGGAGGATGCTGAAGAACTTGCCCGAGGTGCGACGACCACGGTGGACCACGTAGCCGTACAAGACATATTTGCTTCCTGAATCATCAGTTACAAAGGAAGCCAAGTCTAGCTCCTCATCCAGTTCCATTTTGTTGAACAATAATTGCCATCGCATCGCCTTGTCGAGGGTGTGACGGCCGAGTTCAACGTGAAGAATAGGTGGAAGCGACCAGCTTCCGGGCTTTGAGCCCAGATAACCCTGCACAGCCTCACCAGTCGATTTATATTCATCGGCCCGAACACAGATGCGAGAGTTGAAATCTGCTGGTAAAGTGTTGACATCCGTTAGGGGGGTTGGCGTCGGGCTGTCAAACAGTTTGGCAAATTCCTTGCCTGCTTCGGTTCCCGCGAGTTCCAGTTCGAGTGTTCGTCGAAGGCGTTCCCAGAACTCAGAAACATCACCCGAGAATTCACGCATGTTGCGCAGAATGGAAGTGATGCCATCTGTGTCCACATATTGGAGTGATTGGGTTCGACGTCGCTGGTGCCACAGGAGCTTCTGCAGGGCGTCACAGAGGGGCTTTGGCTTGATGTCACAGTTTGTCAGATGTTCGAGTACATCAACGCTCTGGATGATCTTGCAGAAGGGGGCAATATGCAGCCAAGAAGCCAGCCCAGCCACCTCAGCACTATGGTTGATCACCGAATCACCCAACGGGCGGTATCCAGTCAGAGCTAGACTATCCCAGGTCGGTTCAGAATCGCTCGGGTGCCACCAGAGGGACCTGGTTGGATCATCGATCACCCGGATATACGCATCAAAAGAAAGTGTGTCATTGTTCAACAGAGCGCGATGTTGACCCCGGCGACGGGTATGGATCTGATCCCAGGGGCCGTGGAAGTATGTCCACCCCCAGTCGAGGTTGTGAGGGTTGAATTGATGACAAGACGATTGCATCCATCCTGTTCGAGGTTCTTCGGGATTGTACATAACGACACCGATTTGTGCGGGGACTCGCCACGTTTTGGCAGCCTGGTTGGGGGTCTCAGGGGCTGTGGAGGCGGAGTATTGTGCCCTGTAGGAGTCTATCCAGGCTCGAGAGTCATTGGTAGCTGGGGTACGAACATCGACATCCGGGGTGCTGTCGTTCAGGGCGGCGTTCGAAGTGGTTCGACGCACGGAGAATTCCGTCTCTGGAAGGCACTCATCGGGATCAGGCATTGTCTCGGAACATTCAATGTAGATGCTCAAAGAGCCGACATTGTTTCCGCGCGGATAGAACTTGATTCGCCACCAATATCCTCCAATGTAGGCGGCTGGAGAGCGCATCACCTTGTTCCGATTGGGTGCGTCGGGGGTGCCCCGGACCCCCTTGATCTTCCAGGTGACGCGAGCCTTCTCTCGAGGGGCATATTCGGGATCGTCCAGATCCCGGAAGAAGTTATTCTCCCAATAAGAGTCTTTTGGATAGAAGTATCAGTCATAAATGGCCTTTTTGGACTCATATTTGCCACTCGGGGAGGACAGGGGAAAACCTACAGTCACAAGCACTGTAATCGGCCTCAGCGCCGTCAATTTCCTTCAATTCGTCTTGACCTGGAGTTGTTGTGTCTTCCTCAATATCGGCCCAATAGGCATTTTCAATTTCTTCCCCGGGCTGCGCGGTGGGGGGTGGCGTTGGTGCCCGAGGATGTGAATTGGGTGCAGGATCGGGTGCAGATTCGGGTTGCTCGACAGAAGAGGGTGAAATTTGCGGTGTAGCAGTCTCTAGGGGATTTGAGGGCGAATTGGTTGTTCTCTCGACCCCTGACTCAGGGATCAGGTTGCTATCCGTCACATTGGAGGTGTCCATGATGGGATGGATGTGGATGGGATGGGATGGGATGGAATCGAATGACCCTATGGGTATTTGTGGAATGACTGTTTTCTGGGAATCACCCAATTGATGCTCGCGAATAGAACTGTCAGGATAAACTGGTTGCTGAGGGGGTGCTGTCTTTGTCTTGGAAAGTGGAAAGTGGATGTATATAGTGAGAGATAAGGCCGATTGGGCGACAAGGGGACCCTGACCCGTAGAGAGGGTATAGAGAGGGTGGAGATAAAAGAGAGAGGAGAGAGGGAGGGAGATGCAGAAGGAGAAAAGAACGAGAGAGTGAGAAAGTGAGAATGAGCGAAAGAGAGAAAGAGCGAAAGAGTGAGAAAGTGAAGGTGAAGGAGGAAAAAGAAAAAAAAGCAAAAACCCAGGAGAGTCAAACGATAAGGAAGGCACCACCCACTCTGTCCATTTTGGGCCGGACCCGCTCTTTCCCCCGGACTGTCCCAAATCCCCCAAGTCACATGGTTCCAAGTCAGCTGTTCTTCTCTGTCGTCTGCCACTGCCACTGCCACTGCCACTCACATCTTCTCTTTCTCAGTCTTACACTTTTACTCTTATTCCCCCGCATGATATTTTCAATTGTTGTGTCCCATTTCTCATGATATACTATTTGCTATGTACAATGCCTTCCTCAAACTCGCGGTGAAGCCCCCCCCTCTGATCGGCAGTGGAGCCGCGATCCACCACCGACAGCCAACCTTAAAATCCGATACCCCTTGGTCGATTTTTTCTCCCTTTTCTCCTCGCCACTCTCGGTCCGCTCCCCGTTTTCGCCACTTATCTTGCGTGCTTACGGCACTTACCTTGCCGACCATCCAATGGGATTACTCCCATCCGATCCAGCATGTCGGTCAGGCAAATCTGCACGGTAGACTGTAGACTGCCCCTTGCAAAGGATGTGGGGCCACGCGGCCACGGGGTTTGGGGTTTGTGATCTGGGATCTGGGATTTGGGATTCAAAGAAATGGACTGTTCTCCATCTCAATGCTGAAAGAAACAAATAAATGGGAAGAGTCCACATGCGGGGAGAAGATATGTAGAAACTGATCAACAAGAAGCACAGCAACAAATCCCCACACCCCTGATTGGCGACTCTCCCGTCGTGTGACAACGGATCCCTGCATCCCATGCCACCATCTTCGTCTTAAGACGAGGTTTCGGTCTCGGTCTCAGGCTGTGCCTGTGCCTTTGCCTGGGCCTGGCCCTGTGCCCGCGCAAACGAGGCCGCCACAATTAGAGGGAAGACCACAGTGGCCTCGGCATATACCTTGACGGATTTGGCATCAATCTTGATCTTGCCCCAACTCACCGCCTCATCAGGCCGGGCGCCTGCATCGCTGCCGTCAAACTCCTGCGCCGTATTAATATAAACCGCGTGTTCGGCCCCGTTCCGCATCAAGCACGCGTTGGCAATGTGGTGCTTGACCACACCACCCCCCAGAATGATCATGCCGGCACGTGCCGCCCGCACGGCCATAGTATTGATCCGCCGCACGTCGTCCACAATGTCCACGCGCAGTCGCTGCGGCGAGGACTTGAATGTATGGAAGTAGAGCATATCCCCCAAAGACCCATCCGTCAAAGCTGGGCAGAAGACGGGAATATTATTACGAGCCGCCCAGTAGAGTACGGAATCTTCGTTATTGATCTCTCGTCCCAAGCGCTCGGTGATCCGGCTCGGCGTCCAGTGGAGCTCGTCTTCCTCGTCGCCTGTCTCCAGAGCCTTGCGTTTGGCAGCCTCCTGTTCCTCCAACATGGTATCCAGAATCGGCACCACCCAGTCCTCGAAGGCACAGTAGTTGTTGTTAGGCACCAGCAAGTTGCCAATCCGGTTCAGTCCCTTCGCACGGAGACCCGCACCGGGTGTGCTAAATGAACCCAGGTAGGTCGGGGCGAGGCACTTGATCAGATCTTCTTCCACACCACCTGCGGTGGTCACGATTGCCGATACATGGTTATGCTTCACAAGGTAGCGTAGGGTATCTCGTAGTCCGGAGGAAATTAGGTTCGATGTATAGCCGAGGAAGATGGTCGTTTTCGCGCCGGTCTCAGGGTTACGATAGGCGCGCTATAAAAAAAAGATTGTATGTCAGATACCCTTCTTCTTTTCTCAGATCATTGGCTTTGCAATCCTTATATGCCTGAGATCATTCCTCTCGCAAACTTACCATCTCGTTGATGATGTGGGCAGCTTCAGCAACCGCACTACCCTGAAAGCCAGTGGTGGTCAGGTTCTCGACCAACTCGGCCACGGTAATATCGCGGCCCTGGAATTTGTCAAAGTCGATACCCCGGACTTCTTGGGTTCCCTCTGGCATGGGTTCCGAGGCGAGGAGGACCGAGTCCATCGCGGAAGTGGGGGGGTGCGGAAGTGCTCATGGTGATAGAAGAGAGGGAGGGAGAGGAGAGACGCAAGAAGAGGGAAGAATAAAAGGAGTGAGGGAAATTGTGGATGATTGTCAATCGCACAAGATGATTTCTGCTGTCGCCTTGAATTGAAGTGAATGGAGGGGTGGTAGTTTTTTTTTTTTTAGCGGGGAAGGCTTATCGTGGTTATCTACTTGAAGTATTGACACCTGAGGCCAAAGATCCGTGCACAGTACGGAGTATGCGCAACGGAGAATTATCAGCCATTAAAGTCAAAGCAGAAAAAGAGAGACAGAGAGGAAAAATAAGAAGCAAAAAATGATCCTCAGATGAGGAATTGAAGAATGCAAGTCCCACAAACCGGAATCGAGCCGGTGACCTTTCGGTTATATGTATATATTACAGCCGAACGTGATATCCAACTACACCATCGCGGGTTTGATTGCGAAGACTTGTTTGGAGTTTTGACTGAAATAATTGCAATAGATCCAAAGAAGGAAAACATTAGAAAAACTAGAAAAAAGAATGCAAGGTTCCCCCGAGCCGGAATCGAGCCGGCGACCTTTCGGTTATATGTTTCCATTACAGCCGAACGCCATATCCAACTAGACCATCGGGGGTTTAGTTGCGATGGCTGCCTCAAATTTTGCAGAGATATACCTCAAATGCCCGTCCTTGCACATCCTTTTCCTGTTGAATAAAACTTATTAGAATACTTGGACTTATCCACATACAATATAGTAGTTCAAAGGTTATTTATAGAGTATCCATTCCTAGTAAACTTGATGGTCCTGGTAGTTATCTATAAAGCTCTATTTGATATGTAGTACTAGTGATTAGCATTTAGTAGGACGGTTCCTAGTATAAAGTGCTTACTCCTGATTAATATGTCTTCCGAGAACTTAGATCTATGCTAGTGGATACTACTAGGCATCTTGGTCAGCATACCGTATCAACTTCAACTGCTAGTACCCACCTGCCCACTACCTGGCCACAGCTCTGGAGCCCCGGAGGTAATTACTGAATTTCAAGTTGAAGAGACCGTTCCAAGGTTGGGACTCGGACTCCCGAGGTCGGAGTTTTATGATTGATGGGACCGTTGATCTACTGGTACTAGCACTGGAGCACTACTGTCGGATGTCAGTTTCAAGCTTGCACCAGGGCTGATATTCGTGTCTTCGTAAAATTATTAACCACAAAGCTATGCATGCAGCATCTAGAATTCTAATTCTTCCACCTCCATACCGCAGTCAACGCATGTCTTGACTCCGATACCTGTCTCTGGATTCTCCACCAATCGCCCCCACTGGTGCACATGTTTCCGGTTGCTGGCCAGATCATCGCCGAACTGACCTCCAGAAGCTCCCTGGCGATTCCGCCGATAAGCCTCCACACGGGTCCGTTTCTTAAGATCTTGCAGCTTGGTCTTGAACTTGGCTTCTCGTCGTTTCTTCTTGTCCTCCTCGCGCCGCTCAAACTCTGCATCAAGAGCCTCAGTCGAGCCCCACTTTTTGGAGGAAAATGCGTATTCTTCAACCTGGTAGCGGAGGTATAACATCATGTTGTTCCACGTGGATTTATGTGGATTGGGCTTCTCTAGCCGAGGGAGTAGTTCCTCGTCCCGTAGCTCAGCTTCAGGATGAGTGTTAGAGATGCTTGTTCAGTATATGGATCTTGATGAGACTCACGATCTGTCAAAAGATAATCCTCCTTTGCCTCCGTTTTTGTAAGAAGACTGTACTTCTCGGGGAATTTATCCTTACAAGCATGGCAGATGCAGCAATGAAGCATCTCCTCCCACTTCCAGTCAATTTCTAGACTGCCACATTCCCGACAGGTTTTTTGCTGACTCTTGTCATCCAACACGCTCAAACCTGGCTCAAATGGCCCCTCTCGATTCCGGCGTAGCGTTTGCAGTAGTTGGTGACGTTCCCATTCCTTCTGTGTCATATTGGCTGGCTTATTGTCCCTTTCTTCAGATGCATGTAGTTGCTTATTGAAAGGATCATCTTCCTGCGTCAAGAAACCACCCTTCGTGTCCGTCATCTTGCTGAAGTCGTACTCGACATATCGCGTGAAGTTCCGGGCCGGCTGGATCGAATCGAGAGGTCGATCTGACGAGGATGCATTGGAGCGCGCATCGCGTAAAGTGGCGGGGGCATTGGCGGCTGTCATGGAATTGTGGGAACGTTTGACTCCTTGGGTGGGGGCTGCAACGGAACTTTTAGCTGAATCGGTTTCGCGTTGTTCTCGGAGAGCCTTGGCTTTCATGCGGTTGACCTCCTGTTACAAAGAAAGTAGAGTAAGTAGGTGCCCCCCGAGTGATGGTTGATGCTCAATGCGAAGACCTACAATCTGCCGCTTTTGCTCTGGAGTGAGGGGACCGCGAGGAAGTTGGCCTGGCCCGCTCGCATTTTGCCGCGGGGGTGTAGAAGGTCGTTCCCCCGACATGTTCAGGGGCTGCCGATAGTCGAATAGAGATCTCGGGAAAATGAAGAGTTGCTTATTGAGAGACCGAGGGTGATGATGAAAGCCTGGGACTCTTCTGCCAGAAGTCGCCGCCCGGCATATCACCTCGTGACTTCTTTTATCATAACACCGCCTTCCGGTTTCAGAAACCGGGGAAACGAAGCTGCCATGCTTTATATTGCAGGTGGTTAGAGACGCTCGCTATTTCAATTTCAATGCTCCAATGTAAAGCGACGGAAATGTTCCACAGTTTCCGGGTTATAAATCCAAATCCTCAACCCGTTCTTGGCCATACAGCACCTCGCAGACACCGCCTACGGGGATATCCATGACTGCATCGGTGCCCTCACTCCAGATCTCGCACCAATTGACCTTGCGATTCTGTGGGCCCATTATTTGATATGATGTCGCACCGGGTTTCATCTTGGTAGCGCCACCGGGCCGCCGCCGCGCCTTGCCATCGATGACAGCAACATTTGCAACTTCATCCACGATATTCTCGATACTGTTCATGGGAAGGGTGAGATAGCCGGTGTTGTATGAGGCGAGAGCAATGTATATGTAGACAATGGACATCACCAGCCATGATGGAATGGCCAGCGACCACCAGCGGTTCGGGTAATAGTAGATGCCAAGTTGGTGAAGGAATGGGGAGGGAAGATAGGACCAAAGGAGGTAGATCACTAGAAGAGATACGGGGATTAGCGTGGGGATGGTCTGATCATGCGGGGAAGAGAGATGTACGGAATGCGAGCGAGGATGCCAGATAGAGCACAAATCCATAGTACTCATATGTCGGAACCTTGGGGCTGGCGCGTGGAACGGTGGTCGCGCGCCGGGCCGACTTGGCCACGGCGGCCTCGGTGTCGTTGGGAGTTTCGACGTCCGAGCTGTCGGGGGTTGTGGGACGTGAGGTGGTCGTGGAGAAGGGAGGCCGTAGGAGAGATGTCAGCGAGGGCGAAGGGGGTAGCGGTGTCGGTGGGCGGTTGTAGAATGGAGGCGCAAAGGCATTAGGGCCATGAAGGGAGCTGGACGACTGGTGGAAAGGATGGTGCTGTCCAATGCCGTCGCCCGAGTCGTCTGATTCTGAATCAGAGAAGGATTGAGGGTCGAGTGAATAGTGTGACTGGAAATCCGCGTCGTCTTCTACTTCGATCTCATCGTAGCCGGGCGAGGTGACACTTTCGTCTTCGGCATAGCTCTCCTGAGCCTCTTCTGGCGATGCAAGCTCGTCCAACAGCGGAGGAAATGGCTGTTTGGGCTCGAAGGAGTCGGAATAGTTGGTATTTTTCGCCGTCCCCTCCATCAAGGCGAATGAAACACAACAGTGGGGAGCGACCGCAGGATTTTCGTGAAGTTGTTCGAAGTTGAAGTTGTTTTGGACTGGGATGGGTGTTGATAGTTCAGAATCGCCGCGGCCCTCTTTTCTGCCGCGGCCCTCCGTCTTTTATACTTCTCCATCCATCTTGGAAGGACTGGGCAGGACTGGAAATATTTGGAGTGTGACTCGTTTTTGTACTCAACCATCTTTAGCTTGATGGAGCGAGCAGCAGAAATGCAGGGCCGTGTCTGGAAATGACCGGACCCTCAGGTACTGTCCAGACCTAAGTAAATACTAGCTCTCCGGACAAAATCTAGGAGTAGACTCACAACAATAAACTGATATTTATGTGACATCGGGGGTATAGATACTAACTATCTTGCGATGTCTTGCTTTTGGCATCTCGGCATCAGCATCGGGATTCTTGGCTTTGCCCACTGCCGACCCCAGACATTCTCCCCGCATCTCCGTCTTTGCACTAAATTAATTACTCGAAAATATATCTCCATCTGGCACTCAACAAGGGGAAGATTATCCCCGAGAGCATAATGGAAGCCGATGAATCTCCTGCATTAGTCTGCCCTTTGTGTTTTAGAACGTTTCGAAGACCTGAGCATTTGCAACGGCATACCCTGACCCGTTAGTACAATTACCACCGTCGGCCATGAGCAAGGTTGTTCTTGAGGGACTGACCGATGTTCTTCAGATGGTGATGATAAGAAACACGCTTGTACATCTTGTGATGCACGATATAAGAGGAGGTGAGTGCCAAGATCGAGATATTCTCCAGACATCTTGCTTTGATGGCTCACTGGCTGACAATTTTCCAGTGATGCGTTCCGCAGACATTGGAAAACATGCGCGGGGAGGCTGGCCTCGGGGGACCAAATCCCGAAGCGGGGTCTATCTGGCAAGAGAAAGAGAGCATGTGTACTGTGCACCTCCCGGAAGCGAGCTTGTTCTACTGGACAGCCGTGCTCGGGATGCCTATCGCAAGGTACAGTGTGCACTTATAACGGAATTCTATGGCGCCTTTACCGCATTCAATCCCAACTGTTTGGTGGTACCAATGAGGATGTAATATTGTACAATTTCTATACAATAAGTGGGAAAAGGCTGACGGTCGGAATATAGATTCACGCTCTTCGTCGGAGACAATTATCCCATGGATTCTCGCAGGTTTCGATTCAAAAACTGGAACCTTTGATTGAAGGTCAAATGGAAATATTCATCAGAAAACTTCGATCACTTGTAGGTAGTGGCGAGACTTTTGATTTCAAGACCATTATTTCTCTCTATATATTGGATATCTTGGGCGAAGTGGCCTTTGCCAAGCCTTTCGGTGTACAGGAAAAGGGATATGCGGAAGAGTTGCATGCCATCAATGATCATCTTCTACTGGCTGGTGTCATTCGCGAACTGACTTTCCAAAATTTTTGGAAGGCCCTGTCAAGAATGTCTCCAGTGTCATGGATGCGACAATTGATGAAAAGTAGAAATAATCTGAAGACCGTTTGTTCAGATTGCGTTAAGTTCAAGATGAAAAACACGTCTCAACGGCCTGATCTCCTAAAGAGCCTCGTAGAGGCGGCCGATCCCCAGTGTGGTGCTCGCTTAACTGAACAAGAGATCAACTCTGAAGCATTTGCCGTTCTGTAAATCATACCGATCCAGAAATCTGTTCCATAGAGAGATATTCGAAATCTAATATTCACAATAAAATAGCGTCGCTGGATCACATTCAACCCCAGGCACATTGACTCTTCTTCATTGGAACTTGATTCAAATCCCGGAAATGCTTGCAGCTACGACTAGGGAAATTCAGGATTTACTAGGGCCTCTTGGTGTTGGCCAGATTTCTTATCCTATACAAGGCTTTGAAGCATCTTTAATAGACACAATGGCCTGTGTTAAAGAGAATTTTTGACTAATCCCGTGTTCACTATGCCGCTGTGGTGTCGGGTCGGTTTCCAGGGTGGCGTCGACATTGGGGAGCATCATATTCCCCAGGGGGTAAGTTTCCTTACAACTATTCATAGTCTGCCTCAAAACTCACCAGCCTTCAGACAAATGTCTGTATTTCGAACTACGTCCTACACTATAATCCCGACATTTGGGGATCAGATCACGAAATATACAAGCCTAGCCGCTGGCTTGATGACTCTTACAACAAAGAAAAGGGAAGATACCTAATTCCATTCAGTATTGGACATTGAATGTGCATTGGTCGGAATCTAGCCATGACAAACATACTGAAGACCCTTACTACACTACTAGTTCAGTTTGATTTCAAGCCAGCCGAGGTGAAGAAACGAGTTTGCGTCCTCAGTCCAGGAATAGGTGAGATGGAAGGGGAGTTTCTGTGCTCGGTTTCCTTGAAAAAAGAGACAGAAGTTTGAAAAGGGCTTCAACGATGGATTCTCATCGAGAGGAACGGTTCAGGAATCTCAAAACTGTTATCTCTAAATGTCAGCTTGCAATCATTTTTGTTGAGGCACAATAAACTATTGCTATTGTAAACTGAATATTTGACCCTTGGAATATAAATTTTACGATTGAGACGATTTATGATACCGTCGGCCCCACCGAAAATCCCACTCCAAACTCAATTTCAAGTTCGGCCCGGCCGACATTCACAATGACCGGAAGCACAATCCCAATCTGGTTAATACTAGGAAATAGAGGAATGTAGTTCGCTGTCTTCTTGTTGGAATTTGTATGATTGTTAGAATCTCAATATGCTATAAAAGGAGACATATTGTTGACATCTGTAATCGGATATTTTTTAACATCCCATCACTGGAGACTAGTATGAATATCAACGCAAATAAAGCAGATAGCTGCAGCTGCAGCGCGAGGAATCAACCCAGGACTAATGACATACACCCGCTAGGTAATTTGTTCAATGGATCCACAAATGGCAATAAGCGAAACTAACCGTTGATACAGACCCATTATCCGCAGCGGAAATTTTGACCTCGTCGGCAATCATCAAGGCCTCGTCAAAGGGGGAGCTCAAGTTCAATAGCATCACCTTGCTGGAGCCGCTCAAGCTCGAATATGCCGCTTTTCGTGATTCGGGAGGTTCAAGGCCTCGAAGAAGATCCAAAGCCATTGTGATTGCCCGTGGAAACCAGAAAGTATCTGAAGTTACCGTTGATTTGATTTCAGAGACCATCGATGCTTGGGTAGATTTTAAAGACGTGATGCCAATTCTCACTCTGGAGGATCTGGATGTGATCGAAAGAATTTCAAGAGTTCATCCACAGGTGATAAAAGCCTGCAAAGAAATTGGGATAACTGATATGTCAAATGTCTTTTTTGATGGCTGGGCAATCGGAATAGACGAGCGCTGGGGATTCGAGCGAAGACTACAGCAAGCTCTCCCCTACTATCGCAAATTCTCATCGGATAATCAATATGCCCATCCACTTGACTTCATTGTTGTTGCCGACACTGAGAGAGAGGAAGTTCTAGCTGTTGACATCAAAACGGTGAACGGCGAACGTACGCCAATTTCGCTTCAGGAACATAACTACCTGCCTGAGCTGGTAGGAAAGAGCCTCCATGGGTATGATATCCTGAAACCAATCAACATTACTCAGCCCGAGGGTGTCTCTTTTTCTATGCAAGGGCGGGAGATTTCATGGGCAAATTTAAAGCTGCACATTGGATTCAACTACCGCGAAGGTCTGGTTCTATCTGATATACGAATGCGCGATTCTCATGGCAAAGAGAATCGCGAGAGAATTATCTTCAACCGACTTAGTGTGGTAGAAATGTTTGTTCCATACGGGTCGCCGAATGCACCCCATCACAAAAAGCATGCTTTCGACATCGGAGAGTACGGCTCTGGATTCATGACCAACTCTCTGAAGTTAGGATGTGATTGCAAAGGTGCGATCCACTACTTGGACGCTGTTCTGAATTTCGGAAACGGGACACCTTTGTTGATTGAAAACGCTGTGTGCATTCACGAAGAAGACAATGGCATCCTGTACAAACATACAGACTTTCGAGATGGGAGTGTTGTTCTCGCACGAGATCGGAAGCTGGTCATATCACAAATTTTAACTGCGGCCAATTACGAATATGCTTTCTACCACACATTTACGCTGGATGGAACCTACAAGCTGGAAGTGAAATTGACTGGCATGTTGAACACCTATTGTCTCCACCCAAGTGAAGAATCTGCGCCCTATGGCACAGAGGTGGGGAATAGACTTGATGCTCAAAACCACCAGCATATTTTCTCTCTTCGCATTGACCCGGAAATTGATGGACCCAACAACAGTGTGATCCAAAATGATGCTGTTGCCGCCGATTACTCTCCGGAGAAGAACCCATATGGAAATGGTTTCCTAGCGAACAAGAGAACCTACAAAACGGCCAGGGATGGCGCATCCTCCTATTGTCACGAAACATCCCGGACGTGGGATATCGTGAACCCAAATCGAGTCAGCAAAATATCAAAAAAGCCGATTGGATATAAGATCGTCAATAGCCAGTGTCCTTCTCTCCTAGCACGGCCTGATAGCATAGTTACAAAACGAGGAGAATTTGCTCGAAAGTCGCTTTGGGTCGTTCCTTACCGTGATGGTGAATTATTCCCCGCTGGTGACTATGTCTGCCAATCAAGTGGCATGCATCATCCACAAAACTTGACAATCACTGATTGGGTGGCTCGCGACGAACCCATTGAAAACACAGATATAGTTTGTTACGTTCAATTTGGCCTCACGCACTTCCCTCGCATGGAAGATTTCCCCATTATGCCTGCAGAGCCGGTCAGTGTGACTTTGCGCGCATCAAACTTTTTTGAGAAAAATCCTGCTCTCTGGGTGCCTCCGTCAGATGTATCTGGAGACAAATCCTCTGCTTTGGCCACTGTAAGCTTCCACTCCGCAAGCCCCGGAAAAGAGCCAAGTGTAGTGTTCCCGAGACTTTGAGGAAAGGCATTTTATTACAGGGAGGAGGAAAGAGAATTGCTTATGGAATTGAGTATTCGATCACACATATTTGCGAAGAACCTTAAATGGTATTTGTGATCAAGAAATTTCTATCTGAGATATCTATCATGTTCGTCCTGTTCAGTAGTTATTACTGGTAGTTCTCAATCCATGGATCCACAGATACTACTAGTAGTATACCGCTGCTGCTCACCAAACGCGACCAGAAACTATTTCTAAGGCCTGGTTACCAGTAAACCACGGATAACTAATCTAAAATATTGCTTTGAATCCAGCCCAGCCACAATTGTAGAGCTTTGCAGCAAGTAAACAGACGAGACTGGCTGCATAGCTAGCGATGGTGAACAAAATTAAGCCCCAATACTCACCATTGCATCTCGTCAAAATTTCTCCAGCAATCGGTATTCCTGTCAAAGTACTAAGAGAAGTGTCAACATACAAAAGAAAGTGATGATATGAGGTGATCTTAGTATCAAAAGCTCTATCATACCTGATACTGACAATAGCATATGCGGTCGCATAATATCGTCCATAAGATTCCAGCCTGCACAGTTGACCAATACAAACTGGCGCCAAACTGACATTACTTCCACTGAAAAATCCAAAAAGCAGAGCAAAGACTGTCGCAATAGGCTTGCTTGAGTTGGCAGGCATCCATAGGCAAGCAGTGAAAAGGAGACAGCCAAAAATAGTGATTATGAATGTGTTAAACCGGCCAATGCGGTCAGCGCAGTAACCCGGTATCCATCGGCCAAAAATAGCACCGGCATTGATCAAAGATAAGAGCAAGAAGGAAAATTGGGGTGACATTCCTCGAGACAAGGCATAGGAGGTCAAATAGGTGATCGGAACAAACAGACCCCACTCCATGAAGAACATTCCCATGCTTGCAAGCATAAGACTAACATTTCCAAGAATAGATATATCTGGAACGATTGCGCCAATTGTACTCGTCTTTGGCTTGAATCTTGGCCGAATAAGTATAATCGCAATCACGAAAGTGACAAGGTTGACGAGTGCGATTACACGAGTGGCCCATGCAAAACCCACTTTAGAAACCACGTTCTGGAAGAGTAGAGGGAAAATAAGACCCCCAAATGACGCGCCAGAGGAGGCTATTCCAGTTGCTAAGCCTCTCCGACGATTGAAATAGTGCGCGACGATGGAAATTGCAGGATTGAAAGTGAGCGACAAACTGACCCCTCCAATAATGCCGAAGACCAACATGAAATGCCAATATAGTGTACAAAAGCCCAGAAGAACAAGAAAGAGGACTGTTCCAATAGCACCGCAAACTATCAGAGCTCGTGGTCCCTTTGCATCGAATATAGGTCCGACCTGGATACCACAGAAAAAAGCAAGAAATGAGTAGATACCAAAAATCCAGGCAATTTTGCTGGATGAGAAATGCTTCAGCTCGTTCTCCTCCAAATATGACTGGAAGATGCCTAAACTATTCATCAATCCCATTGTACCAAAACATGCCATCCAGCTCCCAAGGACAACACTCCAAGCAGCCCACCCCCCTTCGGGATAAGTGAGCTCGCCGTCGTTGGTTTGGAACTCTGAACCATTGTAACAGGGCTCATCCTGTGGACTGCTTGATTGGCTCTCTGTGGAACATATCTTTTCATCATGGGAGAGAGAGGTTATATGTGGCAGAATTTTGCTGTGCCCGGGCCCTGTGGCGTTTCAACAGACATCTCGTTTATCGCGCAAGAGAGAAGATAAAAATATGAAGAAGCTACTACTTTCTTGATGAGTATTAACAAGGCAAGTAACTTTTTGGAGGATGCTGGTCAAGCATACCTTGGCATGGAATACCCGACTAGCCATGAAGATATCGGACAGTCCGACACTGCACAGTGACACCTGGCCAGGCCGCCGGCCGATCTTCTATCATCTACAAGGCCAACAGAAATTCCCGAGTGACACCGGTGCCGGACGTTTTAATTTACGTTGAGGTACTAGAAATGTTATTTTGTCAATACTATGGGAGTGCTCTAATCAATAATATAAATCATTTCTCTGATTCTCAAAATCTCACTGAGGAGATATTATATACTCCGAGTCTCTCTGTTACTGCTCGAATCATGCCTTGTATCTTCTTTGCAGAAGGAAATTTCTCCCCAAAAGAATCCAATAGCTCCACAGCCAGATCGAGATCGGCGAGTGCTTTGGCATGATCCAATACCAAGGACAAATTTTCAGCCTGTGCAGAAGAAGTGTACATAAGTGACAGTGCAGAATTGAAAACGGCTACAAGATTGAGCCAATTGTAAGCAAATCGATTTTGGCGATGCATATTAATCGCTTGTCGAATAGCCATTCCCGAGGCATCTGCGAGAATTCGCATTCCAGAGACGTCCAAATTAGGATTTAGCGGCGAGGGGCGATAAAGCATAATGGTGTGAAGATAGTAATTTAGATCAAACCAGCTAGTGCAAAGATGAGGCACCTTAGACTGTAGATCAGGGAGAGGAAACGGCATACTTCGGCGCCATTCGACGAGTCGTCTGTGGAGCTCTTGAATGGTTTGATCACGTGTCTCCTGACTCTGTCGCTCAACATGCTTGGGGGAGTGCACCAGAGTTCCAATGTCGCTAGCAATCCTCCGCAAGGCCAGAATATGGAGAGGAACTGCCATGGTGGAAGGCTCTAGCTTGATAGACGGCTTGATATTGTTCGGATTGATGTTTTCATCATCTGCATCGGCAAATGGCTAGAGATAACTGTTAGAAGCTTTATGAATTCGAAACAAAAAAGAAATGACTGCACACCTCAACTGTTATGTCGTCATCTTGAATAGCAAAAGGCCTTCCGAGGGCCAATGAAACAACGCTGTGATGATTAGTTGCGAAGCTCATTATTACATTCGGGTGCCCACTTGAATAAAATCAATAGAAACATACCGATCCATCATATAAAGAGAAAAGAAGATTCGTTTCTGTTGCTCGGCAACATCGACCGCGAGAGATTGATAGACTTCCGATGTGTGGAGTCCCATTCCGGTTGCCATACGAGCAGCAACACCCACCAAAAACCAGGTATCTGCTTTGGAATCAATAACGAGATTAATCGAAAATATACGATTTATCAAAGCAACTTACTGGGTCCTATTTTATTAAAGAATGAATACGATACTTGGAGCATCAGAACCTCCAACCCGGCCTAGTTCCAAGGTTTGAACCATCAGTAAATTTATGTTTCGACGGAATTATCATCATTAGACACTCACCGAATCACCACATCCCATCGCTGGCTCAAAATAAGTCATGGCTTTGTTGAAAAACCTTACTGGCTCTGTCTCATCCATCAAAGAAACAGAGCAGTAAGTCGTCGAACCGATTGCTAGGATCATCCATATTCTGAATTGCCACAGTGGAGACTGTGATAAAGGATCCAAAGGATTGGCGTATATTCTCCATAGGACCTCCTCAAAGTCATTCTTGCGAATAATTGGATAGAGAGTATGGGAATGCGCAAAATAAAATTCCAGGATATAGCTGATATGAGTAGGCTCTAGCAAAGTAAGGCCCGTTGTATCCTCATAGTCATCAATGGTTGGGTTTTCGAATAGCGAGCTTAGCGGCATGGGGCTTGACAAGGAAGGGTTCATTTCGAAAGAAATTGGATTCAAGTTTGGAATAACGTTCGTGTTAAGGTCACAGCTTTGATGTTTATTGCCGTTGATATCTTCATCGAACACAAAGCCGTCTTGATCTGGAGATAGTCGCCGAAGAACGGTCTGGGTGAGTTGGGCTAAAGGGAGGCCAGAAGAGGAACCCAAATAGCGCTCAGCCGCCGCCTCCAAAGAAACCAATCGCAGCTCTTCTGCTAGGTTAGCTGGATTTTGTCCCAGAGCCTTTAGCATGGGTGAGATTGGAAATTCGTCGAAACTTAGTATCGCATCATCCGCACCTTGCACCGGTGGGGAGTTGTTTGTTATATTTCCGGAGGGCATGGGACCCTCAGCCAGCGGGGAATCGTTATCTTGATCCCAAGGATGTGAAGAAAGGTCATTATGAGAGGTTTGAGGAGTTAACGACGCTGTGACTTGTTGTTCAAGCTCTTTAACTCGACGTTCCAGCCCTCGGACATAGCTGTATGTTGTTAGAAGGTCTCTCTCTTCGTGATGAGGAAGGGTAAGAATTAGCCGAGGAATTTTTTTTTCTTACGCGACTGGGTAAGATGCTACCTGCGTCTCATCATCGAGGAAGCTGCATGCCACTTTCGCATGCTTGCACGCTTGACACTGTGGCAGAGTTTTGTCACAGCGCTTCTTTCTGCGATGGCATCGCTTGCAGGAGCTTTCTGCCCTTGCAGCCAGTTCCAGCATAATTGGCTCGCATAGGATAGAAGTGATCGGTACGGCAGAGGTGAGCAGGGTGAACGGGATCGAGACTATCTCAGTAATGTGGACTAAAGAAAGTGAATTTTGGGGGCGAATGTAATGCCTTATCTTGCCTTATCTCGCATGGGCTAAGGTTGGAATGGAGCAAATCGGAATATTGAGGTTTTGGGAGATAACGCGAATGTCTCACTGGTAAAGGCAACAGGACTGTTGAGGGTTGATCTTGAGTAATGCCCACCTGACTTTGCAACGAGATAGTTAGAAGTCAGCCAACATTGACCTTACCATGACAATTGACCTCCCTTGAGACTCTGAAAAGTGCGGGGCACTAAATTGCCAATGAGAATCGGGGCATTGCAGTGCGGGGGGAGAGGTGACTAGTGGTCCATGTGGAGATGGCACGTCACGCTGCCCTCTCTACAGCTTGCTGGAAAGCGAAGGGACAAGTACATAGAGTAGGAAGAATTAAAATCTCATTCTTGACATTTCTTTACTATTTCACTAAGATAAGAATTGTTTTATCCACGTCATAGTTCATCTCTGACTAACTAATTTGTAATTACAGTAGCATGGACGGCCTAGGATTCCGATATCATTACTTGCGCTCATTATCCGCACTAAACTATATGCGAAGTGAAGGGAAAAATTGAATATTCAATATATATACAGAGATACATGGTTTATAAGACTGAAGATTGCGTAGATTGCTGAAGGTTGTCAACCAGTTGTCGCATCGGCGGCGCCGCTGTCGGACAACCCGCCATCTCATCTCTCATCTACTGCCGTCGACAAGAACAGTCAATGTGTTCAGAAACGTGAGCAGTGCCCGGGCGAAATAAATAAATGTCTCAAGAATTGTCAAGTTGCTTCTTACTAGAATTTCAATCAACTGTCTTTTATATTGAGAATTTTCTGAATATTCTACCCATCCAGAATGTCTTCTACTCCTAACGGCCAATCATTCCTCCTCGACCCTCAGAAGACCGCGGGACTGACAAGATTCTCTCATGCACGAGTGGTCAAACCTTCCACTTACCATACCATCTACATCTCTGGAATTGCTGCTGTCAGTCCGGACGGAACATATGAGGGTGTCACGGAAAATGCCGATGGGACGTTCACAATCGATGTTCGAGAACAGACAGCTTCTATCCTCCGCAGGGTCGATAGTATCATCCAGGGGGCCTCCAATAAAAAGGCCAACTTGTACAACATAGTCGACTCAGTTGTCTACATCTTGGACATGAAGACCCAATATTCCGACATGAATGAAGAATGGAACAAAGTCTGGTCCGACCGTGCGAGTGCTCCCAGCCGGGCTACAATTGGAGTCAAGGAGCTTCCTGATCCTCGGTTTGCGGTGGAAATTAAAGCTACCGCAATTTTCGAGCTTTGATCAAAAAACTGAGGAGAAGAAAATGAGGATGCGAATTAATAAGCATTTCACGGGGAAGTTTACGATCTGTCGGCCTTCCCGCGGGGAACCTTAGAGAACGATAGATAGTTCCGTCTCAATTAAATTCTCTATAAACTCAACACCTTCCTATAACCATACAGTGAAACTCACATCTTACGGGTAAAAACTTCATACGATCAAATATGGCCTCTGCTTACGACCCTAGCGATATCGAATATTGCGAATTGAGAAACTTTACGTTTGAAAATGGGGAAACTCTACCGGTCGTTCGACTGGCCTACCGAGACTTGAACCCCGGTGGCAAGAAGGCGGCACTTATTCCTACATGCTTCCGAGGGAGAATTAACACTACCCTGAACTTCACTAAAGGAGCCCTCCAGAGCCATCGGGTGATTGTCGTGGCACTTTTTGGCAACGGGGAATCGGCAAGTCCTTCGAATACGGCCAATTTCCCTTCCACTATCAGCTACAAGGACTGTGTTCAAGCCCAGCATAGATTGTTGACAGAAAAACTGGGTATCGCGACACTTAATGTCGTGGTCGGATTTTCAATGGGCGGACAGTGTACCTATCACTGGGCTGCGATGCACCCTGGAATGGTCCAAAATGCGGTGATTATATGCTCTTCTGCCAAAACCAGTCTACACAACCGCCAATTCCTGGAAGGCCCAAAAGCTGCTCTCCTGCACTCAATCGACTATAATGACGGTCACCTCACTGAAAGCAAAATTCCGATAAGAGGTCTACATGCATTTGGCAGGGCATATTCTGCCTGGTTGACGAGCGCTGAATGGTTTGAAAAGCGGCTTTTCGAGAAACAGGGGTTCAAAACTCTGGAAGCTTGGGCTGAGGTAGTTGGTGGGAAGAATTATGAGGATTGGCACCCGGATAATTTGCTATCTATGCTAGGGATGTGGCAGCGTTCTGATCTCAGCTTGACAGTGAGCAGGACGGTTGAAGAGACGACGGTTGAAGCTACATTGAGAAGACTGACATCAAACATTCTCTTGATGCCTTGCCTGACCGATCAGTACTTCAAGTGGGAGGCAAGTAAGATAGAAGCTAGCTTTTTACAGCATGGAGAGTTGGCGATCATTCCGTCAATCTGGGGTCACACCGCGGGAGGTGGAGGCAGCCCCGAAGATACCGAGTGGATGGACCAAAGGATCAACCGGTTTTTGGGTCAGAGCTAAGTCAATTTCACTCTTGATCTTGGTAGAAATCAGAAAAACTGCTAGTTATGCTTATTTACAAACCACTTATATCACCTGTGTCAATGATCGGACGATTGAATCTTTGCCGAAGATGTACGCAGCCTAGGCACTTTCTGTAAGATGCCTAGATACGACGAAGATACCTAGTAAAAAGCAAAAATGTAGTGGCATTCGACGAAAAAGAAGCAGATTATCGACAAATTGATGCCTTACATGCCTGATTGATGCCTGACAATGCTTGATGAATATCCAAGGCTCAGCTTGCATTTTCACTGTTGCACCTCATGACCAGGAATCAAAAGCAAAGAACTGTAAATATGGACGTTCTTTACTTAGAGAGACTAATCTTTTCCCCCCAAAAAATTGCAAAAAAAAGAGCCCCAGAGAAACATCGATGAAGGTTACAGTCTGTCCCAAAACTGGTGCCATCACTTTCATTCTAAAACTGTTTTTCGAACTATATTAAGCACACTAGTCTATATTAGGGAATATTTCGGATTATTGATGGTTCTGTACCTTCAAAGAATACTATACCATACATATCATACTCAGATTAGAATACGAGAGTCTGGTTTTCTTACTGTATTGGCAATCCCATCAGCAACTAGAAGCTTCCACGTAATGCAATCGTCAAACGCCCTAGGCAGAGACCCTGAGAACGAGGCGATTGGAACCAGCCTCTGCCATTCCTGTGTCACACTGACAGTCTCGGGGAGTCACTCAGTCCCTAGTACAGTAGTGCAACCAGCGACTTACCTTAGCTTTGCTTAGTTACCTGCAAACTACTTACTCATGCACCCAACGCTCGCTTCGTCTTACAAAAGGCGGATATTTTAATCACGTGAGTAAAGCTCACGTGCCATGCGATCAATTACGTAGCCTCGTGTGCGAGTCCATTCAATCTATAATCTATCCCAGCTAAAGTACCATTCTTTATTATACTTTGTACGTCCTCTAAATCTGATCACGCAGCTCTTTAACCTGGTTTATCCCAGTTGAAAGTTGGTGCACTACGCACAAGGCCTACTATCCACAGAAAGACATCTTCTGCCACATCCGACTTTACGTTCAACCAACATGGCCGTGGAAAAGAAAAAGGTTGCCATCATTGGCGCGGGACCTGTAGGCTGTGCCTTTGCGGTTCGTCTCGTTAAGTCCGGACACGATATCACAATCGTAGGCCGTGGCCAGCGACTTGCAAATCTCGAAGAAAATGGGGGTATCCAGACGAAGAAATCGGAGAAAGCAACGGAGATCTCGAAGACTCCTGTGAAAGCCGTCAGATCCCTCGATACTGCACAACCCTGGGACCTAGTCCTCCTTACCATTACGGAGCACCAGTTTGACGAGCCATTGTTTGCTACGCTTAAAGCTTGTCCAAAAACAACACAGATTCTATTCATGTTTAATACTTTCGCATCGCTGGATAAGTACTTTGACGTCCTGGGAAAGGAACGCTGCATCATGGGATTCCCGGCGATTATGGCATTTTTCTATGATGGAGCATTGGTGCACAAATTCCTCAGTTTCGGTCAAATCACCATCATCTCATCACCCGAATGGCGCTCCATCTTCTCGTCGGCGGAGATCGCTTGTGTCCACGAACCTGATATGCAAAGTTGGCTACGCACACATGCCGCCATGGTCGTTGGGTTTCAGAGCGCGGCGGTTGCAGCTGCCAAAAGGAAATCAGGAGTGACATGGGCGGAAGCACAGCTCAGTGCTGGGGCTGCCAGGGAGGGGTGTGCACTGGTCAAGAAGCTTGGAAACAGTATCACGCCCAAATTCATATACTATCTGGGTGTTGCAGCGCCGAGCTTCGTGCTCACAGGGTTATTTTGGATTTTGACGAGAGTACCTGCTTTCCGCAATAACCCACAAGCATTGCCGAACTGGGAACGAGAGATGCTTGGTTTGGCGGAAAGCATAATTGGAGCAGCGCCTTCCGATGACGACGTACGACTGATTAGCCAGCTAAAGTCGAAGTATGTATGAATGAACCAAGCTTGCTCAGCCTACTCCCTATACCTTAGTAGCGAAACAAGGATACAAGCGAATACACCACACCATTATGATACGTGTCCTCTGTACTCCGTAAGGAACAATACAAACACTTGTGCCAAGGATACACGGGAAACTCTCAACATGTATTAGTGTAGCTTAATGATAGAGTTTCAAAAAAATAAATCGAAGAGTAAAGGTGGTGGCACCAGTTTCGGGACATACTGTACACTTTTTGTAGTCTCTCACTTTCTCTACCGCGAGGATTAACCATCAAGCCCGAGACTTGTAATTCTGAGAACTCCCATTGGAAGACATGATATCCCGAAAATGGAGTGACGATAAGAATCATATCGCTATCTGTTCCTGTACCCCGTCTGTCGGGCTGTCCGACAGCCTTTCGGTGGTGCTACCAATAGGCAATTTCCAGGAGTGAGGGGTGCTTGTCGGACGCCACCATGCCAGTATAGTGAACCTACTAGTAGTATTACTCCGAGAAAGTCTCTATCCTACGACGTCCTCTTAGAGAGTATATAATTCCCGACATCATTTAACCCAGGGTTCTGGGGTATCAAGCGCATTCAGAATAATTATTTCGATTTCGATACTTGTTAGATACGAAGATGATTGACAATAGAGTGGAGGAGCATTTGGCTCTTCTAGGAACGCTGCCCAAAAGCTACATACTGGGGTTGGTTCCGCTGTTTCTCTACTTAGTCTACAAGGTAAGCCTGTGGGCCTATGTGATTTCATCGGCGCGATTCCAAGCCTGAGGTTATAACTGTTTTCTCCACTAGGTTGCCTTCGCGACAGATATACCACACATCAAGGGCATTCCCGAGATCCCAGGCGCAGTTCCAATTTTTGGACACCTGCTCAAACTTGGTGAAGATCATGCAACCGTCTGTGAAGGTTGGTGGCGGAAGTACGGGGATTCTGTTTTTCAGATCAAGCTTGGCAACACCCGGGCCGTCGTCGTCAACTCATTTGAAGACTGTAAAAAGATGTTGCTCGGTCATCAGAATGCTGTCATTGACCGTCCGAAGCTCTATACCTTTCATGGAGTGATCAGCAGTACACAGGGCTTTACGATTGGATCTTCGCCTTGGGATGATTCTTGCAAAAAGAAGCGCAAAGCATCTGGCACGGCCCTGGGAAGGCCTGCTCTCCGCAATTATCATCCGATGTTTGATCTTGAAAGTTACTCTATCGTTCGTGATATGTACAAAGACAGCAAAAATGGCGCTGTTGAAATCAACGTCAGACCCTACATTCAACGTTATGCTTTGAACACCACCTTGACTCTCTGCTACGGTATTCGAATGGACGCTGTTTATGATGATCTTCTGCGCGAAATCCTTCACGTCGGTTCAGCAATCTCGCTTCTGCGAAGTGCCTCCGAGAATCTCCAAGATTACATTCCCACTCTCAGGTATCTTCCCAATAATGAGAAGAATGCGCGATCGAAGGAATTGCGTGAACGGCGAGACACATACCTCGATCTGCTGTTAGACAAAGTCCGAGCAATGATCAAAAAGGGCACTGATAAGCCTTGCATTTCAGCCGCTATTCTGAAAGACCAGGAGACAAAGCTTACTGGAGTTGAAGTTTCTTCCATCTGCCTGTCTCTAGTGTCCGGTGGATTTGAGACCATTCCTGGAACGTTGACCTCTTGTATTGGGTCACTTTCCACCCCTGAAGGACAGGTCTGGCAGGATCGAGCCTATGCAGATATCAAGCGACACTATCCAGACATCCAGGAAGCCTGGACTAGTGCTGTTAGTGAAGAAAAGGTCCCTTACGTAAATGCTATCATCAAAGAGGCCGGGCGATATTACACCGTTAGCTCCATGAGCCTTCCCCGAAAGACTGTGACCGAAGTCAACTGGAATGGAGCGATTATCCCCCCGAAGACCATGATTCTGATCAACGCGCAAGCTGGAAATCATGGTAAGCCTCAATTTCTCCATATAATTTCCCTGTGTTATTTATTTACTTCCGATTACTGACTATATTCGCAGATGTGGACCATTACGGAGCTAATGGTGGTAAATTTGACCCTGAACGATGGCTCAAATCTTTGAATCCACCAGAGGAAAGTGAGATTAACGGGCTACCTCATTTGAGCTTCGGTGCTGGATCGCGAGCCTGTTCCGGTCAGTATATTGCGTCTAGATTGCTCTACACTGCCCTGATTCGCCTTCTTTCGACGTACAAAATTGTCGCAAGTGAGGACAACCCTCCTAATACAGACTATGTCGAATACAACCAGTTCAAAACCGCCTTGGTGGCAATCCCGAGGGATTTCAAGGTCCGTCTGATCCCCAGAGATGACGCTACAGCTAGTGAGTGCTTGGCACAGGCCGAGGGTCGGACCAAGGAACACTACAAGGAGTAGTTTAGGATGGAAGAGAGAGGGGAAGCTTTGGGAGTATTAGCTAGTCTCAACGATTCTAGCTAAATATATCTCCATCAAGTACAAGTTAATTCCAATTAAGAGCACCTTTTCTTTCAAAAGCAAGCTTTCATATCCATGGATGTATTGTAAATTTTCAGATTCTGGATGCCTCCAGGGTAGTGTATAAGATAGTTAGCACCATTGGAAGAGAGGCATTACAGTAATTTCGACACTATTGATTGTCATACCTGGGCACCGTGTCCTGAATAGTGACAAAATTTTGCGAGGATTCATTCTGCCATAACTTGGACCATACAGTCATCACTAACTATCATCGGCTGTTCGGGGCGCCCGACGCACCCCAGTTAATTTTCCCCGCTCGAGATTGAGTGACGAAATATACATATGATGGGTTTCTGCTGTTAGAAATAGCCACTATATACTTCAAATCAATTCATCAAAGATGTCTCTGAGTGCTTTGGATTTGTTCAATGTTAAGGGCCGGGTTGGGATGGTTACGGGTGGAAGTAGTGGCATTGGGCTTATGATTTCCAGGGCATGTGGTTCACCTATAAACTTTGAATTTCGAACGCGAACCTAACAACACAATTCTGTAGGGGCTAGTATCAAATGGAGCCAAGGTCTATCTCGTCGCACTCCCGAGAGATCCCATAACCGAGGTTGTCAATGAGTTGAATGAGTTGGGCCGGGAATCCGGTGGAAGCGCAGAAGGGTACAGACGCGACAAAAAAAACAAAAAAAAAGACAACTCGCTGACATATTGCTTTTAGTTATGCGTGTGATGTATCATCAAAAGATGCGATATCACAGCTTGCTGAAAAGATATCTGAAAAGGAAACGGCCTTGGACATGCTCATCTCGAATGCCGGTATTAGACGAGACCCCCCCTTTAGCATGCAACGTGCTCACAGCATCCGTGCAAGAACTTCAACACTCAATGTGGTCAGTTCAAAGCAAGGACTGGGAAGATACATTCCGAGTAAATACTGCAGCCCATTATTTTCTCAGTGTAGCCTTTCTTCCTCTCCTCGCGGCTGCGGCGAACCAATTGACCAGCACTGGAACAACGGGGCGAGATGAGGGGCGAGGAGTCATTGTGGTGACCAGCTCATGTGCAAGCATGCACAATTCCACTAATGTGGATCTTACAAGCTATGCAACAAGCAAGGCTGCTACTGATCATCTTGTCAAGTTGCTGGCGGCAAAATACAATCGATTCTATGTGCGCGTGGTTGGAATTAATCCCGGTTGTAAGTTGTGCAGACTTGAATCTTTGTCCAGTTTTAGTTCCAACATGAAGGTTCCTCAGCCAGGAAAACTAATAGAAAGTTCTGTCCAGTCGTCCCCAGCAATATGAATCCCGTCGGCGCCGAAGGAAATATTTTCAGCTCCTTGTTTGAGAAGGTCCCGGCAAAACGGGCGGGAAATTCCGATGATATAGCTGGCACCGTTCTGTATTTGGTTAGCAAATCAGGGGTAAGTCATTTCTCCGCAAGTTCGATTCTGAGCTGAGCATCGCTGATTGGAGTTCTCTGGAAACAGGCATACGTTGATGGAACCTCTCTTTGTGTTGATGGCGGCCGCATCCTGCTGGCGAATGGACAGGAATGATCATATAGAGCACAGGCATATCGAGTTACGATCATGATAGCGATGGGTGCTTTGATCAATTATTGTATTTCGTTGATCGGCCTCCCCGCATGACCAAAAGTCGGCGAGCCCGATGCGGGGAGCAACAGAGAATCCCGATGGTCGTCTTAGAGAGCAGATAATGATTGTTAAGAATTCAAATATCATGAACACTGTGTCCTTTCCCTGCCGTAATTGACGCACCGATACTGATAAATCAAAACTTCAATCACTTCTCGTCATGTCGGTAGCATTTTTGGCAGATCCAACTCAGTAGGTATTCCGAAGCTGATTGCTTCCTGCAGTGCCTGATACTAACCTAATTAGATCTCGAATATCGACTGAAGACTTACACAATATAGCTGATAGGCTTGGGTTCAAAATTCCCGAAGGGCCGGAGACAGAGGCCTATTTGCATCTACTTCAGTCAGCAGAAGCTGTTATGAGACGAATTCAAAGCGACGAAGATTACATACACCCCGCCCTGTCTCCAGTTGAAACCACGACAGATCGAAAGTACTGGGAGCCAGAAAGCAAGGATAATCCTCTAAATGCCTGGAAGCACCGTTGTGAACTTATTGCGAGGATCCCCAGCAACAAATCCCTTCAAAACCGGACAATTGCTATCAAAGACAACATATCAGTTGGAGGATTACCCACCACTGTTGGAACATTCAAGGAGCTTTTATGCGAAGAAGATGGTAGTCTTCCGCTCTCTCCAATAGATGCCCCGGTGGTTTCACGTATCCTGGAGGCTGGTGCGACGATCAAAGGCTCTTCAAACTGTGAGAACTATTGCGCATCTCCCCTCTCGTTTAGTGCGGCCAATGGGCCTGTTCACAATGCCTGGAAGTATGGACATACTTCTGGGGGAAGTAGCAGTGGCTCTGCAAGCCTGGTAGCTGCTAATATTGTCCAACGTGAACAGGGGGGGATCATTTGGGGAAATAGTTGATCTGGCAATCGGGGGTGACCAAGCAGGATCAGTTAGGATTCCAGCTTCGTACAGTGGAATATACGGTCTTAAGCCAACGTATGGGCTCGTACCGTATACCGGCGCAGTATCTTTGGCGCCTATGATTGACCATCTGGGTCCCCTTGCAAATAACTTGGAAGACATCGCATTGTTGCTTCAAGTGATGGCAGGCTATGATGGGATTGACCCGCGCATGACTCCAGAATCACCGCTGAGATCCCAGGTGCAGGATTATCCGCGACTTTTGTCCCAATTTCGACATCGCAAACTTGAGCAAGGAGAGGATTTCGGCTCTGGGCTGACTATCGGTCTTCTCGCAGAATCATTTGAAATACAGGGGTTGTCTGAAGAAGTTCGCGATACTGTTCGACAATCAGCGCGAGAGTTCTTCACGGCTGCGGGGGCGAAAGTTGTGGATATCTCTATACCGAATCACCGTGACGGTAGTTTGATCTGGACTGCTGCCACTCGAATGTCCATGTCGGAATGGGTCTGCCAGGGCAAGACATCCGGATTCCTTTCTTTCTTGCCTCCGCACATCCACCCTCGATGGCCCCCTGACCAGAGGATGTACGAACTGACCACGGCGACAAATCCAGCTGCTGTCAACGTGATGCTCAGCGGATCGTTTCTCCAAGAGCATTTTGGTCCCCAGGTGGAGGCCAAGGCCCACCGGAAGGTGTTTGAGCTTCGGGCGGCATATGACCAGGCGTTCATGCAGGTAGATATCCTTGTCACACCTTGTGCACCCACGGTTGCGATGCCACACCCCACGATGCAGGTTAATGAAGATGGTTCCCCTTCGAGTGTCATGGACAAACTGTCCGCCGCGGTTGGCGTGACGACGAACACGGCGCCGTTTAACGTTACTGGTCACCCTGCGCTGAATGTGCCATGCGGGTTCGGTCAAGACTCGAATGCGTCCGAGGTTAAACTGCCGATTGGCATGCAACTCGTGGGACGTCGATGGGAAGACACCACAGTGTTGAAAGCGGCGGCAGTGTTTGAAGAAGGCAGAAAGCGAATGTACATAGATGGAGGTTGATCCGCTGTTTTGGGTTCACAAAGTTCATACATTTGTTACTACTAGTTACTAGTAATTCGGAAGTTACTGAAGTGAAAACATTCGATCGCGTCAAGGATAAAAACAAAACAAGAAAGAGCAAGCAAAAAGCCAAAAAAAAGCCGGAAGAAACAGAAAGCCCCAAGCATCCATGGTGATATCTCCCCCCTCTTTCTTCTCTTTCCAAGATTCTCTCTAACCCACTTCACCTTCTCACAAGCCAAGGCTGATCTTTGTTACACACGTACCACGTGGAGATGAACCGATTCCAAGGCATCGAGAACTCTCACTAAGCCCTCTCCTGCAATTTGGCTTTGCTCAAGTCGCGACCTCGGCACAGCCTGCATCATCCACCATCCTAGCATCAAGCAGCCACGCCGTGCAGAATGTGTGAGTTTGCACTACGACGAGCCTGCGCTGCAACCCCAAGTTGACAGCCAACGCCTCTCACCAGACCCCTTGCGTCTAGTGTCTGTCGTTGAGAAGTCAACCACGCTCGAACGAGGGCCAGGGCATGGGGGACGTGACGCTATCGATGTTCATCGATAGCAAATTTTCCCCCACACCTTCAGCCCTAAGAGAGGGGAGTTTTCCATCATTGTGTTACACAAAGAGGATTGACCTTGATTAAAGAATGCTAATAGAAAATACCTTTATGCTAATCCCTGCCCCTCGTTGACCCATCATCGCACATCCCTGCCACTGCAGGACATTTTAGCTTCCCTCGATCGTGGTAGGACGAGCATACATACCACTTCGCGTCAGAGAGTCCATCATCCATTGGTCCGACTCAAGAAAGAAGATTGACCAAGAGCCCGCATGTCAGCTCCACGCGCTCAGGGGGGGATAATCCATGTCACGACCCCTGTCCCACGATCAGCACGTCCCCACTCGATAGTTTTGCTTCCTGCGGGTCCGCGCATCTCGCAGCTCTCCGCTCTTTGCTCTCTGTCAATATTAGGCTTCTATATCGCGCAGATCCGGGTCGAATAAAAGGATGTTGGCGTAATGTTCATTTCTCCAGAATTCCCGTGACCTGACCCTGTTCCAGCTATTCCAGGAGACGCAAGGCACAACTTCTGTACCAAAAGAAGACCGTGTGGCGCATGAACTATGGGATCGACAAACTATCGCGTTCCGAAGATTTGGTGCAATGCGACGACCCACCTATCAACGCGAGTCCCAAACTATGTCAGTCGCGTTTCGAAGTGACAGGTCCAAATAATTGTGGATACATACTCTACCCACACGCCAGACCTGTCGAGGTGCGGCCCGCCATGCTTTTTCTAGGCGGAGAAATTTTTAAAAAATAATAAAAAATAAAAAATATGGGTCGATGCCTTGTCTCCAAACCTTTTTTTTGGTTTAAATTAATAGCTACCTCCCCCATCACCAGGCTGGGCCAGGAACAGGCACTGATCCCGCCCACCTCCTCCGCGATGTCAAGCATTACTGTACGCCCCAATATCACATACACTAGAATCTTGAGCCCCGTTGAGAGTTCCCATACTCACCAAAAGTGCTAGGACCCCAACAATGATCCCAATGTCGGTTCTGCCCAAGGAAATGCCTCGTCTACATCGGGAGACGCTGTAAGCAGCCTCACTGGCGAAGGTGGATCGTCAGCCACGGCGCTGATGATGACCTTGCTGCCAGCGTTGATCTATGCTATTTTCTTTGTTGCTATTTTCCTCATCTTCCGACGGACGCAGCGTCGATGGTATGCACCAAGATCACATCTTCCGGATATTCATGAGCATCGTCGAAGTCCAGAACTACCCTCCGGTTGGGTGAACTGGCTCGGTACGTTTTTAAAGATTGAAGATAACCATGTTTTGCACCACTCATCGCTGGATGGATATCTATTTCTACGATTCTTGCGTGTGATGTGTGCAACATGCTTCACTGGCTGCCTGATTACCTGGCCGATTCTATTCCCCATCCATGCAACGGGTGGGAATGGGAACGGTCAGCTCGACATGCTCAGCTTCAGTAATGTCGCGAACCCTACTAAATATTACGCTAATGTGTTCGTTGCTATCGTTTATTTCAGTGAGTTTTCATCTGCAAGCATCCCTCCATGGCAATTTGCTCATAGTGTCTTAGCGTTTGTATTCTATGTCGTGACCCGTGAGAGTCTCTATTATGCGAACTTACGTCAAGCCTATCTCAACTCTCCGGAATATGCCTCTCGAATCTCATCACGTACAGTTCTCTTCATGTCGACTCCAGGCAATTATCAGAACGAGAAGAAGCTGCGACAGATTTTTGGTGATTCCATCCGCCGGCTCTGGGTCACATCTGACTGCGACAATTTGGAGAAGATGGTGAATGAGCGTGATAAGATTGCATTCAGATTAGAAACCGCCGAAACCAGATTAATCCGAGCGGCAAATAAGGCACGAGTAAAGGCGATCAAAACGGGTGAATTTTCATCAGATACCTGTCTCGATTGCGAGTCAAGTAACCCTGCCGGATCCCACAAAATCAAACGTCCAACCCATCGACTGAAGCTTTTCGGAAAGAAAGTGGACTCGATCCATTGGTATCGGTCGGAGCTGGTCAAAATCACCGAAGCGGTGTCTATTCTTCAGAAGAAACACCAGGATGGTGACGCGAAACATCTTTCGGCAATCTTCATTGAGTTTAACTCTCAATCCGACGCTCAGGTCGCTCTTCAGACCTTGTCTCACCATCAACCTTTCCATATGACACCTCGCTTTATTGGAGTCTCGCCGCATGAAGTTGTGTGGTCTGCTATCAATCTCAGCTGGTGGCAGCGAATTATTCGTAAATTCGCAGTACAAGGGGGCCTTGCTGCCCTGGTGATCTTCTGGTCATTCCCTGCCGCCATTGTTGGAACCATTTCCAATATCTCATATCTCGCCAATCTCCTCCCTTTCCTCGGATTTATCGAAGACCTGCCTGAATTTATCAAAGGAGCGATCGAAGGATTGTTGCCGTCAGCTGCACTAGTGGCCTTAATGTCACTGGTGCCAATCATCTGTCGCAGTAAGTTTTCTTGGAGCGATGCAAGAAGAGGTATAAGAAGCATTTTGCTAACATTTGCTCCAAAGTCTGTGCTAGACGAGCCGGAGTACCATCCACAGCCCGGGTCGAGCTATTCACACAGAGTGCGCATTTCGTTTTCCAGGTAGTGCAGGTATTCTTGGTCACAACATTAACCTCGGCTGCGTCCGCAGCGACGTCGCAGATAATTAAAAATCCTCTTTCAGCCAAGGATCTTCTGGCTGAGAACTTGCCCAAGGCCACCAACTTCTACATCTCATACTTTTTGCTTCAAGGCTTGAGTACAAGTTCCATGGCACTGGTACAAATTGCGAGTGCTCTGGTGTTCAAATTTGTTACCACATTCTTCGCCTTTTCTCCGCGTCGTCTGTTTAGACGGTGGGCTGAGCTTGGTAGCCTGAGCTGGGGTAATGTGTTTCCGGTCTTCACCAACATGGGCGTGATCGGTATGCAGATTCTATTAAACTCGGAATGATAATGATGATTAGTCTAACATCTCTTCAGCTTTGACCTACTCTTGCATTGCACCTTTGATTTTGGGTTTTGCCTTTATCGGTCTATATCTCGTCTACCAAGCCTATCGCTACAACTTTTTGTTTGTCTACGAAATCGACGTCGACACGAAAGGCCTGGTCTACCCGCGCGCTCTGCAGCATCTCTTAACGGGTATTTACCTCGCCGAAATCTGCATGATCGGTCTTTTCGCTATCAAAGGGGCGATTGGCCCAGTGGTTATCATGGTACTTTTTACCATCGGTACTATCCTAGCCCACATGTCCCTCAACGAAGCCCTTGCCCCATTGAACACATTTCTGCCCCGATCTCTGGATGCGGAAGAAGAGCTCTTCCAAGAGAAAGAGGATGCTATTGCCGAGATCAATGAGCAGCGTCGCCCACGGCTCTTGGCCTTCTGGAAATGGTTCCATCCGAATGTGTATAAGGATTACGCTGCACTACGTCGCAAGGTGCGTCGCAATGTTGCAGAGGTTGAATACACCGAGGAAGAGGTCCGCACCGCCTATTTTGAGCCATGTATTGCCGCTCCTGCGCCTACGCTCTGGATTCCGCGGGATAGATGGGGGTTTAGTCGACACGAGATGGTTGAAACAGACCCTGCCATCAACATCACGGATGAAGGAGCACATCTCAACGAGAAGAACAAAATCGTGTGGGATAAATATGATCCTGATCTTCCTCTCCGGGAATTAAAGACTCCGTACTGATAGACTGATTCGACGGCGTTATTATTATATGTTATAAGAATGATTATGGGATAATGATGAATGATTCAGGTTTGTATAAAGCTGTCATGCTGATGACTTTTTGGCGTACCCGGAGGGATGCATGAGATGTTTCAGCTTTGGTTTTTGGGTGTGTACAGGTGGTGGTTTCGAGTTTTTGGTTCATCGGTATACCTAGGTATAGAGCACTTAATCAAGGCCCAATCCCAGATGAAGATTCTAGCAAAGACATCTTTTTACTTACGTTTTTTAATCCCGTGCACCACTATGTCGCACAAAAGAAGCTAAGCCCCGAGATTTGCAGGAAAGATCGCGCGTATTTAGCATTAAGATAATTAACTAAGCTACACGAATCAGAAACACTAATTGGCTATCTCAGAAGCTCAAGCCCGACACTTCCAGAGGCATCAAACCGTCAAAGTGAAGTTAACAGCATTTACCGCACCGTTGTCTCTGGGGAAGAACTCAAAAGTAAACACCGTCGTCACACCAGCAGATATAACCGAGCTGATAGCAGAAGACGTGAGGATAACATTGGAAGAATCCCAGTTATACTGGCTGCTATATGTCTGTCATTCAAATCAATCAGTTAATAAATATCTCTCAGGATTTAGGAGGGCATGACATACCGTCCGTGCTTGCTGGAGAGGCCCCAAGTATACAGTCCAGTCATCGACCAGATATGTACCAGTCGTAGTTAATGCTTTGACTGCTGCAACTCTTTGAAGCCCACCCCAAGTGATGGGAATAGAAAGATCGGAGCCAGATACTGATGAAGCTACCGCAGTCTTGGAGGACAGAGTCGGGGTCTTCCATTGAACAAGCTGTACAATCGGGGAAGAGTAACCTCCAGAAAACTTCAAGGTCAGATTGGTGATGATACCTGGCGAAGTTGTCGATGAAAGATGTTTCGAAAGATAAGAAGCTGTGAAGATGATATTAGAGCCCGAGACCGAGTAATCTGTACCTGAGGCCAAGGCTGAGCCAACTGAATCCGTAATCGAAGACAGGGTATTTCCATTGAAAATAAATGGTAGCGACTGCTGTGTCACCTCAGTGCCGTATTCGTGGAAGATATAAGCCGAAGAGGATTGAGAGGTCGCAGAAGCATCCTCGGTGCTGTCAGGTAGACTATTCGAAGTGTCCGCAGTCGACTTTGTGATCATCGAGATGGAATTCGGGTCTCTCCAGGTTGCAGTGTCACGATTTAAATGGTCTAGACCATTATCCCACAGAATGCAAGCAAAGTTCAAATCTAATGCCGATCGAACAAGCTCATCCACATATTTCCACCGACCTGCAGGCTCCGTGTTAGTGGGGGATGCATCGTACTCCCCCAGAATAATTGGAACGTCGCTGAAGTTGTTTCGGAGAAGTTGGAAGTCAGATGAAAGGGTGGCTTTGTCGGTATCCGAGCCCCAGATTGTTTTACCCCTAGAAAGTGTCAGCGCAGGAGTTTCAACATACTGGACATTCATAAAATCAATGTACCATGCGCTGAAGATAAAATCGTCTATAGCTGGTTAATCCACGCATCTCAAGTTTACACACCTGGCCATCCACTTACAAGGACTATAGTAATGGAACTGGATCGCATAAGGGTTCGAAAAGCCAGATGGCGCCACAAACCACTCTGAAGTCTTGATACTATCCTCGCCACCACCAACAAGGTTGACCACACGCTGGGAATTGAAGCCCCCTGCATCATTAATTGCCTGGAGGAATATCTTATTCAGCTTGTTAATCTCGGCACCATCAGTGGAATCGTCACAGGGAGGCTCATTGATCGATTCGAATGCAACGAGACTCGACTTGCAGGCTAACTTTGTGCCAATCTGATACCAAAGACGGTAGAATTTCTCTTCGATCATGGTGATATTTGCACCAGATGCAGTGACATCTGCCCAGATCCAAGAGTCTAATCCCATTTTAGAAAACTGCACAAACCCGTTCTATAACCGCGCATAGGGAGTGACTTACCATGATGTACATTAACAATGGTGTATAAATCCAATGAAGTAGCCATGTCAACCACGTCAGAAACACGCTGTAGCCAGTCCGGATCAACGGTCCAGTCCGGCGAACTCCCAGTGAAGTGATAAGCATATGTAACTACCGCTCATTAGTAAAATCTCGAAATCTTAGCAGGTTCTTTCATACCTGGAATTCGAACCCCATTGAATCCTGCATCTTGCACTGTCTCAAAAGTAGATGCAACAACCGCCGCGTTGTTCCAGGAGCCCTCATCCGGAACGGCATCGAGGGTATTGCCCAAATTCCAGCCTGGGTGAAGTTTTGCGACGAAATTGGAAGCGGAAATTGCGCTAAATGTACCAGTGCAAGTGGACCCTGTAGAAGTGGATGTTCGACTTGTACTCTGGGCCGTTGACTTCGTTGTCGTTGTCGTGGTCAGAGTAGTGGATTTCGTAGTGGTAGTGGTAGTACTGGACGATGTCGCTTTGCTGGTTGTGGTGCTTGTTGCACTACCCGGAACGCACTGGTAGTAATCTTGGAGGTGTTCAGATCACGTAGGCACTGATTTGAAACTGTCAACTTACAAGCGTTCTGTGAAGTACAAGCATAGCCGCTTGTACAACTCGTACTTCCAGTGTAAGCGCTGCCTCCACCTAAGAGATATCAGCATCTTATGATACTTTCATTATGAAATTTCAAATTCTATTATAAAACTGACATTGCCCATAAGCAGGCACCTGTGCTTGGGTATATTGGAAAATAGCCGCAAGGGCCACTGCAGTGAGGACCTGCATTATAGTTAGCGGGGGAAGACGATCTAATACTGTCGTTTCACAATATTCTGGTTTACATGAAATGTACAGAGTTGGCCAGCTAGGCTTTATACGTTATATAGTACGTAATTAACTGGAAAGGCTCGATATAACTTGAATGACCCAAGAAGAACACGGAAGTGGACCTGCAGAATTAGTGCTTCCAGGGCAATGAGAACATTCCTGGCTAACCAGAAGCCCGCAGCGTGTCACACAATGATAATGCCTAATCATTAAATCAGAGCTAAAATCACTACGGCAGCTTCCTGGAAGCTAGAGGCTTGGCCTGCCTAAGGTGACGGACTTGTCTCAATGCTCCAATAGGATAAGACCCCTGGACATCCTTCATCTCCGCAAATCTCCGCAGATTACTCTGAAGAAAGTCTAAGTTAGATCGGAAGTACACTATATGGAACATAATCTTGTGATCTTAATTTCTACCCCTTGCCCGTTACAGAGTTGCTGCCCCGCTCCCTTTGCAGCTACGGAGTCGGTCCGTGTTGGTTTCGATGCGATGCGATGCCGTGGAGGATCTAGAATGAATGGGCGGAGGGTCCAGTGCAAGGTGAGAACTTCAGTAGTGATATGTATAAACAAATGGCTTTGCTGGTATGCAATCCTGTTTCGGCCAGGGTTGCCCCCCCCAGCCCCCCCTTGTAAAGCAAACGACTGTATTTGAAAAAGGTGGATGTATACAAAGCTACTTCGGCAATGGAAAACGGCTGCAAGCAGAACATAGCATGACTATAGCTTGGCGGGTCCAAGTGGAGAGTGATCAGAATGACATCTAAGTATTTACATTGATTCATTACATTCATTTCATCATATAGACTTAGCAAGCATCGTAATATCATGGCAGCAGTGAATCGCTTCGAAAGCCATGTCTTCACATCACGATGCAGTCTTTGTTACGATTCCGGTCCGCGTCGTATCGGTCTGTAGTGGGCCGGTTCGAATATCGATTCGGAGGGTATCTTGGAGAATATGAACCGTTCGCATCCACAGGGAAGTCGCTGTATCGATTTCGTCGGTCGGGAGGTGTATACCGTGGGCCGCTCGCAGCTTGTTCGTAGGGGGGGAGGGGGTGCGTTTGGATCCTCGGGATTGGCTTCAGCCGGTGGCTGTGGCTGTTGTTGTCGGAGCCCAGTGGTAACGCTTGAAATCCTGTTGGGCCCGTTGATGCGAGGAGAGGATATGCGCGGTGCAGAGCTGCTTCGTGTATGGGAAGAGCTTGGCATGCGAGGAGGGACAGATTCGCGACGGGCGGGGCCTGATGCACGGGGGCCATTGCTGCTCCCTTGTTGACTGCCCTGCCTTTCACGCTGTTCCTCCTCTTGGAATTGTAGTGAGAGTGCATATGCATAATCTGCGTCGCTTTGCTCCTGATTTGAGAGTGGGGACTGGGATCCATCGTTCGCCGCAGGTGAACTATTCGGTGAAAGGCTCGATGCACGAGGACCGACGGGGCCGGAGGGACCACCAGAGCCCGATGGGCCGTGGCCAACTGCTCGGAAGTCACCAGCCAAAAACTCTGCATTGAAGCCAGTCACGTCGACGAGAGATTCCCAAACAACCTCTGCATGATTAGCATAGCCAGCATCGGTGACCAAAGTGAAGAGCTGCTGTGATTCGGGATGTTTATATAGGGTAGAGAAATGATCGTTGCGGAATAGAATCGAGATGGAGCCGGGTGCGAGTCGTGTAGACAGTTGTGTCAGCCCAAATGGGCTCAGCTGTGTTGCATTTTCGATATCAACGAAATGCTGAATGGCTTGTATGTCCGCCATCCTTCCCTCTTCCTCCGGCAAAAGAGACTGGCCCTGCATGACGCGCTCCTCAAGATCCTGCCTATTAAAATGTAACAACTGAATATCTTCATGATATTGACCAATTCGGGTCATAGCATCATGGGCCGGGTCAGACCAGGATGCAATCCAACCATGAATGAGAGGAATGCCAAATGTACTGTAGAATCGAATATCTGGGGTTTGAAGAAATGTGCCAAGGGAATCCTCGGTTTCCTGGTTTAGAGTTAGCCTGACGCGGGGTGTTGCTGATGATCGAAGAGGGATATTTACCAATGTCAAACGAGGGTTCACGTTCATGCCGGTATGCAACATCGTGAGGAACTGGGTGAGCGCTTCAATATCTGGGAACTCCTGGTGTGGCCCTAGACAAGTAGTCAACTCATCGAATAGAGCCTCGATCAACAAGCCAAGCGAAATTTGCTCGCGAGTTCGCAGAGCTTTGATGATCGGTGGTTGTGTATTTGGCTCAGCTCGCAGTACAAGCGCGTTGATGAGAGCAAGTAACGGACAAGGACCATTTTGATTCTGAACCAAGATAGGAGACTGGAATAAATCTCCATTCCGGTCAGTCCGGTTGATATGCCGGATGGAATAGGTCTCTGCCCTCTGATCTTGCTGTCTGGCCGCTTCTGCTGGTGAGAGCTTTCGAGTTGTCAATGGCTGCTCTAGAGCGCTGCCTTGAGACTGTATGCCCGATGCAATTGGCAATGGTGATTGTGGATTGGAAGGTGATTTATTGACGCTCTCCGAAGAATATACCGACGAGGTTGCTCGATGGGGCCCATTATTCGCCGCGAGACCGCTGGGGGAATCGAAGTCAATCAATTCGTGCGAAGTCGCCGAAGTTGCACTCGAAAAAGCAGAGGGTGGTCTGATACCCGCGTCCGACCCCAGCCTGTCATTGCTGTACGATTGCCCATGACCGAATGCATTCTGTTGACTATCGGAGGGTTGGATAACCACGGCTGGTGGAGGGGCGTATGGATTTGCTTGCCCGCCCTGTAGATATATCTCCTGGGGGGGCTGATATTTTGATCGAATGTTGGGATCCCCACGGTGATGGGTCGGAGGAATTGGGATTTGTAGTGGATGATTGGAAGTGGGATGGCGGGGTCTCATGTTCTGCCCATGGGGATGGCTCGTAGGGCTGAGGATTGGCAAGAGGACGTTGATAGTCGGACTGAGTCAAATCATGTTCGGCCCATGGGGATTCGTGCTCAGGAGAATCGAGTAGGGAGAGTCGTGCTGTCATGGGGATGTATCCCTCCGCTAGAAAGGGGTCAGCATCGACATCGAGCATCCCAGGAGAAGGTGTGGGAAGGTGTGGGGGTTGTGTAATCGTACTCTGACTTAAAGGATCACTGTTGGTAGTCGCATGTGAATGACGATCCTCCCATTCGTTTAGGTCTCCCGAGCTTATCCGCGAATCCACCGGCTTTGGCTTCAGAAATGGGTTATTTGATCGAAGCTGTACCGGTACCTCTCCCGTTGTGAAGCTGCGGTCTCTCGAGGTGGGCTGCCAGCCAAAATCACCAGTTGATGATCCTGGTGGACCCGGAGTGAGAGCCGACGGGAGCCCGTGTGCTTTCACCTCGGACCCCGCTGGATATGACCCATCACGGGTGGCTGGTCGGTCCCCCAATCCGTCATTCCAGGAGCCGGGCGGGTGACTCGTCGGTGAGCCCACGGGGGATCTCTGGGCCTGTTCGAGAGGCATCAGATCAAAAGCTGGGGAGGTATTGAGATCGGGGGGAGTACACAGAGTCCTGGGAAGGAACTCGGTGTGGATGGGGCCGACGTTGCGATGACGGGGAATGGGTGGAGGGGGAGGTCGGGGAATGAGACTCTGGACGAGCATGCCACTTGTTAAGATTCTCGAGACGCGGAGGAGGAGGTTTGCGGAGCACCATGAAGAAGGAAGGATGGAGGATATCGAAGTATGTGGAGGTAGTACTGTATGTATATGGAGGTTGTATATACCGAGAGCTGTTGTGGAGCGGAGAGCTGAGAGCTGGAAGCAGGGAATAATAGGTAATGGTAATGGTAATGGTAATGTATATATTAAAAGGGTGTCAAGTTATGGGCGTTAGTGACACCATCCCCAAGAATGAAGTCAAAAGCCACGGGGCAAAAAGTGTAGATTAGCCATGGCGATTGGGGGGAAGTGGAGGAGAGAGAAAACGCCTTGCGGTGGAAGCGCTGGAAGTAGTGGGAGTGCTGGGAGTACTTGGTGACTTGGGGACTTGGGCAAGTACGAATACGCCTAGAGTGGTGCCCCAGTGCAGCACTCTAGGCAGGCACGATGATGGCAGGTGGCAGGCACCCGTTTTCTGGTGAGTATTTGTATTACCGATATGTGGTAACAGTGGCAAGACTGATGATAAAGAGGAAGCGAATGGTATGGTACCAATATTACTCGGGTCAATAATAACCCGACACCGCCTCTTCAGGCCGCTGATTGGCTCATGCGTACTTGGTCTCTAACGAACCCCGGAATATTTTGCAGAAGCAATTATCAGCGCTACTTTTGCGCCTGTAGATATTGCATCCAAGTCGACAAAAGTGATTTTGCCTGGCTGGGCCGTCATGCATTCATTCATACCCCCCCGATCAATTTGTGGCGATCAAATTGCCCTCCGACCAGACTCGCATCGTCAAATTAGTCCCAGACTCGTGAGTCTTCCGTCCATATCATGATATCGAATTTCTTCCCGTCGCAAAAGCCTTCCCTCCACTAACCAACACACTCCCTCGCACAGTCTAGTTCAATTGGGGAAGTACGGTAGCTTCCCTGCCAACCAGATCATCGGACGACCCTTCTACTTCACCTTTGAAATCCAAGACACCGCCGAAAGTGATGGCTATAAACTGCGGGTCGTCTCAGCCACCGAGCTGCACGCGGAAACCTTGATTGAAGAGGCCGAGGCAGACGGCGAGGGGGAGGATCAACCAGAGGGATCAGGGACCCCCATGCGCACCAACCGTCAGATCGTCGATAATGCTTCTACCCAGACACTGACCCTGCAGGAAATCGAAGAGCTCAAGAAAGAGGCTGGTGGAGCTGGAAAGGAAATTATCGCGAAGATCCTGGAGTCGCATACCGCTCTGGATCAGAAGACTGCTTTCTCTTTGGCCAAATATACGCTTCGGAAGCGTCAGAAGTATCTTAAGCGATTCACCGTCGTACCATTGGATGTCAGCACACTGGCCAACTTTATGCTGGCCGAGAAAGATGCGACGAGGACGATGGAATTGCGGGACGAGCACATCGGCCTCCTGGGCTGCTTCGGTAACGTGCATTATGGCGGGGATTCTCACAATGAAGAGTCAACCACGGATAGACTACCCGCAATCAAGCCGAATGGCCGATACTATGTGGTTGACGAAACCGGTGGTCTTGTCGTGGCTGCCATGGCCGAGCGCATGGGAATTCTTTACCCGCGCGATGAGGAAGAGGACGAGAACGATGGAGAGGAGGAGGAAGCCACGGATTCAAACGAGCAAAACCCCACTGGAGAAGACAACAATGCAGAGGCCCAGGGTGCCACTTCGACCTCGAAGCGCAAACGGCCTCAAGCCATGTCGGCGTCTGGAAACACCATCACCGTTATCCATGCCTCCTCACAACCAAATCTCTCACTATTGAAGTACTTCGGTTATGATATCAACACACCCGATGAGAACCACCCCCTTCACACCCACCTCAAGACAGTCACCTGGCTCCAAATGCTCGACCCAGCCGTGGACCCAATCCTATCCAACCGGCCGGCGGAGATCCCACCGGCGGAATTGGCAGCTTTGAAGGGCAGCAAGCGCAGCGCGTATCACTTCAAACGGAACCGATGGGAGAGAATCAAGAAGGTAGTGGAAGAGGCCCGCGCGGGAAGGTTTGACGGCCTCGTCGTCGCTACCCTGTTAGAGCCTGCTAGTGTATTGAAAAACCTGGTCCCACTGCTCTCCGGCTCAGCCTCCGTCGCTGTCTATTCCCCAACCGTCGAGTCCCTGGTCGTTCTGATGGACAAGTACTCTACTACACGGAGAACGGCATTCATCAACAAAAAACGGGACCTCGAAGCCCAAACGACCTCGGAGCAGGACGATTTCGACCTATCCTCGTTATATGAAGAGTTCGAACTTGATCCCACCCTTCTCCTCCCCCGACACTCCACAGGTCACGTGTTCGTGCCTGGCAAGTGCTTCCAGGTCGAACACACCCTCTCATGACTGGACGCGGTGGCGCCGAGGGCTATCTTTTCCACGGCGTGCGCGTGATTCCCACAACTGCAAACGTCCAGGCCGCAGGCACATTCCGGAAGAAGCGAAAGCTGGAGCAGCAGACATCAACCCCGACCCCGACTACCGATCAGGACGTCGAAATGGCATCTTAATCTGCATCAATACCTGGAGTTACCATTGGACAAACATAAAAGGTTGTACGAATATAACGATTCACCAAGTTTCAATGAATGTAGAAAGAGGTACGCCAATCATAGAGTAAAATATAGAAACCAAATCCCGGACCAGTCGGAAGTAATTGGTTGACGCTAATATGTCAGTAGCACTAATGTAGATAGGTAGCCAGTATCAGAGATTCAACCAGTATATAGACTACACGGTATCCTACCCAGTTCTATAGTTCTATACTACTCAGTACCCTGGATTCTTACCAGTAGGACCAAGTAATTCCAAGGTTTGTATAGGATGAATGCTACTTGTAGGTTGATTGCGAGTATGGACCCCGGACGCGCCGCAAGCTAGCTGCAGGGTTGCACGAAAAAAAAAGGTTCATTGATGCGCTGAATTTCATAAAAAACTATACACCCCCCTCTATTGCATTTACAGGCTCTTTCCCATGAACTTTCGCTTTGTGAAGCTGAGCCAAAACTGTGTTGGTGTTAGTGATACTCCTGGTCTTGGCAGAGGGAGCATTGATTCCACGTACCTTCGAAGGTCCTTCTCCACCGGGGTATAATCTGGCGTGTAGTCGCACGGCGGTTTCCTGTCGCACCTGCGAAATGTATCTGGAAAATCACAATCAGTTGATGGGAAGGTGGTCCAAGTATGGAGAGGTAAACAGACTGTCGGAGACTTTCCGCATCCTGGCGGTCGCGTGGGGGCTCAAAGGCCTGGTTGAGAGGGAAGGAGACATCGCCGGGGATGGCGAAGTTTTCGAGGGCGGCATTGATGAGAGCCTAGTGGGTTTAAGTGAGTACGTGGTGTCTCATTGCGAAAGGCCACGGGTTGCTTATTTACCTTCTCAGCATCACGGGCAGTCATTGTCGGCTTGACCTTCCCGAGGCACTCGCTGACAAACAGAGTGCCATAAATGAGCATGCGGTCGGCAGGGCCATTGATCTCGAAATTGCGGAAGAGCACATTGGCGCGGAACAAGGACAGAATCTCGTCAACACAGTCGTAGGACTCGCTGTCGGGGGCGACGTCGATGTCGGCAGTGTTAGGGGGGAAGGGTGGGTAGAGTGTATGCAGGACCGCGGGTGCGAGTGCGGAGGGGTAGGATAGGAAAGTTCCCTATAAAGGAATGCAATGGTCAATTTCGGTTTTCTTGTTTATTGGAGATGTGTCGCATTGAAGGCAGCAAGTTAGTTGGCGGGGCAGCATACCAATCACGGGGACATCGCGGTCCTCCAGGAAGATGGAGTGGTAGGCCTGTAATAGTCAGTCTTTATCTCCAAAGCAGTTTCTCAACTGGATTGCTATCCATACTGGCATGGTAGATATGTGATGGTGGGGGAACGACTGAGGGGGGAGGATTGGAGTTGGAGTTGCGGAGGTGTTGAAGCAGGCGAGATGTCATCCGGTGGATCCCCCCCATGATTTTCCGCCCCGAGAGCCTCTTCAGCTCTTCAGCTCTTTACGCGCGGAACGCGTCAAGCTTGCCTTTTCGCGATCTCAATATCAATATCAACCCTCTGACCACACGCCCATCATGTCTGACATTGAAGATCAAATGGATGTCGATGCTCCTAAGGAGGTCCAGTTCAGTTCTGACAATGCCAGTGGGAAGAAACGTACAGCGGCAGACCTGCCTGTGGCAGCTCTAGATAATCTCCCTTGGTATGGAATTGTTACTCTATTTTTGAGAAGGGAATCAAACTGACGCCGTGAATAGGGTTGAGAAGTATCGTCCCAACTCGCTAGATGATGTTTCCGGTCACCAAGATATCCTGTCTACCATCAATCGCTTTGTCGAAGCCCATGTATTTTCCCCTTCGCCGAGCAACATTCATTCCCGCTCAAAAATTAATGACTCTGCAGCGACTACCCCATCTCCTTCTATATGGCCCTCCCGGTACCGGAAAGACCTCAACCATCCTGGCACTTGCAAGACGGATATATGGCACCAAAAATATGCGCCAGATGGTCCTGGAACTGAATGCCAGCGATGACCGTGGTATTGACGTTGTTCGGGAACAAATTAAGACTTTTGCCAGTAAGACCAACTTGATTTAACTGTTGAGAAACAGAGGGTACTAACGGAGAATTGTTTCTAGGCACCAAACAGATTTTCTCCATGGCTCCACAAGCTGCCGCCGGTTCTAAGCTCGCCGGCTTCAAATTGATCATCCTGGACGAAGCAGACGCCATGACCTCCACCGCGCAGATGGCGCTCCGTCGAATTATGGAACGCTACACAGCCAACACACGATTCTGCATTATCGCCAACTATACACACAAGCTTTCCCCGGCGCTGCTGTCACGTTGTACGCGCTTCCGATTCAGCCCTCTGAAAGAGGCAGACATTCGGGTGCTGGTGGACCAGGTTATCGAGAAGGAAAAGGTTCAAATTCAACCTGATGCGGTGGATAGCCTGGTCACTCTCAGTAAAGGTGATATGCGACGAGCTTTGAATGTACTCCAGGCATGTCACGCGAGCAGTAAGTTTTCCTCGGTCGTTGCCACCCTGAGCACGTTGCCTGACCTGAGTTTAGGTATGCCTCTACCCATGCGCGATGCGCCGAACGCCCCACGACCCGAACCTGAGACGATTACCAACGCCACGATTTACGACTGCATTGCGGCTCCGCACCCGGCCGATATTCAAGAAATCATGCGCACTATCCTTACGACCAGCGACGTGACCTCATGTCTCAATACCATCAATACATTGAAGTCGAATAAGGGCCTGGCGCTGGCAGATATTCTTTCGGCACTAGCGGACCAATTACAGCAACTCGAGGTGCCGGCACAAACACGCGTCAGCTGGTTGGAAGGATTGGCAGAAATTGAGTGGAGGCTGTCCGGGGGCGGATCCGAGACGATCCAGACCGGTGGACTGGTGGGAGTGATTCGGAATGGATGTGAATTGATGGGGGAGAAGGGAGTTGGGCTGGCATGAGATATGTGATATGAGGCATAAGATGGCAGTCAATGGGGTTTTCACACCAATTGAATGGGCTCGCATTTAATTTATGTACAATTGAGAATTGGGGATACCAGTTCAATGCAATGACATTCGTCCCAAAATACTATGTAGTTCAAGTTCCTACTAGTATAAGGTTATAACGACTTATAAAAATTGCATCCTAACAACTTAAATCCAGGGTACTGAGTATATAACCGGGTAGGATACCAACTTGAAGTTGTTTAATGTTGATATCTCTCAAAGTACTATTGCCAGTAGCTATCTACACCCGGGCATATACTTCAAGTTCCTCGCCACCCCCGATATACCATGGTACTATACTAATTTATTACCCGTACTACTTCTACTAGGAATACCAAGAAAAGGAATTCCGATGCGGGCGACCCGGCCAGACCGGCATTTAAATTGAATGGGCAAGGTTAAACCTGCCTGTATGGAGTAGCCCTACTACTAGTAATACTAGTAATGGTTATGTACCTAGGTACTAGTAGTAGTACTCAAGTCCGAGTTCCCGCGTCTTCTCCATCTCTCCATTCTCCACTTTTCACCTCCCCACTCTTGCTTGCAGGGTCCTAGGTCTCCCCCCCCCATTTCTTATCGCTTATTGCGTTTCCTACATTTCCGCGGTTTCAATTAGCTAATTGCAAGTCCGAGGACTTCCCCTTGGCTGCAGTAGCCTCCGAACATCCAGCCAGGTTAGTCGTCGCCCCATCCTATCCTAGTCTTACCCTAGCCCAATTCATGCCTCTAACCTCTTCTAGGGTCCGGTTCCAGGAGAGTTTGCACCACTCACCACTCGCCATGCATCTGGATTAGCTTCTGAATTGCTTCGGCCGACTCCGCCGCCCCGCTTATACACTTGCTGGCACCCGCGGGACGTCCAAAAATCATCCAACCACCTCCGCGGATCAGATGCAATGCTCGTCCGCTGGAGACCACCCCTCCAACACCATGGAGCAATGCGTTACTTTCATAAGAACCAGTCCAGACCCCCCGGTTCTGCTCCTGTTGTTCTGTGCCCCGCTCGACTTTTCTCTGCATCGTCAATCCCCTCCCCAAAATGCGTGCCTCTCTCCAGTCCGGCCTGCTGTTCGCCTCGCTCTCCGCGCCATTCGTGGATGCCGAGCGAGTGCTAGGTGCATACATCTACTCGCGCCATGGTGATCGTACCCCCAAGGTTTTCGGTAACACCGCATTGACCGTCCTCGGCTACCGTGAGGTCTTCAATTCCGGTTCCTACTACAATGGCCGGTACATTGCCGAAGACGACTCGGCCTTTCACATCCAGGGTATCAGCAACTCCACCGTTCAGGCTAAGCAGATCAGTGTCACCGCACCAGATGATTCGGTGCTGCAGAACTCGGCCACTGGCTTTATGCAGGGTGTCTACCCTCCCACCAGCCAGAACGTTGACACCCTGAGCAATAAGACCAAGCAAGAGGCCCCGCTAGGTGGCTATCAAATCGTCACTGTCGGCACTACCGATACCAACGTCGACAGTGAGAGTTCCACTTGGTTGCAGGGCTCGAGTGGCTGCTCCAAGGCCACTGTCAGCAGCAGCTCCTACTATACTTCCAAGGAATACTTCGACTTGGAGGCCTCCACCAAGGACTTCTACCAGTCGCTTGCCCCCGTACTTAAGGGTGCCTTCGCCGAGAAGGACATGACCTTCAAGAATGCCTACACCATCTTCGATTACTTGAACGTTGGCCGCATTCACAACGAGACCAAGCCCAACGTGACTGATGCTCAGTGGATTCAGCTGCAGTCCCTGGCCAACAACCAGCAGTTCAACCTTGCCTACAACTCCTCCGAGACCGATGGCGTCCGTGCCATCGACGGCAAGGTTCTCGCTGGCGAGATTCTTTCCAGCCTGAACGATACCGTTACTGGCGACGGCAAGTTCAAGCTGGGCGTCCAGTTTGGCTCGTACGGCACTTTCTTCTCTTTCTTCGGCATCATGCAAATGCCTGCTGCGTCCGTCGACTTTACTGGCGTGGTTGATTATGCCTCGACCTTTGCCATCGAGCTGGTGACCGACGAGGCTGGCCCCGATTTCCCTTCTTCGGACAAGATCAACGTGCGTTTCATGTTCCACAACGGAACTGTCAGCGACTCATCTGAGCCTACGATCTACCTATGTTCGGTTTAAAGGAAAATGAGAAGGTCATCTCTTGGTCCAAATTCGTCTCCAAGACCAAGGAGGTCGCCGTCACCACGGACACCGAGTGGTGCGATGTCTGCGGTAACACCGACGGCAAGTGCGCTACTTCCGACAGCACTGACTCAACCTCCGCCAGCTCCAGCAGCTCCGGCGGTTCAAGCGGTGGTGTCTCTCGCCCTGTTGCCGGTGTCATTGGTGCTATGGTCACTTTGGCCGTGATCCTGGGTCTGGGTGCTCTGTTCTTCCTGGTTGGCGGATTCACCGTTGCTAAGCGTCGTAGGGGTGGTCCCGAGATGAGCAACGCTACTACCGTGACTGGTGACAAGAAGGCGTAAGAATTGGAAAGATCTGGTTTGAATCGGGGTATAATGGGGATAGAAAAGGTGATGGGTATCACTGCGTACTGTGTTGTCGAGTGGTATCTCCCAGGTCTGAGACTAGCCATTGTATGGATTTGCACGAGTAATGACTGATGGGTAAACCGATAATAATATTGCTTCTATATTTTACTTTTCTCGATCTCCAGAGTAGGCAATCGTGGACCTTAGGATGTAATAATATAGGAAAATCTCATTTAATACCCAACTTGAAGTATACCGTGACGCTAACCCTAAATAACCTCGGGTGGCATCCCGCGGATTGACCGCCTTCCCGCATCTTTTGGGGTCTCCCCGTCTTTCCTTTCCCTCCTCCATCCTCTTCTTCATCCCCCACCACCACCATGCCGCGCCAACAAATTAATCTCGAGCCCTACCGGGACGAGATTATCGCTCTCTTTCAACACGGTATCAGTAGCGACTCCATCAGCCGCACCCTTGAGAGTCGATATAATATTCAAGTCAAGGAGCGGACAATCCAGTCCCGCCTCCGCAAGTGGGGTATCCGCAAACGAAGCCGAACAACAACCGCTGATGAAGCCCTTCATGCCCGCATTAAAATCCTCTTCGTGCAAGATAGGTTGACCGATAAGGCCATGCTAAAGCTCCTGCGCCAAGATGGCTACGACATCTCTGAACGGACCCTGCGTCGCCTCCGGTTCCAGCTTGGCCTCCATGCAAGAGCCTCGCTGGAGCATGAGCGGGGTCCCCTGATACATCTACCGTTGCCTGTATCCGTCCCAGTCTCGGTCATCGCGAAAGGGGTGGAAGCTTGATCTTGCATTGCTAGAGCTCCGGTAGGCTCGGTGCTCTATGCGTCTGCTGATGAAACCCTCCCCCTCTCGCAGGTGCTCTCCGTCGTTGCTCGATCGACACGGCCACTTCTTATCTTTCCCTTATGCGCCACCATCTGGGTCCTCGAACCTATCCTCCTTCTTTCCCTACGCGACAACTGAAGGATCTCCGCCTGAATGGCCAGTAGTCACACCGTCGCTGCTGGCTCAACCGATGCTACATCAACGCAGCACTTTCTCATCTCCTCTCGCCCTTTATGCGCCACGTCCTTGAAATCGGGTCATTCCAGCTTACTCCTACTGGTATCATGTTTTAACATTACAACCGGTGGGAGTATTGATCTTCGATTGCTCGTCTCCTGCACCATACCACCTTGTCAACTTCGGTTAGACATGAACCGAATTTCCATAGCGCCATCACGACCTTTACGACCGCAGCATCCTCGATTTTTGTTCTTGATACCATTTCGTCATGGAATATATCGACACTTGCTCTTCCCATGCGACAAAAAAAACTAAATCCGACGCGCCATCCAATCTAACCTTGCCAAATGCGACACAGCTCTGAGGAGCAATGATTTCCGATATCCTGATAGACGTTTGACAAAAGATGTATCGTATCTACTGTATAAATTCTAATCTATCTGGACCATGACAAGTGGCCGGAATGCCCCCCAAAAAAACAACTGTAGATGGTTCTGTCATTGCTCGTACGCAAGAACGTCGCCCATAACCAAAGTCACGTGCCATGACGTCCGCTTTTATCGGCGCATCTTTTTGCCAAAGTTGCGGACGTGATATTCCAACCCGTCGCCATTGAACTTTTCCGCGTGGGCTCTAGGCCGTGGGCTGGTTACTGATAATCCACTTCACCTAATCGAACCTCCACATATACTTCACCATGTCCACACAATATGCCAGCGAGCCAAATCCCACAGCGTCCGTCACACTAAATACCACCATCGGACCCATCCACATCGCTCTCTTCGCGAACCAAGCTCCCCTCACATCCAAAAACTTCCTCCAACACTGCAAAGACAACTACTATGCCGGAACAATCTTCCACCGCATCGCGCCCGATTTCGTGATCCAGGGAGGTGACCCTACGGGAACTGGATCTGGCGGAACCTCCATCTACGAATACCCTGAGTTCGAATATGACCCCGAAGCCCGCGACCCGAATGAGCGGGTTGTATTGCGAGATGAGATACACAGTCGACTACGCTTTAACCGGCGAGGACTGGTCGGTATGGCGAAGAGTGAGGACGGGTCATATGGGAGTCAATTCTTCATCACGCTAGGCAATACCGAGCGCGAGATGAACGGGCAATGCACACTCTTCGGACGATTGGAGGGCGACAGTATTTTCAACGTGCTGAAAATTGCAGACGGCGACCGTGTGGAGGGAACCGAGCGACCAATCTATCCGATCAAGGTGACCTCCTGCGAGGTTGGAGAATTAGGCCCGCTGGCCGGCAAGTTGAAGGATAGGAGAATCACATCCACAACATCAGGAGGGGACAAACCCGCGCCCAAGAAAAAGAAGAAGCCAGCCAAGGGAGGGAAGGCCCTGCTCAGCTTTGGCGGAGACGAAGGTGAAGAAGAGATGCCTATGCGTCCGGCGAAACCCAAGTTCAACACAAAGCTCGTGTCAGATGTCCCGGGCGGCATAAGCGAATCCCAGAAGGAACAACATACCCAATCGAAAGAGTCTTTGAAGCAACGTAAACGGCCACGCTCACCATCACCGCAACGATCCCCGTCCCCACCGCGTAAACAGCGCATCAAGACACCGGAGCCAGAAACCCAACTCCCACTCCAAGATCCGGAATCGCCTGCTCGGTCCCCCTCTCCAGCTGTCAAGGAGTCGAAAGTCTCCCGAATGAATGCTGAATATGCCTCCCTGAAAGCATCCATGCGTCGAAACGTGGAAACTGGCCCGGCCGACACCGGCCGCAAGAAGACGGCATTGGAAGCCATGATCCCTGAAACGGCAATTCGAGGTCGTAGGCGACCCCCTCCTGGCTCGAATGGCGCAGCATCGGGCTCTGCCCCTAGAAGTGCTGCAGAGCGTGATGCGCTACAGATGTTCAATGCATTCAAGGCGAAACTGGAAAGCGCCGAACCCAAATCCTCAACAACTTCACATAACAACGTGGATGTAAAGGAGTCAGGGAATGCTCGCAAGCAAGATGACGATGACGAGGAGGCCCAGCTTTGTGACTTACATTTCATCGCAAACTGCCAATCCTGTCAGTCCTGGAATGATCCCGAGGAGGCGGACGATGATACGGGCGAAGATGATGTGGGATGGTGGAGCCATGAATTACGCTTCAATAAGGATACTCTAGGCAAGGACCTGAAGTGGAAGAAAGAGAATCCTGGTGATGTCGACTCGCTAATGGTCATTGATCCCCGGGAGAAGGAGAAGGATTTGACGAGCGGTGGGCGGAAGCGAGGGTTGCAACGAGATCGGGAGAGAGAACGAAAGAAGGAACGTGCTGGGGAGTTGGAATGGGATCGAGAAAAGAAGTAGAGGGGATGAGAAGTAGAATTAGTGATATCATGTCCTTCTGTTCTATTTCAAGATTAGCAATCTGGGCATGTACGTGCCATTCCACCATATAATGACATATGTAAATGCCATTTTATCTACCATATGTTTAGATCGTAGTTCGTTTCTCCTTGCTTATATTCAAGAAGATGGATTAGGTATCTCGGTTCATCAGCATTAAGGAAAACACGAGGTAAACAAGGTAGAGAAACGCTCTTTGGCAGTCTTTATCAGTTTGAAGTCTGCTCAACCGCATTCGCACTCTCACTCTCACTTGCACTCACACGCCCACGCCCCGACCATCCTCCAGGTGGCCGTCCCCAGGCTGAGTCCCATAGACGACCAGCCTCCGATTTCATACGATCATGGCCTCGCCGAGGAGGGGACTTGGGAGACATGGGACTGGTATTCCCGATCAGCCCTTTCTCCCTCGCCTCCTGCTCCGCCTTCAACCAACCAAAAAGCCTGACATTCTCCCGAGCTCGATGCTCAGCCCTAGGGTCAATATCAACATCAAACCTGAGTAGATGATGAATGACCCTCCTATCCCCCAAAGCAACGGCATGATACAGCGCCGTTTCACCCCAATAGTTGGCCAGATTGATCTGCACACCGTGTTTCAGCAACATTATAACAACTGCCTCGTGACCATTGCTAGCAGCCCTAGACAAAGCGGTATTATCATATTGATCGTCGGAATCAAGAACATCAGCATTGACCCCTCGCTCCAGCAACATGCGAACAATCTCTGCATGGCCATTCTCAGCCGCCTTCTTGAGGGCATCCGGACCAGACCGACCATTCGCCACGGTTTCCGCATGACTGAGCAGAATCTGGACAATTTCCTGATGTCCATTCTTCGCCGCCTGCACGAATGCAGTCTCGCCCTGCTGATTCACAGGATCCAAATCGGCACCTTTAGCAAAGAGCAGGAGAACAATTTCCTTATGACCATTCGCAGCAGCCTGCGACAACGCAGTCTCACCCCCCTCAGCTGTCACATTGATACTCGCCCCTCTTTTCAACAGATTCAAAACAGAAGTCAAGTCCCCATCTTCGGCACAAGAAACCAAATCAATCCGATGCCCCATCGCCTTGGAAACCATATGACTGACGTGAGTAGGTTGCACTTTCAATCCAGAGAGAGCCTGACGAGATTGCTTGCTGATAGAATTCCACCGCGGAGACGCATAAGTATACTCAGAGATCTGATTCATCCACGCAGACGCCATATTGGTAGCCAAATCACGGACATGGCCATATGACAACAACCCATCCTGCGAAGAGCGAATCGTATCGGGCGGAATATCCTCGAGTTGAGGAAGATCTCCGCCGAGATCGGATTCCTTCAGCGCGGCGTAGATCATGTCGAAGCTCTGTGTGAAACACTCGTAATTAATGCCCGCATCTTGCAGTTCCTTGCGGAGTTGTTTCCAGCCTTCTTTTTCGTCGGCGGAGAGGGCTTTGGTGGAGATGACGGATTGCTCGCGCTTGCCGCTGCGGATTTCTTCGATGAAGGCTTTCATTGTTCTCTCTACGTGTTCTTGAGATGATCTGGAATGAGTGTTAGTGTTTTTTTTTTTCTTTCTCTTTTTCCTTTCCCTTTTTTTCAGTCGATTTTTCTTTATCATGGAGAACAACTTACCTGATAATATTCGCATTGTGCGTGTTAAGAGCATTGGAATAGACTGCGAGTCTCTCTTGTATCTCCGCCAGTTCCTTAAGAGCTTCGTCTGTCAATTCCCGGCCAGTCTGTGGGGGCCAGATGGCGTGATGCTGGCGGTAGAATTTCCGCAATGCGAAGAGGACCTCGTCGCAGCCCTGTAGTGCTTTTCCAATAGAAGTATCGACATCGCTCGAGCCGGAAACGAGTGAGACAGTCTCGACAGTGTCAAGACCCACAATCAGCACGGCGAGTTCAGTCTGGACCTTGGTCAACGGCTCTGACGCTGTAAACAATGATCGATGCAGAGAGCGGGCCAGTGGCGCCAGTATAGCGATATTATCTTCAGAGTTCAGATATCAGCCCTATGCTCGGAAAAGTGACACATCAAATACAGTTTGATAACACATGGCATGTAGCACATGGTGACATGGCACATGAATATGCTATTCGGCTTACAGTCTTCAGTTGGATTGTGCACCGGGGCATTTGGATTTGGATTTGGGTTTGGGTTTGGGTTTGGGTTCGTTGATGCAGGTGTTCCCCCTGAATTGTCATTCGGAGTAGTAGACGACGACATAGTCGATCTGGATAGTGTTTGCAAGAAATTCCAAAAATGGGGGGGAATTCCGATCATATACCCCCGTACCCAAGTACTCTGCACTTCGTAGTAACTGGAAGCACGAGGCAGCCTGCAGGTTCAAGTTTCAGTGGAGTGGACAAGTGTGCGGAGGCTGAGCAAAAGCCGCATTGTGGTTTGGGGGCGGGGCATGAAGTCTTGGCTGTCACTCCAGGGCTGCCACTATGAGTAGGACTATTAGTGTACGGAGTATTCCAACTCGAACTTGAAGGTTAGTACTATTACTAGGTACTATTACTAGTATGCATGTACTATAGTATGTGGATAGGGCAAATCGCCCAATCTAGATTCATTTCGTCAGGGATTGGATCATGGCTGATTGTTACAAATTCCACCTGGTGCGCCCAAAGCAAGTACGGCCACCTATAAACAGAAATAACCTTAGGAAACGCCGTGATTCGCCGGGGATATATCTCCTGACTCGCTTTTCTTCCTTCTAGCAATGATAAGACTGCCAGTGGCTTGTCTCTATCTTTGTCTCTGTCCGTCCATGACTCTGGCTATGCCCTCCTGCGTCGTTTGGCACTGCCTCCATCATTCACAGCATCGCCTGCCTGCTCATCCGCCGCCGCAGGACTTGTAGCTTCACTGTCTGTCAACTGTTCAACAACACGACCCGTGTCCAGTTTGTGATCGGCCACAGTATCACCACCATACTCATGGCTACCATCAAAGCCGTAGTTGTAGCCCGACTGCCCTTGGTCAGTTCCATCGAAGAGATCCCCTTCACTAGGAAGGTGATCGAAATCGAATAGATCATTGGTATCACCATCATCGGGCTGAACATTGCCCAGATGATCATGTGTGTTTGCGCCGATTCCTGATTCATGAGCATTGTGGTCTCCCAGGTTGAGACTCTTGTCGTGATCTCCGTCGCCAATGTCGGTGAAATAGTCATTGTTGAATATTTGGTCGAGGTCAAGCGGTGGAGGTGGTACACTGCCATCTCCTTCGCTTAGACCAGGGATGGTGCCATTTGGACTTAATGGCTGGAGCAGGTTGGTGAGGTTTTGGACGGAACGGTCTTGCTCCGCTTGCATCTTCACGAGGTTGTCGATCTCTTGCCGCGTACTGGCGAGGCGACCAGAGTAGTTTGGTGGCATCGGGGGCGGGTTCGGCGTTGTGAGAGCGTTGTGTGAGTTGGAGCCAGTCGGGTTCGCAGTGTTAATCTCATTGCCCATCAGGCGCAACATATCTTCACGCTGGTTCTGCGTAAGGGGGATGTTACCGCCTGAGGTTTCGAGAGAAGATAGAACATTGGGGAACTCTGAGAAGTTTGTTGGAATCCCATTTCGCGCGTTGGAGTTTTGAATCACGGACATGATGTCCCTCTGGGTATCATTATCGTCCCCCAGATTCTGCGAAGGGATACTAGCTCTGTCTTGCCGCGGGCTATTGTCGAGAACTTCTTCCACGTGGCCATGATGGCTAGCACTAGGTTGGCGAGCATGGCCCCGGGACCGGGTTTCATACTGACCTGCAGCTGCAGGTGACAGTGTAGTCGCCCGGTTTTGGTCGTCTATGGTAGGAGGGGCTTTGAGAAGCAGGGGTTGCTTTTTCATTGCCCGTTGACCGGTCGGGCTGGCCATAGAGGCCAAAGGATTGAAGGAGAAGTCATCCACATGCACAATGTTCCCTTGGTCCCCGGAGATAGCACCAGCAAATGAGTTAGCAATGTTCTGGGTTCCATCCCCTCCTTGCAGACTGCGGTTATAAACTGTCGCGAGGAAGGTGAGGATCGCGTTAATCGAGTTTTCGTGGCGAGTATGTTGCTCTTGGAAGTTGGCCGCTTGGGAGTACAGCTGCTCATGCTCCTTCCGAAGCCGACTGATGGTGCCCGATATTATCGATTGCTGTTGACGGATCGCTTGCAGCTCTCGGTACACTCCAGATAATTGGTCTTGGGGCATAGAACTATCCGTGCGAAGGGAAAGTTGGTTGGGTCGCCCACGTTCGTCGCGAGATATAGGCGCTCCTCGTCGACGAAATCGTCCATGTCGTTCTCGTCGGCATCCTCGGTCTTCACACGCGCGCCGCCTTTGCTTGGTTTGCTCGCATGGCCAGGTGCATTCCTCGGTTTAGAGATCAGCCAGAGCAGATCCGGATGGCCGCGTTTGAAGTAAGGATTGGCGTATTCGCTGGGGCTTTTGTTCTTCCGCTCGCTTGCTCGCATTGAGTTGTCCGACAGCCCAACTTTCTTGTGAAAACCGTACATATTAAGCTGTCGAACGAACGACGCATAATTGTTATGCTTAAAGAGCTCCGGAATCAAGGTCCTCGCGAACTCGTCTTCGTCCAATACAATGAAAGAGTTTCCATCATCCGACCATCGAATTAACTCTGTATTTTTTGACTCGTCCAGAAAGCTGTGGGTTACGTTAGCCATATATTTCTCTTTCTTCTTCCGGTGGAAAAGAATATCTAAACATACCTGCTGAGCTTCTGCACAAATGGTGGAATTTGTTTCCTCTTGGCCTGTGATTCTCTCTTCGCAACCTGGGCACGTTCATAAAGCTCCTCCAATGATTCTCCCCAGGCGCCTGATTCACCCGGTGGGCCAACCGTCGCGTTGTGATCCGGGTAGACCGTCGGGGCTTGTTCATATCCGCGGTTTCGACTGACCAACTGCTGGCTTGTCTGCTGACGGCGAGCGAGCTGATTCGATGCGGCCGCAGAGATGTCTTGGTTTGCTTGGTATGTCTGTTGGTTGTAGGTCGATGCCGCCTCATTGAGAGCGGCTGTATTGATCGCATTCGCATTCGCGGCAGGATTTTGGCCCCATTGCAAGAACTGGTCGTTGGAGAGCTGAGAACCCGGGTTGGCGTAATTTGGGGCGGCGCCACCCATCTGCGGGCGTGACGCTGGAACCGTTCCTGGGGCAGGTCGCTTGCGAGTCATTCCTGGAGAGCTCATTGTAGATCGAAAGGATATCGGGCAGCGGTGGAGGGTATCCGAATGCGAGTGGGGGGTGGCGAAAGGCGATTGAGTCTGGGCGGGCGCGACGGGCGCGAAGGGCGTAGAGCGATGCGAATAGGATGCTGTCTGAAATTGTGGATATAGAGATGATACCTCTTTCAAACAGGGAGTCGCAGGGCCTCGATCTTGTGCCGGGCGTGTTGGATCACGTAAAAAGTCTGGGTGGAGAGCGGGAATCGGGTAAAAAACTGGCCGACTCTCACGAGAGCACCGACGCTGTACAAGGAAGCGTCCGATGAGTCACGGAGATGCGAAAACTGGCTCCGATGAATGTGAAGGTCGAAAGTCAACGATCGAAGGTCTCTCGGGTCGGAGGCTGGCTGCAACGGATTCGAACAGAGGCTTTGACAATGATCAGCAAGTGCTGAAAGAAACCGGACATTCAGGTTCGCCGGAAAAAGGACCAATGTAGATATGGCCCGGAGAGAAAAAAGTGCCAGCTGATGTGAATATCACACCGCAAGTGAGGACGAGCGGAGCGTCGGAGCGTTGGAGCATGAAATCTTGCGCTGCGCTCGCTTGGCGGCTTGAGGTCATCGAGCGGGGATGAGTCAGCATGTGACAGGGCAGGTGGAAGTACCGATACTTCCAGATACATACAGTATTGTATGTATAATGAGGTACCAGTACCTTATATCCCTCTTCATCTCTTCCTCTCTCTAGGGTCTACTAACTATATCACTGGTATTATACCAGTGGCATCCAGTTAACCTGACATTATTGATTTCTCATCATATATTCAGTCCAATCATGCAGAATCCCCCCACCAATCCCTGGAACTCCTTCAACAACTCCTCCCCTGCAGCAGAGTTTGCCTGCATAAACTTCTGCACCTTCTGCGGGGCAGCCAGATCTTCCTTCATACGCGCTTCGTTCTTCGTACCATTCAACACCGTCGTGTTTCCCAGGCTCATAACAAGAGCATACAAAGCAGCAGCAGGACTGATCTTCACTTGTGTGGCTAGCTGCTGCACAGGCCGGGATTGTACCAGATCCGGATTGGCAGTCAGTGTCCAGAAACTCTGGTAAACAATATCCTTCTCTCGGCAGAATTGTCGTAGCGGGACATCAAATTCAGTGTCTTCGTAGAATCGATTTTGCACCACGGCAGGTTTCACCTTCGTTGCGGGTGAGGAGTCTAGTGTGGCAAGAAGGGGCAAAGAGCAATTCGAGATACCCAGGTTGCGAATACGATGGGGTACATAGGTCTCGAGGGCCTGCCACGCTTCCAGGGTCATCTCAAATCTTTGAAGTGGGGAGTGGATGACCAGGGTATCGATGTAGGCCTCGGCCACACTGTTGGGGTCTGCTGCAGGACGAAAGTTGTTCAACGATGACTTGATCGAAGCATGTACTTGCTCTGTTACCGACAGGTTGGGATCATAGGGCATATTGTCTGGATCCTGTGCCCCGATCGGACTGAATTTGGTTTGCAGCTGGATGTCGACGTCTTAGTCCAATGGCATATTCTTCAGCGTTACTCTCGACATACGTAAAGGTCCTCTCGGCGAACAACACCATCCACAATGGCCTTGCGAATGCCATCACCAACGAGATCTTCTTGATAGTGCCGTGGCTGGGCTGCTGTATCAATCGCTCGGAAGCCGGCGGTGATGGCAGTGTTGACCAGCTCGGCTGTTTGATCTTTCTTCCAGGCTGTGCCATAGAGGAAGACCGGGATCGCTGTGGAGGAGGAGTGGAGGCTAGGGCGTAGGCAGTAGCTTTCCCACATTTTGCTCGCAGCTCGAGCCATGATGAACTTGGAGAACTTGAGGAAGTGGAAGTGGATAGGATGTGCAAATGACGAGATCTATAATTAACCTTGGCGGTTGTCGTTGCGGGGGTCTTACTAAGGGACTACCACTATGTCAATTCATCACCACCACCACCACATACTACTAGTACATACTAGTAGTATAAAGAAAACAACGCATGCATCTTACTATTAAGGGGTTTACGAGGAGATCATACTCCTATCTCCGGCCGACTGTCAATGGTGTGTTGTTCCAAGGTTAAACTATCATCAACCTTGGAAGGGCCCATTCAAGTTATCGCAGCAGCTGTCCATGTCCACCTCCATCGCACTTAGTACTGACGGTCTGCGAATCTTGGAAGGGCTTAAGAATGCGGTAGCCTAAAGATCACTCGATGTATTTGCTATTTATATATCGAGCCGCATCGGTGGAGTGGATTGGTTCGGGCTGCGGTAGAAGAATGCATGCCACCACCCTTGGCTGGTTTAGGGCCAAACTCCATTATGCTGAAGCCTCTGATGGCGCAGATCCCAATTTTCAAGATCTTCCCCACGTCCTCTCCGTTCCGCCGCAACACGGGGAGAGCTAAACGAGCGGTGGAAGCGCAGTTATGCGGTTGCCGAGCGTGCGAGCGGCCCCACTGGGGTGGCTTAGCAGTCCATTGATGCTTGGCAGAGGGTAAACATCCTACATTCTGATCTAGAAAAAGATATCTAGAATAAGAGGAAATTTATGTAGAACAGCATCATATCTCCATAGACTTGGGACCTTGATTGGAGCTGTGAATTCTTACGTGGATGGATATCACGTAAAGAAAAGTAGGAAAACCCCATTCACAAGACCTCACGATTGCCCCGATTATCAGAGTGCCATTGCTGCCCGTTTCTTGGCACTCTCAATAATGGAGCAGGCAGCTGCTTTTGCAGCAGTGACATTGGTGGCTTGCCCCGATGATCAACCAAGGGGCCCTGCTAATAGCTTCACTTGCATGCTTCATAGTAGCAAAGAAAGAAAATTTGCATCCCGCGGGGGGGCTTAGCTGTCTCGCCCACCTCTTCGCATACAGGCTTCTAGACGGAAGAGGCCGCGAGATAGGATAATTTTGCTCATGCAGGGCTTAGAATCTCTCGGCATGATGATAGATCGGCAGGGCTCAATTCGAAGTTCAATTATAGAAACAGACCCTCAAAATTGAGAAGAATATTAGTATAAATATCCTCCGTTGTCCATCGGAAAGTATCATCAAAACGATCAATACAGCAATTGAAAAGCAAACAAGATTCTATCACTTCCATCAATTCAAACTCCAAGTTTCGAAAACAACCAACAACATGCGTACTCAACAACTTCTCGCTCTCAGTGGCCTTCTGCTCGCCAGCAATGTCGCTATCGCATCTAAGCTCGACCACGATGATGTTCCCAACCGGTGTTGGGAAGCCTGTGGATCGGTGGTGAACACCGCTCAGCGCTGTGACCACCAGCATGATAATGACGACTCGGCTGAGATCCAGTGCATTTGTGATTGGGATGTTGCAAAGACCCAAGTACCTCTCTGCGCAGCTTGTATCGACAAGTATGATCGTGACTACGATACCGACGACGACAACGATGACGATGACAATGACGATGATAATGGTACGATTTAGTTCATCCGCAGTAGAGATGACAACCATGCTAATATCTCTCCAGAGGCTCTCGAGATCGTCCGCTCGTGCAACTTCAGCACAACCACCTACAACGCTTCTGCGGCCACCAGTACTGGTTCAACCACTACAACTGGATCGGGAGCTGCTGCTACCACCACCGGTGCTTCTTCTACCAGCGGTAGTACTGGCTCCGGCATCAGTACCAGTGACGACAGCGGCAGTGGAAGTGCAGGTGCAAGTGCAACTAGCCCTGATACGAGCAGCAGCAGCAGTGAACCAACTCAAGATTCGGCTTCTGCCACTCCGACCAATGCCGCTGCAGGCATGAATGCCCCTGGTGCTATCTCTATGGTTGCTCTCGCTGGTCTGATGCCCTTGGCTTGGCTTTAAACTCGACCTGCAGTGTCAAGGGCTGTAGTCGAGGAGGGTGTTAGTGATGTATATGAGGATACGATAATGATGATGCGCAGTCATGATCGTGTTGACGACTTTCTTTAAATAATGCAGACGATAGTACTCCGAACATGGCCTGCCTATAGTACATACAAATTGATATCCTGTTGCAACTGAGAATTGATTTAGATCACCCACCGTACACCGTAATATCTTCCTGCCTGTCCGATCTCGGGGTTCCGTGTGTGACAACATTCAAATTTTTCGATATATCAACACCACTAGTAGTACTAACCTTAAGTTACTGCTAGAATCAAATCAGCAGTGAGGAAGTTCAAGTTAGAAATGAATATACCGTGCTGTCTAATGAAGCATTTATGGAAAGAGTAATAAAAAATATATACAAATAAGTCACGTCCAAGAAACACAAAATTCAATTCAACAAAGACCTCCATGTGGGTATCTTTCAGTCAACTCTGGCACTCCGGGTGCCGAGCCGATATCTATACAAAATGTGCCTTACATTACCCGGTTCCTCGTTATCATCTGTAATCATATCATCTTGTATCATCCACATGTATGTTCTTTTGAACCGGACTCTCGCTGTACAAATTGTCCTGGTTCATTGCATCGACGCCGAATGTGTCTTGCTCATAGAACTGACCATTCTCGTATGTATCGAGGTTTTCCATATCAAAATCATCCCAGAAGGAACCATCGACCCAGGATGTCTCATCAATCGGGTCGAATGATGGATACCACTCCATATTATATGTATCCATGTAGCACTGTTCCTTGGCAGGGCAGCTAGAAGACCACTGGTTAGTTCCACGACTCATTCGAGCCACAGCACCAAAGTGCGCAAAGAAGTAAACTCACAGGATGTTTTCTTGTCCAAAGATAATATGCCACAGGTATTCAAATATACGGCCGCTCGTCTCATCGTCCAGCTCTTTCTCCATCAGCCAGTGATAGAAGGCTAAGTATTCATGGAGCGGTCTTGCAAGGATCTGCGTGGTTGTTCAATTTCTGGATAGAGTGCGATCTCTTCGATGTGGGTTGACTCTTTCCCTCTTCACTCTTCACTCACTCCGGCAGTTCGTCCTCCAACCACGTCGCATCTTCATATGACATCCGTCCTAGCATGACAATGCGATCGGAATTCGGCGTTGATTTCGGTTTCGGCGGGGAGGAGGATGTTGGTTTGCTATTCTTGTGGCGCTGGCCCAACTGCGCCTCATCCTCTCTATTGTCGTCTAGGTCCGAATCGTCGTCATCATCCCAGGAGAATTCGCCAGGCACATTAACAGGAATCTGCTTGGGCACAAATCTGGTTGAAGGAGCCGGCCTTGTCGGCTCCAGCCAGGCTTGCACCGCCGGTGAAGGAGCAGGCTTCGCTATCGTTTGCGAGATCGAGGCTGGTGGTGGAATCGGCGCATGCGAGGATGCAGCGCGCGCAGAGTCAACAACAACGCGAGGATATCGGTCTATTGAGACCAGCTCAATGTGGCTTTCACCGTCCTCAATCACCAATTCGGATTTGAAATTGAAATCTCCGGCCTGCGCCGGCTTGATCGAAGCGACATGGCGATTGACCAGCACGAGGGTCAAAAGAAGCCCTATAGCGACCGAGACACGCAAACTCTTGGACCGTCGCATCATCACGTCTCTCGCAGCGATGAGAAGCAGACGTGGCGTGCGCTCGCCTTATGAACTACGAGCGTTCTAAAGTCGTCTGCGTCTTACATACTTCAAGTTGGTGCCGGGCCCCACCGCACGAAAGCCACGCAGCCAGCCGCGACGCCGTGACGCGGTACACTTCTTGCAGGCGTCGTGTACCTTACGACATCTTCCAGGGCATCATCATGCATCGGCCTCCGATAGAATATGGACGTGTGTTCTTGAAATTGTTCAATTAAGGTCCGACTAACACCCTCGAATTGACCCTCTGTCTCCATTTCTGCAAAAAGTCATCGCTGATCGCCTGTGGGGCCGATACTCGTCAGCGATTCGAATTCCCCTGGAACGACCGTTGCAAGTTCCAGGGACGAGGTCGATCGGCCTCGAATACAACCCCGCGATTATCACCGGATGCGGGCAATGTTGAAAGAAGCTTAACTATAAAACACCTACGAGTGCAAAATGCGAGGTGTCCTTTAGAATCATCTGACAGGATTCTGCCGACATGTCTCTGCCTACTAGTTAACTAGTGATAGTTAGTTATGCCTTGGACTTGGAACTAGCAGACGCGGACCCTTTTGTATTGCTGGAGATAGTGACAGCAGGCTCTTAACTTGAACCCCCATTCACCGACGCAGTACGGAGTACATACGAGTAAGAGGATTTTGTACTCTGTTAAGTGGCAAGAATCTGAGGCCCAAAGACATACATAGCACTGCCCCCGTGGTCTAACGTGCTTGTGTGCATATGGTGTTCCCCTTTCTGCTCTCGAAAATGACAGTCAAGTTCGAGACTACCTAGTTCACTATATCATCTCGTCTAGAACGGCACCAGAAACCACCACCTCAACTCCGTCGATGAACCCACAGTCGCGGTGTTCAGCTGTCATCGGATCAACCGGGTACAACAATTAATAATCAATCAATCCGGTTTGTTTTGAACTGCAAGTGCACAGCATACTAGTAGTGCTAGTAGTGAGGTCATAGTATTCAAATAGTATACCTATAGTGCAGCGCAGGTGGCAGATATAGACACCTCTCATTTCTGTTTTGTACCTGTTCTGACTTCTGACGACTATTTCCTACGCAACCCGACGGGGTAGATTCTTTCGAGTACAGAGCAAACTGAGACTCACACGACTCACCACGCTCAAAAGCCCGGGGCATCCGGGGCATCCCAAGCTTTTGTAGTGGGCGTAGCACGGCGCTTATGCACGACTTCACAAATAGCTCCAAGCTTTGGTCAAGTTATTCGGATCATGTGGTGACATGTCTCATACGAGTAGTGAACTGTCCACAAACCAAGTACGGAGCACTCGTATGGAGCAAGACCTCGTAGGTCTTACGGTGATCGACCTTGAGGTGCAACCATTCGAGTTAGTCTAAGGCGTGGACCAGTCTAGTCCATCTCGAGGGGATTTGCTGCCAATCTGGAATCTGGCGATACCTTCATCTCACCCCCTTTTCCTAAAATTACCCATCTTCGTCCTAGTCCATCCTTCGAACTTCGAACTTCGTAATCCTGACACCACCAGTGGGATCTACCAGGCATCAACATCCGCAAGATTGGAATCGGCATCGGTATCAGCCGGGAGTCCCGGAACGACTCCGGAGGCGCCAATGGCTTGCCCCTAGTCGCTAGACCGTGAGGCTATTATTTAATCCTGTCGCACTTTTCTCGGAATCAAGGGACCCATCGACTTGGGTCTTGGGTTCGGTCAACCCACCACGACTCCCCACTCGCTGGACACTGCACGGTGTCTCCGGACGGAGACGGAGAACGGAGAACAGAGTTGGCGTGCAAGTGCCGGGGAAGTACGAAGATCGACCGTCCGAAAAAGGGGGTCTGTGAACAAGCATATCCCGAACCGAAGAGGCCCTGGAGAAAGCTGAAGAATAGAGCTCTGGGTCAAAGGATTCAAGAGATCCAAAACCTTTACGCCAGTCTCAGTTCCTACCCTATGTACGGAGTACTCGTACGAGTATCCATTCAGCATAGCCACAGCCCCTCCTGAGCACTCTACCTACTCCGTACTTCGTTGACCAAAAAAAAGGGGGAGGGGACGTTCGGAAGAAAAGCAGGTAGCTCCGGAAGCTTTCCCCATCCTCACGGTACTAGTTTAAGCCGGCGTGTGCCAAACCTGAACATTGGGATGGGATTGGAAGACGCTTATTGGCGAAGGAGGAGAATAGCAGCCCAGCAGACCCTCGCGGAGCTTCGCTAGGAACTCCACCCAGAAGAATGCGGTCGGGATCTGACGTTTCCACTCGAGGGAGGGGGGGGCTTCTCGTAGGCTCTAGTGAGATTCTAGCTGGAGTTATGGAAGGGCAGAAGTGCTTCGGCGCAGGCGCTAGAAACGGGGGATGAGCGGATCGTGGAGCCAGGGGGTGGAAAATCGCAGGTTTCAATTTCTGAGAGTGGGACCGTTTGGTGGGTGAGGTGGACTCATGGTGTTATGCGCCGTCAAGAGGCGACCGAGTGCAGCTAGAAGAAGAAGGCAAAAAGAGAAGAAAATCTTTTAATCAAAAATAAAAAAGTAAAAATAAAATAAATAAAAAAGGGCCGGGGAATGGAATCGCTGGGCCGTCCCGTCGGACCAAACTATTGCTATTGCTATTGCTATTGGCGAAGCGAGTTGGATTCCCCTGAAAGGAGCAGAAATGGGAATTGGCCGTGGCGTCAAATGAGAAGGGAGTTTGGGGGTGGAAGATAATAATAACATACAGTAATACCATTGGGGGGGGGGGGGGTGGCGAGGAACGATGATTCAAGGCTATTACGGAGACAGTATGGTACCCATTGTACTCGTACGGAAGAGATAGGGGGGTTTATGGGAAGAGAAGGGCATTGTAGATGGAGATATCGCCGTGGACATGGGTGTGTCAAGTAAAGCACCAACTTGAATGCACGAGGCAAGGCGTGACCCGAGAGCAGGGGGGAGGGCGATGTCAGTTTGAAACTGCTCGTGCGAGATCCACGTTCGTCTATTTCCAAGATTTATGTTATTTTATTACAGAGGAACCTTGGAAGATGGATGGACCGGATATATGGGTGTAGCATTCAGTCCGATACTAGGAGTAGTACTTTAAAACTGCCACGGCATGCCATATGAGTAGATAGGATAAGTTTGCTCGGCAGTTGAGCAGTCGTACGTAGTACTAATTAACACATTGGTTACTAAGTGACATTGGCAGGTTTAAGCGTAGTTGTTCTGCCAGCCCTGGAGGTCAGGTGTATATAGTCCGAGTGTGGTGAGTGTACGGAGTATAAGTCAGTAGAATGAGCAGGTTTAATAACCAGAACTGGAATATTCTGGATATTTTGTATACTCGTAAACACATACCAAGGTATGCTCTATTATTACAGTGTCCATATGCTGCTGCTGCTACTACTACTACTACTACTACTACTACTACTACTACTATGGCTATGGCTTGTCAGGGGCAATAATAGTAGGGAGTACAGGAATAGTGGAGGGAGTGGAGGATCTAATGGATCCTGAATATAGTAATACTACTTGAAATATTGTCATTACATATATTTATAGTATACTCTCTAGTATACTATACTACACTATACTACGCTGCCCTGCTGTATACTGCGTATACTGCCATCACCATCTGTCGTGAGTCTTGGCGGTGGATCACCCACTTCGCCCCTTCAAAATCCTCTTCTCCCCCGCTCTCCCTTTGCCTTTTGCCCTGACTGACTCCTCTACGGGCGTCTGCCTCTTCTCTTTTTATAAAAAGCAATATCCGTTTTTTATCTCATTTCCCTTTCCATTCACCCCCCACACACCCCCCCCTTCCCCCCCGAGTCCACCCCCCCTTTTCCATGATCCGGGCACTTCACGACTCTGCATCCTCGTGAGCGATTTTGGTTTTTGCTTTCTCTCCGACTTTTTCCTCTCGCCAAACCATCTCCCATGTCCGAGTAGCTTCGTACTCCTTCGAGTCTCGATCCTCTCTCTCTCTCTCTTCTCCTTCCTCCCTCTGTTGTGCGTCTGTGTTGTGGCAACCCACATTCCTCGGGTCTTCAAGGAATCCATCCACAATGAGTTATCAGCAGCATCCGGACATGTATCACGATCCCGCCGCGCGTTCCCCTGGCTCTCAGCGGCACCAACAACCTTTACATCGACAGAGTTCACGACAGTTTGACGCCTACGGTCCCATGCCTGTCAACCTCTACGAGGATCAGATGGCTCGCTACGAGACCTCCCGGCTTGAACGGTTGAACCCGTCCCTTCAACAGAACAATTCTTCCTATGCCTACGACCTGTCCGGCTCGCAGACATGGAACCCGAATGGTTTTGCCAACGCTCAGTCCCTGGGAGGTATCCGGTCGGCTTCTGCTAGTCTGAAGCCGAATGCTCGTGGTCGAACTGCTCTGCCGACGGTAAGAAAAGAACCAACTGGCGTGTTGCGTGTTGTGTTGTGGTTTTTCTTCCACCCCCCTCCCTTTTTTTTTTCCTTGGGGGACAACACCCCATCAATAAAAAATGCCACCACACACACACACACCCACCTGTAACAACGCTCCCCTTTCTTAGGACTCACCGGCTAATTTTTGGAATTTTCCGATCAGACTTGGCTGGATCAGCAACCAGGAGTTCCCGGTGCCTTTTCTAACCTGGGCTCGGGCCCTGTTCAAAGCACCGCGATGCGCCCGGAGGCATCCGCCTCCTCCGAAGGCGATGACGAACTCATCCCAACCGCCATCGTCATCAAGAACATCCCGTTTGCCGTCAAGAAGGAGCAGCTCGTTCAGTTGATGACCGAACTGAACCTGCCCTTGCCTTACGCCTTCAACTACCACTTCGATAATGGGGTCTTCCGTGGTCTTGCCTTCGCCAACTTCACCTCCGCGGAGGAGACGGCTACCGTCATCGACATGCTGAACCACTTCGAGCTGCAAGGTCGCAAATTGCGGGTGGAGTACAAGAAGATGCTTCCCCTACAGGAGCGTGAACGGATTGAGCGGGAGAAGCGAGAGCGTCGCGGTCAGCTGGAAGAGCAGCACCGCCCCATGGGAAATACTCTCCAAACACAGAGCTCCATGTCCTCTCTGACCTCGCACATTCCTGCTACTTCCCCCTCGCCAGTTTCTCAACGCGGCCAGAAGCTCGGTAAGTCGAACAACATGACGCCCCTTGGTTATCGTGGAACCACCCCGGTCCCTGATCGTGAAGACCAAGTTGAGGTGGATTTGAACGACAGCCAAACGCTCTCTTATTACTCGGAACTTCTGCTGTTCAAGCAGGATAATGCTCGGGATTCGGTCATCTTCCCCCCCCAACCTCACCCCGACCCAGCGACGCACGGTTCACACTCTGGCGCACAACATGGGCCTGGCCCATGCCTCCCGCGGCAGTGGGGATCAGCGTCAGGTCCAGGTCTTCAAGGTTGCTCCTGGCACCAACCTGAGCCCGCCCCTGTCCTCGATCCCCCCTGCCGGTCAGCCCGATAACTCTCGTCGGGGCCTGAACCGGGCAGCTACCATTGACTTTAGCGAGGCTCGTAACGAAGGTGGTAATGGTGGTGGTGGTGGTGGAGGTGGTCCCGGCGGTTTCAACACTCTTCGTGGTGGCCAGAGCTCCAACTTTCTGGGTGTGATGGATTCGCCCGGTAACTTCGCCAACACGCAAAACCTGCGCGCCGCCAAGTCCTTCGCCGACCTGCGATCCTATACCCCATCCCCGGTCCCTTCCTCTGCCAGCTTCCCGGCCGCTCTGCAGTCCAACGGAACTCGCATGCAGTACGAGGGAGCCCCGACCGCGAGCTCCAACACCCCCACCCTCAACTCCGCCCAATCCGGTTCCTCACTCGGTATCCAGCGGGATGATAATCTTTTGGTCAACAGTCTTGGTGGTTTATCACTTGGTACAGGCATTGGTGGCCCAAATGCGAGCCCTCGGCGATTGCGCGGTATGTTCTCTTGGGAGGGGGACAGCCAGCCCTCGGCCGCAGGTGCCATTGGTAGCAACCGCGGAATGGGAGTTGGTTTTGACAATGCCCAGCAAGAGCGCATGCCGGTTCGCCAACCTCGTGGCCCGACCCCCGAGAAGGGCACCGGTTTCCGCCGCCAAAACGGACACCAGACTCGCGGCAGTGACGAACTCCGAGCCAACTCCGGTGTCGAAATCATCGTGGAGTAGAGCGTGCAAATAACCACCCCCAAAAAACAACTACCCCGACAAAACAAGAAAAAACAAAACAAAACAAAGAACAACAAGACGCTAGCATACCTACCTCTCCTCCTCCAATGCTGGCAAGCGACATGAATTCGACGATGGCCCAAGCCAAGTCCATTACCCCGTTCCGCTCCCCCTATTTTCTTGCCAGCATCCGACCTGATTTGCCGCGAAACGAATACGACACACATTGTATCACGAGGCCCTGTTCTGCGAAATTACCGGCTTACGATTCGATGAGGGATGACGAGATGACAAACAAAAAAAAAAGACCAGAAAAATCCACTGTTTCGCTGATCTAGCCAAGTTTAGACGTTATTTTTGGGGCAGCCCAGCACTCGCCACAGTTTTCCCCGGTTGCCGAGTAAACTCTGGACTCTTTTTTATTATATTTTTTTTTTCCTTTCTTCATTTTTACTTTTTTTTCTTCTTCTATCTTCTTGATTTTCTCTACCCGCGGGCGCCCGTTTGCAAATCTCCATGGCTTGTTTTCTCTTGTGTTCCCTTCCCTCCGGAGACGCTCGGAGCGGATCACGACCCTCACGCCGCTTGGTGACGCGGGACGCATACGAAGAATGACCTTCAAAAGAACCCTGCCCAATGGCAGGAGACACGACAATATCAGCATTTGCATATTCTTGCCTGTTAAGTTTCTCCCTTTCTTCTTTTTTTTCTTCTTCTTTTCTTTTCATCCTTTTTCTGTCTGTACATGGGGCGACTTGCATCCATTTAATGTTTTGGTTCGCCCTTTACTCTTGTTTGGTTATACATCCTCTCCCGTCTCCCCTAATGTCTCGAGTTGCTATATATCTGCAACACCGATCGGGGAGACGGGGGAGGAGTCACCAATACCGCCAGATGTGGCGAGCATCTACCTCCCTCTACTCTCCTCTCTGCTATTCAGCTTGCAGAAATCGACAGTTTCTCGGGCGTCCTTTGGTGCTATATTTTTTGTCTTGATCTAAACTGGTGTATGGATGGCAATTTGATTATTCCAATGTTGTATTGAATGATTCAACTCATCTATCTCATACTTCGGCTCGATTTTGACGAATGCTTATGTGCCCGAGCTTCCCTCGAGGGTTCTTTTCTCTTCATGTTTGGTATCCTTGCAGATTTGGGGGATTTCTCTTTTGATTTTGTACTCAGATCTTGAAAATCAATGTACCTTTTAGTGCTATACTTCCAAGGTTCCCAAGATGTAGCTCTGCCTAAAGTAGTGCTGGTATGGTGCTCTATAGCCGCAATCGATCAAGTGTTTTAAGTTCCTGTCAGGGTCCTAGAATTCCTATAATGCTTTGTCACAGTGAAACTATTCTGCCTATATAAATTGCTAGAGTCGAACAATTGTGGGTATACATTGAGTATAGAACTGGGTAGGGTAACAAATGGTATAATATTTACCTCTAATACTGGCAATCTCCCCACTGATACTCCAAACATCGAGCATCGAGAGTGGTTCCAAGGTTGTTCGTTTTTCTGTAGGAGACCTTCCGTTCAACCGCTACTTCTTCCTGTAGAGAATATCATTCTTTGCTTCATATGGGTAATTCAAGTTTTTCACTTGACTTGAGCGATAGGTTCTTCTAAATATTATCCTGTATCAATCATTGAAAGCCGTTCATCAACATTGTCGGACGAGTTTATCGGTTGTCCTTGGTACCATATAGACTTTCAAAGATTGCGGCCGTCCCTCCTTCTAGATTTGTCATTGGCTGCATACAATTTCTAATTTTGAGGGATCTCAAACATTGCGTCGGCAAGGTCGGTGATTTCTTTGACTTCAAGCCCCTTCAAAGCTTGGATGATCTCGTCGACTGTGCTCTGGGGAAGCCCTTGCTTGTCCCAAGAGTAAATATCCATTCCAGCGGGCGTAAAGAGTGTTTTCGCAAAATAGGTGACAGCCCATTTATTGTTCCCATCGACATGTCCAAATCCAAGACACTCCCAGTGCGAACTTGCGATCTTCAGCCAGCCTTTGCCTCGCCAATCCCAAGCGCCCGGGTTTCCTGGTGTGGGAGTATCCACTCCATTGATAGACTCAATCTTGTCAGAGCCAATGGCCTGATATCGTACAAGATCATCCATTTTCACACCCGCAGAGTCAATCTCCTTGTAGGTGATGTTGACGTTGCGTTTGCCCTTCCATAGGGGGAGACTTGAGTGGGTCACATGCCATGTGCCCATGAGGAATTCATTTGTTGGAGGCGCACATTTCTTCGCCTGCTTGGCATATATTTGAGGACAGCCTATCTCAGTGATTGTTGCCATTGTTTGGAGGTGGCGAGGGGTCATGTAGAGTAGAGGTGAAGAGGGGAAGTTCAAGTGATCAACGTGATTTCTCCTAATGCAGTGGATACTTGTCGCCTTATCTGTCAGGCAGGAATACTAAACATGCCCAGATTTCAATAAGAAATCAACGACCAAGTAAAATAGAAGAAGTTTGTACCAGATAATATACTGGATAATATTATGGATCGAGTGATACACTCAACTATATGGTGCCCACTTATGTGGTGAGGGTACTAGTATATGGCAGAGGGTCTATATCTCCGTGAAATCTTAGATGGACCAATAAATTCTACAATATTTCAATTCGTCTTATCAGTTATCATGTCATCAAAAGGCGTGAAACTATCCAGACCTGAAAGATCAACTTAGGGGTTTGAAACCCATGAGTCTTGAGTTAAAAGGATATAGATTGTGCTTCATAGAAATCTAGCTAGCTATCTCAATGCACCGGTGGGTCGTGGGGTAAAGCCACCATATCGTAGTACTAGCAGTCCATAGCGGCCTTCTACTCTAGATGCTCTAGTCAGTTATATCTACGAGTAGCAGAATATCCATAAGTTTCCTTTTATTTTCTTGTCCAGTATTTCTCGGCCTAGACAATTTTAAGGCCACAAAAGCATCTATCTGAATAGCTCCATTCAGCTGAGCACCGCCAACATTAAATCCCACTTTATTTGCATGTCCAGGCCGTCGTCAACACTAACACACTCCAAAATGCTTTGGGGCTTCCATCATCCGGTCATCCAGCAGAATTTTGACTTGCTGAGCCAGAGAGAACAACACTAGTGCTAGTTAGAGGGCTCCGAGGAAGGAGGAGGCAGAGCAAAGGTAGGAAGAATAACGGGGGTAGAACGAGGCCGACGGTTGGGAAACTCGGGGTCCTGACGTAGTCGCTTGTAGAAAAAGGTCAAGGGTTTCCAAGCAAGGAAGACCTCCTTGGTGTCTAGTTTGATGCCCTCCGAGCTGAAGTGGACCCTGTACAGCTGAGATTTGTCTCCTAGGTCCAGCGCCTATAACATCTCCGTCTCTCTGGGCATGTACCCTACATCCATCAATAGAAATTTAAGTTCATCTCGCTATTATATTAATACTAGTAGTATAAGGTGTTAAGGGAGGAAGGAGATGGAGATGATGAAAGGTGTAGATTATGAAGACAAAGGAGGGAGGTCGATATAGGTCGATCTGGACCTGCCTGAGGAATCGCCTCGACACAAGTTCCAGCAAAATAGATATCTCTTTCTTTACGCAGGAATTACTAGTGATTCGTGGTATTTTGATTCCCAGATGGTGTGGCTTCGGTAGTTCGGCAGTTGTAGTTGCAGTTGTATAGTAGAGTGGGGGCTAAGAAGTCAACTCGATTTCACCCGGAAATGCGGAGAACCCCAACTTCTCTCCACCCTGCATCCTGGCTACATTGACGTACCGCAATTCGCTGCAAACATGCCACAGTCAACAGCACCCCGAGCCTCGCGTTCTGTCTCGGGGTGTCTGACCTGCCGCCGGCGTAAAGTCAAGTGCACTTCTCGCTCCTCTCCATGCGAGCCTTGCAGCCGCCTTCGCCTATCCTGTATTGCCTCCTTCCAGGAAAACATCAGAGTTTGGTCAGCATCCGGAGGTTTGAGACCGAAAAATACAACTAGAACGAGAGATACGAGGCGATCCATCCACACAGTCTCCAGCCAAGTGCTGTTTCCAGAAGACAGCCAAGTCGATCAAGCAGCATCACCAGGCCTGGCTGAAGATTGTTCTCCCAGAAACGCCATCTACGACCTTTCAGAGAGGATAAAATCTTCGACCAGCACCAACCGTCCAGGTGACTCCGTTCAAACAACCGTGGCTACTGGATCGATCAACACTTCTATTTGTGAAGATGTTCCAGAGGGCAATAATGATCTAACTCTCAGTGTGTCGAGACAGTCAGCATATGACCCAAGCCCCATTGATTCCTGGATAGCATTTGGCTCGTCACTGCCACCTTACTCGCCTATTTTCAATTCTCTACACGTCGATGATAGCCTGTCGGGTATACTAAGTACGTTACCAGGTCAAAATTGGGACATCGCCACTTGGACTCAGTATATGAACCGAGTTCCAGAGTGGCTTTCAACCAAAAGGTCAATGTGGAGCTGTTATCACTATCTCATCAACCTAGCGCAAGCAATTCCTGACTCGCCACTTTTCCACGGCATTCTAAGCTGGACATATGCCTACTTGTTCCGCTTGGGGCTGGTGTCTCCCGATCCCTCAAGGCTCAAGCATTACATGACTGCGTCAGACTCGATTCATCTATTATCGAGAGAAGCCAGTGACGGTCCCGTTTATCTCAATTTACTTGTCATCAACCCCTCCGATCGACTTTCTCAATACATTTCCACCACATTCTTCCTTTGTCAACATGATCTCATTGTGGGGGATTTCGACTCCTTTAAGACACGAATAAATGATGTGAAACAGACCTTCATAGACCGTTGGAGGAGACAAATCTTGCCTGGTGCCATAGAATCCCGCATTATAATATGGTTGGCTTTCATGGAATTACGATATCTTTTAATGGCAGGGGACGATACGAATACTGGACAAAACCCAAAGGATTTGATGGCCGTGCTGGTGGAACTCGAGGCTATTCCGGCACTACGTGGAGCTCGGCGGCAGCAATCCTATCTCATCGAATGCTTCGGAAACGGCCTTCCAAGTGAGGAAAATGATGAAGATCTCCGAAAAGAACGATGCCGTGAGAAATTTGACGCCATCTTCGCTTATCTTAGCAAAGTACGCTCGTTCAGGGCTTGGGATCAGAGCGCAAAATTGCGGATGGCTGCAGAGCCGTTGGTTGAAGAGTTACGTGAAGCAAAGATAGATGCGCTGCGCGCAGATCTTGGGCGCATTCATGCGGTAAGTTTTTCCCGTAATCAAAAATCACTCCCAGAATATTTCTACTAGGATGATACTTACGATATGTTAGGAGTGCAAGTTGGTGGTTGCTTCCCAAGAGCTACCTAGCACTGTTTATGAAAACTTTGATAGTGGGATATTTGCTATCATGACAGTCAAAGCACTTTCTCTCTCTGCCACGATCATGCTCAACCAAACAATTGGCCGCAATCTGCGAACAGATGAACAAACACAATCAGCGGCGCATGAGTTGATCCAAATTGCCCGAATATTTAGAAAGTCCCAACGCCTTGTTTCGCCTTGCTCGACTATCTGGCCCCTTCCAATTTTCTTCGCTGGGATTGGGGTCACCGATGAGATTTACCAGGATTGGGCTTTGGGTTATATGAAGGAGCTTGAACATTGGGGAGCCCATGTCGTCAGAGCCAAGGATACCATGGAGCACTTGATTGACATGCAAGCTAAAGACGGCGACAGAGTAAATGTTAGAAACTTCTTATGAGAATATTGAATTGACAGGCATGAAATGATTCCTTTTGCGTAACAGAGTCTCGGCGTCAGCGCCTAATCTATCCAAGTTGGTTGGAACCAATCTCATGGCACTTCTGGGCGCTCAATTCCTTCTCCATTTTTCTTCCGTTCAAAATCGATCGAGTTCCTTGGGCCGCCAAGGCTAAATGTTTTGAAATGGCCCTGACAGGGAGGGCCTTTGCAAGTCGTGATAGTGCCTTGGGAGAGATTATAAATGACACAAGTGACAGTGGCAGTCGTTCCTCGGAATGGGTAACCAGGAAGATCCCCAATCACTCTGTCAAGCGGATCCTTGTCTGGATGACAGCACAAGGCTTCAGGATAACTCAAGTGGTCCGAAAATGCCTTGATGAGCTGCTCAGTCGTCAACAGACCCTTTGTGTACGGTCGAACTCCTTGTTCCAGGCGCTGCCGACGGAACCAACTGCTCCCACCGGGATATCTGTCATAGACATCATCACGAGAAAGGAATGACTTTTCTGTGAAGTGGTTCGTATGAATCAAGTAGCTATCGTCGATATCGCAGTACACCTTGTAGACTCTGCTTGGCGTGATCTCTAAACACATTCCAAATCCCTCGGCTGTAGCAAGCGTGAGATTGTTTGAGACATGGCGCGGAAATTGCTGAATGGCAGTAAACGCCTCTGAAATGTGACTGCATTCCAATACCATGCGGCGGAGAAGAGAAATCGGCATGACTGCCTTGTCGTCGACTCTTTGGTCTGGCGAATAATCCTCGGTCGACATGAGAGAATTGGCAGTAACTCCAATGCCAAGAGAGTTCATACCGGAGCGACCAAGCTGGCCAGCCTCGGTCACCAAAAATAGTGATGGCTTACCCTCTGACGGATCTGGGTGGACCTCAAGGTAAATAATGGCGTCTGTCAGCCAAAGACGTGCGGACATATCCCAATTTTGAGCGTTCAAGACATCGCCAGAAGCAGTGGTCTCTTTGAGGAAGAATGAACTTGTGCATTCATGAGCGTGCTCATACTCCCCGTCCAGTGTATGTCCGTTCGAATCCGATATACCCCTTGTCACATTGTCAGCGGGCCTGTTGAGCCGGGCAAGGTCGTATCGCGCGTTGAGAAGAACGATATCTTCCAGGGAAACGGAAGCCCCATCTGCGATACCCTTCATTTCTTCCAGGCCAGCGGGATAATGTGCTTCGATATTCGGGATATAAAGATTCTTGATGATCATGTGCATCACATCGCTACATAATGGAATGTCAGTTATGCTTCATGGCGGAAATTTTCGTAACACATACCGCTCAGCTAGCTTTCCCGGTTGTTTGTAGTATTCAACATTGGCTTGAACCTTGTCTTTGGCTTGTTGACCATGCGATAAACCCCGGTCGTATGGCAGACCGTGGACAACGACATGTTGATAGGAATTCTTATCCTCTGCGTTGATTCTCATCGTGAATCTCTACTAGTTGTGTCCTAGGCGTTCAATTGTATAATCAACCAAGCGAAACTCTCTGCTTTATAAACTCTTGGCCAATTGCCTTTCTTGAAGGGAAAGTCAATATCTCGGCTCGAATCGGAGTTTCTCTTTCAGGAGTACTTACCGACAGCCATAATCGCTTTCTAAACCTGTTTATCATATGGCATCTAATGTATATCAGCCAATTTTTGTTGGGTCGGATTACGATATTCTCTTATCTTGGCCGTCGTCGCCATTACTACCCGATTGGGTGCTGTTAGCGACCATCTCATGGGTCCGCCAATGGCACCGACTTGTGAAGCCGTCAAGTCCCCACTCTTCTATGCACTCCGCATTCTATCAAATGTGCGGGGATATGCTTTTGAACAGCTGACTTGATAACACATGGCAGTATAAAGTACAGATCCCCATCGCTGGGAGCCAATATGCAAGTTTTGGCGAAATTGGGCACAATATCTTGACAGTCCACCATGGCCGAGAAGAATAACGAGACGGGCGATTCTCGTCGCATCTCCGAAGTGAAACAGACTCTTGATCAAGGCCAGGATGACGCGATAGAGATACTCGCCAACGATGGCGATGTCTTTGAGTACGACGATAGCGAAGCGCGAATGGTTCGCTGGAAGTTTGATCTGATTTTGCTCCCCATGGTAAGGCTTGATCCAGCAGGCTCAATGTCCACTTGATTCAGTGGGTGGACACCAGCTCCTGTCGTTTTTCCCATTGATCGCGCGGGATGAATCCCATCGAAAATTACCATTGAGCCTGGCTAATAAATGCTTCGATCTATAGATGGCCATGACTTATATTTTATCCTTCATGGACAAAACTGCCTTATCTGAAGCCTCCATATTTGGCATCCAAGAAAGTAATGTACGTGCATTCAAGAGTATACTCTGAGCTCTATATGATCTGAGATCTCTTGTCGCCTATATTTTTCCTAACGACGATTTACCAACAGCATTTAATCGGACAGCAATATAGCTGGGCCAATTCAATTTTCTACTTCGGCTATCTATTTGCCCAGTACCCAAGTTCAATTTTGATGCAAAAGCTACCTATCGGAAAGTACTTTGGCATTATGATTATCCTTTGGGGTGTGGCAACGACTTGCACCGTCGCGAGCCAGAACTTTGCAGCTCTGGCCGTTTGTCGATTCTTCCTGGGTGCCTTCGAGACATGTATCTCGCCAGTTCTTACGATCCTCGTTGGGCAATACTGGACTCGGAAAGAGCAACCTCTCCGAGCTTCGATTTGGTGGGCCGGTGGAGCTGTCGGCGGATTCATTGCGGATTCCATCACCTATGCTGTCTCTGGGGGTGCACTCAAACATTCGAAATATGAGACATGGCAGGTAAGGCTTCCCGTGGCCCATTTGTGAGAAAAAAAACACCTAAATTGAAGCTGTTTAGATTGTTTTTCTGGTCTTCGGTCCCATCACTATTGCATGGGGATTTTTCCTTTACTTTCTCATGCCGACGTCTCCGATGACGGCATGGTTTCTCACAGAGCGCGAACGAAAGATTAGTGTGATTCGGGTAAGTTTGAATCTTGATAGGCTAAAGAAACCTGGTCACCTATTTGGGAGCCCCGTTGAGGGATCCTCAAGTCATAAAAAGGAGAGCCACATACATGAACATTCACTAACCAACATGGCACTCTTAGGTCGCGCAAAACCACACCGGTATCGAAAACAGACAATATAAGCTGTACCAAGCAAAAGAGGCTCTTCTCGATGTCCAAGTGTGGATGCTATGCGCTCAGGCATTTTTACAGTGTATCCCCGGTGGGGGCCTAACAGCCGTGAGTCTTCTTTTCGCTCCCATAACATTATTGTATTAGCTGACAACGTTGTCACAGTTCTCAAAGCTCATTATTCGGGGCATGGGTTACTCAGATCGCGAGTCTGTTATCATGTCTATGCCCTCCAATGCAGTTCAACTAGCTTCCAACGTAGTAGCCGGTACCGTCTCACAGCTACTACCAAACTCTCGATGCGCAATGATGATCTCAGCAAACGTTATTGTGTTGATAGGAAGTGCTTTGGTCGAGAGTATGTCCTGTTCCAGATGAATTGAAACTAAGGGGGGGATCATTCGCTAACCGCAACCCGTGTTGCTTAACAGCATTACCTGCTTCGAAGGGCCTTGGAGCTTTCTATAGTATGTTTTGATTGCGATAACCTCGAATAATTTCCCGACTAACATCTTCCCCTAGTCACATTTGTCAATACTGTCCCATACATTATGTGTATGAGCTTGATAGCATCGAATATTGGCGGTTTCACCAAGAAAACCACCACCGGGGTAGGTCTACACCAAAACATCCATTCAAAGACCTTCTCATCTTCTTGGGATCTTGCTAATTATATGTAGGTAATGATGTTCATGTCTTACAGCGTGGGTCAGATTGTGGCTCCGCAGTTCTTCCTATCCCGGGAAGCTCCACGGTACCCAACAGGATTCCGCGCATTCTATGTGAGCGTGGCACTGATGATCGTGATTGAAGTTGCCATGATGTAGGTTTCTGCCAAGTAGCTGGCATTGATATAGGGTAATGGAAAGCTAACCAACATGTTGTTGCAGTGTCTATCTCTGGAGACGGAATATCAAGAAAGAACGAGCGGCCACCAGCACTACGAACGAGGCATCGAGGTTTTCCTTTGCAGATTTCCAGGATTTGACTGACAAGGAGCACCCCGATTTTCGATATGTGTTTTGAGAGGCTAGCATAGAGGCCCAGGGGTAAATATCAGGAACAGCGCCTGTATCGATAGTAGACCGCGTGGATATCGCCATACAGGGGCCTGGGGGTTTGAGGTCTGCTCCGCTCATCATTTGCTGAATGGGAGACTCAACTTTTCTTCAAGTTGGAACCCTGGAAGTTAAACTTGAAGGTGCTCATGCAAATTTTCAAAGTATGGTGGTGCATACTAGTAGTAGTTACTAGTAGTATATATTGTACTAAGAGCAACCCGAGTACTACTAGTACTAATATCTTCCAAGGTTGAAATTCCGTCACAGAAAGAAATTGATGTACCATTTCCGTACGCGTAGAAATATACTTAGATACTACTTGATAGCAAAAATATTACTAGCAGTAACTAAAAATCTCTTATCAAAAAGGACGCCAGTGTACTAGTAGTACCCTAAGGGCAGCTGTTCAGGTTGTTTACGGGTTCAAGTTTGTTTATTGTTTATCTCGGCTTGTCCCTGTCGATCCCCCATATGCACGCCAAGACCAGCCCACTTGCGCATGAGGGGGACTGAAATATGATAGCCTGAAGACGTACTACTAGTATCGTAAAAGTAAAGGTCGTACTCCATCTACCACTAGCCCCAGAGAAACTAGCAGGTGGTTTAATTGTAACCAAGATTGAGCTATCAAAAGCAACGCGACAACTTGCGACACGCGATTTCGCCAAGGCAACCGATTATCGCGAAGAATGCGACTGCAAACGCAAATATCCCGACGCGGGATACTTCGGAGTATTTGAGGACAGGACTATCACAGTACGAGTTGAGACGAGTATAGCTCATTGGAACAGTAGTTTAATTCCCAGACTACCAGGATATCCCCCATTTTCCCATTACAGCGCCCGTAAACTCGAAATCAAAATGGAAGCAACAAGCAAGAAAAAAAAATAGTAGAAGAAAAAGCCGGGGAATAGACACAATACATCAAAAGTTGCACGCCGTGAACGAAATCAAAAAAGAAGGGGTGGAGGAGTATAGATGGCGAAGAGAGGAGAGGAGAGGAGAACAGAAGAGACTCCGACCCGTCAATCCCGATCGTAGTACCGGTCACTCATTTTCGAATGATTTCCCCCATTCAAAGCTCAGGCTTGCCCTTCTTCTTTTGCTCCACCTTCAGCAGCAGCGCGCGGTTGATGCGGGGCAGGACACCACCGAAGGCGATGGTTGCGCGGATGAGGGTGTCCAACTCTTCGTCACCACGGATAGCGAGCTGCAGGTGGCGCGGCGTGATACGCTTGACCTTCAGGTCCTTGGCGGCGTTTCCGGCCAATTCCAGAACTTCGGCAGTCAGATACTCGAGGACAGCTGTCACGTAGACGGCGGCTGCGAAAGGGTTAGCTTGGGTGAGGTCTCATCGAAGCAGGGAGGTCGAGAACATACCCTTGGCACCAACGCGCATCTTATTCTGGGTGTTGTTCTTCAAGAAACGCTTGACACGACCACAGGGGAACTAGACGGGAGGGAGAACGAATGTCAGTAACCGGGTAAACATGTTGCAGAGGGACTCTGAAGGCGCGAGCAGAGAGGCTAGGATCGAGAAGGACATGCGACAAGGTGGCACGGGGTTCGAAATCACTCGTATGATGCTGAGCCGACCGGCGAGTGAGGGGGAGCCAGAAACGACGCGTCTTTAACATCGATATTGATCAAGGTGCAGAACCCCCCCTCTACCCTCTTCCCCTCCATCGGCCCCGATCGCACATCCTTTCCACAGGAGAATCGATCTGGTCTGATCTGCCACAATGGGAATAGACACTAACCTGCAAACCAGCCTTAGCGCTGTGAGACTTCTGGGCCTTCCCCGCAGAGTCCTTGGAACCACCCTTTCCACCGATAGACTTTCCCTTTCCGCCAGGCATCTTGAGAGGAATATGATCGCACGAACGCGGGTGTCGCGAGGGTAGAGTATAGCAGGCGATCGAATACGGGAGTGGATGAAGAAGCGATTCAGAAAGCGGGTAGGCACGCGCGTTGTTGATGGATGGAGAAGTCAGAAATGTCCCAGCAAGCCGGTCGCTAAAGACGGCCCGACGCTAATCCGAATGCGGAAATGTCCATCTCAAGGTCGCCCAGGCTCACTTTGTAGTAAGCATAGAGTGGATTGGGAAGACAAGGAGTCATGGTTTCTCGGTAGGTGAGTGTCGTTAATTTTGAGCCTGTTGATATTAGATGGTGAAATGCTTGACAGACAGACTGCCCCGGTACTGTAGAGCTAGTAGCCGGTGCAAGTAACTGTGTGGACATGCTCATCACCATGTTCATTCCGGATGGCTGCAGCTCAGGTGGCTGGCAGTGGCGGGTAAACGTGCTATCATGGCGGATTGCAAGATGCCAGGAATCCACTGCCGAAAGTTTCTTGGCTGAGATGGATCGGTATGGACTGGTTGAGGATTCAATGTGTAATCCGTAGTTCGATGTGTTCGTGGAGGCGGAGGAGGGCCCCATCCTTCCCGGAAGCGACGGCCAACGGTTCTTCCGAGCCGAGCGGCCACCCTGGAGATTCGATTCGAATCTGTTCCTTTCGTGTTTGTCCCCCTCTCCCCAATTCATCTATCTCCCCCGTCCCATTTCGGTTTCAAAGGTCAAAAGGGTTCTTATCGACAATATGGTGTCCCCTCAGATGTGAGTATTATTCTCATCCCACTAGTTGGGATTCTCGCCGATGCCCGATGCCCGATGCCGATGCTGATGCTAATACTACTCGCGCAGTACCAACCTGGCCATCATCCTGGCGATGATGCAGCTGGCCAAGAAGGTCCCCTTCGAGGATCCCCAGGTCCTGATGCTTGTCCGCGCCATGTACATTCTGTCCAATGTGATCATTCTGGGCATCTACCTCTACACTCAAGCGAAGATCAATAGCAAGAAAGGTATGTGGGTCTGTAGTCTTTCCGGCGCGAACCCCGTATACTAACTGCGCGCGTGTGTGTCCATAGACATGACTACTCTCAAGTACGTTGAGCCTGCCGCCATGGGCAGCGGCGAGGAGGCCAAGCCCGTCACCACCACCAACATGGACTACGACAAGGGTCAGCTCCGTCAGGCGCTGCGCAGCCAGCTGATGGGCGTCGGCATGATGGGTGTGATGCACCTGTACATGAAGTACACCAACCCCCTCCTCATCCAGTCGATCATCCCCCTGAAGGGCGCCTTCGAGTCCAACCTGGTCAAGATCCACCTCTTCGGCAAGCCCGCGACCGGCGACCTCGCCCGTCCCTTCAAGAGCGGTGGCGGCTTCATGTCCCAGGGTGCCCCCAAGAGCGACAAGGCCTCGATCGAAGAAGCGGAGAAGAACTACCGCGGTGGTGTCAAGGAGGAGTAAACAAAGGTGTTGCCCTGATAATTACTTTGTGCAATCCGATACGCATTGCTTGACTCAGGGGTTTGGCTCTGCGAACATAGACCGATGGGCATAATGATTCCATGGAATAAACCTGAGCCGGGCATCCGATGCCAGTATTAGATTCTTCGTTGTATTATAGTCATGTCCATTTGATGGATTCCCTATTAGTATTACTATTATTATTACCTATCAGTATGGCCTATTGTCCATGTGGTCTCAGAGTATGGTGTTCTGCCGGTATGCCAGTAGTTTGGTGTGGTGTTGTTGTGCCGTCTACCCGCTTCCATCCCCTTCCATGTATGATTTTAATTTGGCCACCAGTGTCATTGTGGCGATGTTAAGCTGACTGATCGGCTTGCAGTTGGGTATATGGAGGTCACGGTATCAACATGAGTTAATTGTGTTCCAATGGTAGTTGGAGAAGGCATATACTCTAATCAGACTGATCAGGCGGACACCTGGGCAGGATTTATAATCCAGACAATGCGACCCCGGCCATGTCCAGGGCTGAAGAAAGAGCATACTATGTAGTAGCTCTTGAGCTACTCCGTAAAAGGACTAAAGCCAGACAATGGGAATCGTGGGTCAAGTGCAGACCGGTGAATGTATCAGGCGCGGGCCACCTGGTTGTTTTATACCGCAGTGCCAGAAGGGGGAGGCTCCATGCCGAATTGGTCCACCGCAGAAACGCCCGTCCATTTAGAGTCTAGTTGGTAGAGTATACAATGTACTGTCTTGTACGGAAGAGATAAAAATAAATAATATAACAATATTTATCAGGATAATTATAATCGAATAATATCACCCCAACAGTATTGAATAGTACTGAGCTATGAGTCTAGATGTACCTCGCCATACAAATTAGTACCAGAAGGTACTTCAAGGTACTTTGTCAGTCATGATGCCACGACTGCCCCGACTGCCCCTCCACTTCTCCCCTCCACCTCAACCCCTCCATGCCCCTCCATCTCCATTACCCAACGTCTACCCTTACTCCAACCCCTCTCGGCACACCTACAGGTCCGAATTATCGTAGAGACCGTGATAGTTCCCCTTCTCCCCGATGGCAAAGTGTTTTGCAGCGTCATCTCCGAGGCAATTCGTAGTCTGGATTCGGGACCGGGCCCAATCTCGGCCACCTCATTGGTAGAACGGGAGCTACCGAGGGGCAGAGTAGGCGCAGATATCGTGACTCTTCCTGCTTTGCCCGGTGTATGAAACCGGAAAGGAGGGTCCCTGCTAGAACCGGGCGGCAACAGTCGGGAAACATTCGATCTGGGGGGAGTGTCCACTTGGAGAGTTACGGTGGTTACGTTGGTTGCTCGGTGTAGACTGTAGGGGTGATCGCCTCTTTGCGTCAGCCATCCGGATTTGATTGATTTTATTATTACTACTCCTCCTTCCCCCTCCTCCTTCTTCTTCTCTTCTCCTTCTTTTCTTTCTTCCCTCATCCACTCTCCTCTTTCAATCACTCCCCCAAAAGGTATGTTCCCATCTATCATCCCCATCCCCATCCTTGTCTCTCCATTTCCTCTTGCTCACAGCTTCTCAGTTTAAACTACCGCAATCATGGTCCCCAAGGTATGCCCGGCTTGATCATCATCACCCATCGCCATTATAAC